TTTAATAAAAAGCAATGATAGGAGGAGGCTATGGATAAGTATTATGGGTAGTGTCAAAGTTAAATCCCCATTCCTGTTGCATTGAACTGAATGCAGATCCCCCTGTAGCTGTTATTTGTTCACCAAAAAGCAATGGCACAACTGCAAGTTGCATGATTCTAGCCACATCTAGTTTGGTCCTAAAGTGTCAATTTTAATGGTTTTTGGTATTAGTTTGAGGTTTGGCTATTGTAGTTCTGGCAACATACCTAATACAGCTTTATTCTTTAAAAAGTGAACAAGGCTGACTTCAGTACAACACATACTTGGACCAAGAAACAGATATTTTGCAGCAGCCTGGAAAACCAAAGTTCATAAAATTCCAGTGCTGTACACACCATGATACCCTTTGAAGAGCTATTATTCCAATCCTTTGCATAACAAAGCTCAATGGGATAATTTGGATTTAAGATCGGTCCCCCCCCCCACATTGAAATACATTGAATTTCAATAGTGACAAATGTGAGGCTTTACACTTAAGCAGGAAGAATAAGCTGCACAAATATTAGATGGGGGGCACCTGGATTGCCAGTAGTACATGTGAAAAGGATCTTAGTAGACCGCAAGCTTAACATGAGTTAACAGTGTGATGTAGCAGCAAAAAAGCAAATGCTATTCTAGGCTACATCTATATAAATATAGTGTCCAGATAACAGGAAGTCATAGTACTGCTCTATTTCTCCACGGTCAGACCACACCTGATGTAGTGTGTCCAGTTCTGGGCACCACAATTTAGGATATTGACAAGCTGAAACATGTGTAGAGGAGGACAACCAAGATTATCAAGGGTCTGGAAACCAAGCCTTATGAGAAACAGTTGAAGGAGTTGGATATGTTCTATTCTAGAGGAGACTGAGAGGAGCTATGATAGCCATCTTCAAATATCTAAACGGCTGTCACATGGAGGATAGAGCAAGCTTGTTTTCTCCTGTTCTGAAGGCTAGGACCCGAAACAATAGCTTCAAGTTACAAGAAAGGAGATTTCGACTAACGTTAGAAATAACTGTTAAGAGCTGTTCAACAGACACTCGCAAAAGGTGGGGGACTCTCCTTCTTGGGAGCCATCTGTCAGGGATGCTGTAGTTAAGGTTCCTGCAATGCTGGGGGTTGGACTAGATGGGGTCCCTTCCAACTCTACAATACTATGGTCAATATTTTATAGTCCTGGAACATCTATTTAAAGGGTGCAATCATATACACACTTACCTGGGAGCAAGTCTCCATGGGGCTTGCATCTGAGTAGATATGTATAGGATTATGCTGTTAATTTTTGTTTCTCATGAAGGCCAGGTACCCAGATGGATAGGAGACCACCCTTCTGTAAGAAAGCCCTCCACCATTATACAGCCAACAAAAGAGATCACCCCAAGAAGAGAAAATAGGAAGTGGCAAAGAGGCTTGGCTAGAATATGTTTCTAACTCAGCTCTCATCGTTCTGTATCCATGAAAGTTAGATGTTTGGGGCTCAATCCAGCCAAAGGTCTTTGATTTCCCACTGAAATACATAGATTTAAATGAAAAGCAACGTGCTTTTTAAGAACAGTAATACTTAGAGCAGAATAAAAGCAACCAGCAAACCATATCCTGTGCACGCTGATTTGAGCCATCCTGCTTATATTAGCTCACAATCAATGGAAAGGTCAGAAGCTTGGGTTTCAACTTTTGTGATGAAGTTAGAAATCAATGCTCAGAAAGCAATTGCACTGATGGAGAGACCTCCATGTGCAAGAATAACACGGACTTATATGCAGTCTTTCAGTAATTTAAAACTGGTTACTGTAGATCTAATAGGAAAGCAAGCTCAGTATTCACGAATACTTGAATGCTTTTTTTCATATTCACAGATTCCCTCTTTTTTCCCCCCAAGCAAGAAATTACAAAATGCACCACTGCATCAACACTTTGCTAGGATGTGATCTAAAAAGCCTTGGAACCCTCCCTCCCCCCCATTTTCATTACTTCTCATGACATAACTGCTATATAGAATACATATACCATGGGTGTTCACTGGCCAGATTTTCTAACTTTACGTAATATAAAACATAAGAGAGGGATAGGGAGCTGTGGTCCCCCAGTTGTTCTTGACTACAATTCCAACCATCCCTGACTGTTGACCATGCTGGCTGGTTCAAAGCTTCCATAGAGTTGGAATCCAACAACTAGGGGGCCACCAGTTATCCACCCCCAAGCTTGCCCCAAAAGATTTGCCTTCAACAACAACTCCCTTAGTTCATGGTATCCTCATTTTCCCTACCTTCTAGCAATAGCCACTACTTTATCTGCTTATTCCCCCTTTCTCTTGCCCTGGCAGTCTATTTCTTTTGATCTGTCATGTATTCACACTACTCCCTTTGCCTTGGCTCTGATTCCTTTTCCTGGGCTTTTACTCTACAAAGGCTGCAGGAAACGATGAGGATGTCATAAGGCCAAATATACATTACTGCCATACATTTGTCTTGGAGCAGTATCTGAACATAGCTGTCAAGTGTCCCTTATTTGAAGGGACAGTCCCTTATTCTAGCGCCATGTCCCGCTGCTGTCCCTTATTGATGGATGTCCCTTAAATGACTGGGGGGGTGGAGCTTGCATGCCTTGTGTGTGGCTAGTTAATGCAAGCAGAGGGGTTTTTTGAATGCTGGACGCCATTTTGTTGCATGTACTGCTGCAAACTTTGCAGTGCAAAGCGAGGCCGGGGAGCCATCTTAAGTTGAGGCTGCATAGGCCTTGTGGTGCATGTGATTCAGATTCTATTCAGTTGAACCTCTGGTTACTAAGTTGGTTGGACAGTGTTCTCGAAGCTACCAGCATGAGTTTGACCAGACTGCAGGAGGACAGGAAGACTGGAGTGCCTGGAACAGGTGAGGCTGCAGGTCCCTTATTTTGGCTGCTGGTCCCTTATTTTCAAGGCTGCTGGTCCCTTATTTTCAAATCTGTAAATTGACAGCTATGTATCTGAATATCCAGCAAGCTACATGTGGCTCACAAGGCCTTTTGGCTTCACTCGATGAACAAAGAGAGCTCCAGATAATGCTTTGCTATAGAAAAGAGAACTTAACACTGGATTAGAGTACTATCAAGTGCTTGTTAATGTTATTTCAAATTATAGCTTGCATAAGTGTCTTCCTATAGTTGCCAGTCAGTGAAGACAATAGCAGTACGTATCAAGGGCTATACATATTTCTGTTTACTTCTTTGACTTCCTATGTTTCTAAATTGCAAACTGTCTCTGGAACAAAATTAAAATAATCAAGGTACACAATTATGGACAGGTTTTGAAGAACAAAGCTCCATGGAAGCAATTGTATATATCTGATCACCCCACACCCACCTAATACTGCCAGTTCTGCAGTTAGCAATGCTGTTGTGTTACTGACTGGCTTGTAGCCAAGCTACCACTTACGACTCTTGTATAAGGTGAAAACTGACAGTTGCTGTTATTGTGATATTATCTAAGCTGCGCCACCCTCCAAAATCAACGACGAGATAAAATATTTCTTTCCTTTGGTTATTGTGATGATTCAAGTCCTGTGTTGAAGGACAGAGAACAGAGAGAAAATAAGCAACTAAATATTGTGGGAAGTAGAAAAGACTATTGACTTGGTAGGTTTTAGTCAAGATTTTCTATACTAGATAGATAATATAGGTGAATATTCATTCCAAAGATTGATGAATGGGTTGTACAAATTGTGAAGAGAAACTATTTCGTTTTTGCAAGCTCATTATTTAACAGGTATTTGAAGAAAAAATGAGCAATGCCACAATATTCAGTGGGGCTTATTCTGTGGTAACTATGCTTAGGATCTAGCTTTTGAAAAGCTCTAGAAGATACCTCACATGAAAAGTAGAACAGATACAAGAGACTACTTTTAAACATAGGCTACCACAGTATTAAAAATTGCTGCAAATGCCATCTTGTTTACTTTTTATGGGATGCTTGTGTGAATAAATAACACTCTTATGCTGAAAAGACATGGGGGGTGATTGGATCATTACAACTGGATCATTATTTAGGAAGATCTTCTTGTTTCTCTACAGATTCTGTTTTATTTTTCTCTGTTGATTTGATATTTTTCGTGATATCAAGCATCGGTAGCTGTGTAATTAATTACCATACTTTCTGCATCACACCTAATGAGTATTTTTTGCACACTAAAATCCACACATAAGGGTGATTTATGGATTTTGTCCAAGAACATATGTGAAACTCATTTCATAAACCATTTAAACGTATGGTGATCAGAGGGCTAAATTTGTTGTTAGCTGTTCAACAGTGAATAAATTTTGGAATTATAACATATTGTGAGAATAAAATCTCTCTAATAGTGTCTGTATCATTGACCTAAAATAGGGGAGCATTTAATTTGTATAATCATTTGCAACTCAAAAAGAGGCTCAATGTCCAAATCGTAACTGAGACAATCTAAGTGCTGACATAACTGACCTACACCATGAAAAGGTGACAGTTAGTCACAGGCTGAGTGGATCGTTTGCGTTCTTCTTTCCACCTTATGTTGCTGTTGTGACACTGATTGTCATAGTCTTTGTGCTTTTGCATAATGCCCATCTTCGATGTAACAGAAATTCACACACAAACATGGACACCTTAAGTAAGCATGCTAGAATACAGGCAGGAACCATACAACCATGCACAAATATTCTGAGGGCCTCCCCCCAAAAAACTGACATTAACATTTACATGCACCACTTAATATCACATTTGGCCATGGTACAGTGGGGACTTGGTTTTGTAAGCATTCATGACCTTTTCTCTCTGTCATAGTTCTTTTCTTCCCTTGCCTTTTAGTTTTGAGGAGATTGGTGCAAAAATATAATATATCTATATATTCTTTCCATTTTAACCAGTCTTCATTGTGCTTCCAGCCAAAAGTTCTTGGAATGTCACACTGTGCTTCTCCTCCTGGCTGCACAATTTGGTGCGAAGTTTTGGTCAGAAACACTGATTAGTGTGCCAGTGATTTTCTCAGCCACTGAAATAATTCTTCTTTATAAAGCATTTGCCACCGGACATTGGCTTCCACTGTTTCCACAGCTCGTGAGAAAGAGGCAGCAGATCCCTCCTCGTAGGTCTTTATAAAGTTCTTTAGCTGAAATGCAATTTTCCCAGGTTAATTTGGACTTGAATAGATGTGCATATTTTATTTTCTTCCAAAGCATATGAACAAGTTGGATATTGACGACAAAGCTCTACATTTGAAATAAGTTCTTGTAATATTTTACAGGGAGATTTATTACAAAATGCAATAAGGCAACAGACTGCATCAATTAGGTGTGATGCAATTGCTTCAAATTGTGCTGGAAGATATTGACGCGCCAATGCCTGATTATATTAACATCACTTCCTCCGTCTCTCCTGTAGCCCAGCTGCTTTATGTTGCAGACAGCTGGGCTCTTATCAAGTTTTACTCCTACATAAGAAACTAAATACAGAAAATTGGAAACACTCCTAATGTAACTTAGAAGCTAAAGTTAAACTAAAACACTCAGGCTCTTCTCTGAAGAGCCCCAGTTTATCAACCATTATAAAAGATGTGCTCGATTAGGCTAGTAAAACATACTTAAGTACTTGAGTAGAAACACAAAGGATTTGGGAATTTAAGGGAAAGGCTGCCTTTCCCTTAAATGAAACTCTAGTGCAGCCATTCTGTAAACACACCATTATAAGGTGCTGAGGAAGCCGAGATAGGCATCATTACATGGCAAAACACTATGGCTACTGTATGTAGCCCGGCTACTTTTAGGTATGTAAGACTTAAGACATCAAAACGAACATGAATACAAAATAACTTCAAGCACCGAACTGCATAATATTTACCTCATTTAGTTCACTCTCTGTGTTAAGAAATTCTGTGACTCCACTGATAAGTTTTGAATTCATAAATAACGCTTCCCCATATCTTCAACACCAGGTCAAAAATGCAAATATGAAATAGATTGAACAATAATGCCTTGATTATTTACATGTTAAAATATATCTATTACATTTAAGTTTTATTATGACAGTTACAGTTTTTCCTTATGTTTCTGGTCCATAAGTAAAGGTAAAGGTACCCCTGCCCGTACGGGCCAGTCTTGACAGACTCTAGGGTTGTGCGCTCATCTCACTCTAGAGGCCGGGAGCCAGCGCTGTCCGCAGACACTTCCGGGTCACGTGGCCAGCGTGACGAAGCTGCTCCGGCGAACCGGCACCAGAGCAGCACACGCAAACGCCGTTTACCTTCCCGCTATAAAGCGGTACCTATTTATCTACTTGCACTTAAGGGTGCTTTCGAACTGCTAGGTGGGCAGGAGCTGGGACCGAACGACGGGAGCTCACCCCGCTGCGGGGATTCGAACCGCCGACCATTGATCGGCAAGTCCTAGGCGCTGAGGTTTTACCCACAGCGCCACCCGCGTCCCTGTTCTGGTCCATATATACAGTCTAATCCATAAAAGCAGAGAATAGCCAGGCTAGGTCATATCCTTAAGGCTAAAACATAAAACATTTACATCAGCATAATGGTTTTTTCCCCTTTGTCACTAAACTTATTAAATGCTTTCTGTTGAGCATATGAATCCACTAAATCTGAATTCATCATACCAGAATATACTTACTAAACTCCATTCAAAGCAATTTGGCTCACTGAAGCAATATGAAATAAATAATTTTCTCTATGCAGCATAGCCAGCCGATCACACTGGGTCAAGAACCTGCTTATTAATGGCAAAACTAAAAATAGGAAGTTAGGGGAAGACCAGCTGATATTCAAACTACAGACTCTCTGGCTGGTTTGTAACTTCTTTGCATGATACATGCTGGCATTAACAGTCTAAAGGGGAGGGAACTCACCAACATTTATATGACCATTTAGGTATGGCCTTTCCCACTATAAACTAACACTTATTGGATCTAACAGGCTATATCCACTCTTTTGCTTAAAAATGGAAGACACAACTGTTCTAAGTTTAATTGTTTAAATTACATGGCAATTACATGGCAGTGATTCTGTATTCTAAGTGGAAAAGATAAGACTCCTTCATTGCCCTTCTCAAGTGAATAATGCCATGATACATTTTTCCTATGAAATACTGATGCTTTTAATTCTGCTTTTGTTGTATTATAGGTATTCTGGGCATTTCTCTGCTCTTGTGATGGTGCAGTAGCCTACTCTCCAAGGGCATAGTAAGTCCTGCCCCCCTGCCTCTGGCATATGCACAGGGAACAAGCCAGGCTGTCATGGGAAATGGGTGATATGAACATATCTCCCATATCTCCATCTAACATGATCCGCTCCACTTACTCATGGAACACAAGCTGGGAGACCACCTATCACAATGACTTGGTGTACTGAGTACCTATGCCAGTATAGCAAGGAGGAAGATGAGAAACTGGGCTCTGTGATGGCCTGTCAGTGGGTCACTAAGGATATCATTTGCGTTTGTTACAAAGGATCATGCTCTTTGTCACAGCTTGCCGTTTCTCTTTCACATTATGTTGCCTCAAGGATTCTAGTTCTAAATTCACTTTTAATTTATGTTGTTCTCTCCCCCCCGCCATGTTTGTCCTATACATTGCTTGAATGTTAAGAAGTATTTTCCAGCCCACCCTTACCAAAATAAACCGTTTTGACTTGTAATTTGTTGGCTATTCGTTTGTTAGATTGTCATAGATTCATAGGATATTGAGAAAGAAAAGAACTAAAAAAATCAATCAATATCAGGTCCCCTGGGTATTATGCTAACATATAACATACTTCTTGCAAAACAATGGATACCAAGAGCTGTATCAGCAAAGAAAGAACAGATATTAGATTGGGATATTACCACAATAGTGAAGTTGACAGCTCATAACTTTTTTAAAAGTAAAATAAAGCTGGATGGTATCAAAAACAATAACTCAGTTCAGATGACTCTCCAAAACCAAGACTTGGGAAATTATGAATAAATTGCTGTGAGCATTGGACTTGGCACATTTTCTTTTCTCTTTCCCCTCCTTTGCAGGTAAAGAAAAGCAATTAGGGGTTGTATCCAACTGAGTTCTACTTAGTGTAGACACTGTAATCAATAGACTTAGATTAGTGATGGCAATTAATTTCAGTATGTTTATTCCTACTCTTGAGTTAGATACAACTCTTATAGAGTTGGATACAACAATTTATAGAGTTGAATTGAACTAAGTACTCAGTACTCAGAATTGGATACAACTCGAAGTTCCTGCTTCTTCTCTGCTGTTGCTTTGCTATTTATCTGGATACGGTTAACTTAATGCAGCCAGCGGGTCCCTGGTAATAAACTTCATAAAATGAATGAATAAATTGTATTAAATGAAAAATCTGATACCTGAAAAGAAGGCATTTCATAAAATTTATGGGCTAGATCCAGACTTAAGTTAATGGAACTCGGTTCCCACGGATGTCACTATGCAGTCATTATAATTTCTTCCCATTGAAAGGAAAGGAGAAAGTTCAGCTAATTTAGGCTGCAATCCTAAATAATGCCTGGGAACATTATAAAGTGGTGGAACTTTATTGCAATAAAGTGGTGGAACTTTATTGCAAATGTGGGGGGTGGGCTGCTGTAAAACTGCCAGTTCACTGAGCCAGCTTTTGCTAGCACATTAAAGAGCCTTTAATCAGGTCCATGACCAGTAGCTGGGCTGGTTTAGGATTTAGTGAGTGGTTCCTTGGTTGGGCCAGATATGTTCCCAAAACACCTTGTTTCAGTGGTTTATGCTGGCTACTCTGGTGCGGATACCAATGGTGGTAGCTACCACCTGGCTGTACTTTCAATGGGCAATGGGGATTTCTGTTGCAACACAGCCCCCTCTGCTTGTAGAGCTGAACATATCTGAGTGGAGGAAACCTCCACCACATCCTAACCCTCTTCAGCATGGAGGATTGAGGGTTAGAATTGCTCTGTTAGTCTGGATCCAACTCTAAATAACGTATATGCAGGCTAAACTGTACTGTATTAGTACTGGTAATGAAAACTGCAATGTATTTTAACTGTCATTATAAGTAATAAATGACAACTTTGCTAATGCATTGAGAGGGGATGGTCACAGATTTCTCCCCAGATTCAACTCTCACTACAGCAGGTGGGAAGACGGGTGTGTTTGTGTGTTAACTTCCCCATGTACAAGAGGTTTAGATCCAAAACGCTTACTTACGCATGTGTATAATATGTACTATTGTTAAGATAAAATAAATACTAAACTAAACATTTGAAACAATGAAGAAGCAAATGGCTGTCAGAAAGATGCGGCCAGTACTCTCACTTGTTTTGTATTGATAGGCATATATTTTACCTTGCATTCAATATTTTCCATTTTTCTCTAAAAAACTTCCAAGCAAGATCTCTTCCATGTGGATTTCTAGCTACATGGATTATGACATCAATTGCATCCTGATCCAGGACAACTTCTGAATTGAGAGACAGGTTAAGAAGCCTTGAATAATAAGAGAAGGGAGGAGAAATGGTTAGTTGTTGCCAGCATAAATACTAAAATATCGAGCTATTAGACATCCTGGCTTTCCCAATGAAGGTTAGAAATTGCTACATGATTTTGAAATTCATTGCAGAAGCTTTCCTGGACTTTTGTTTTATAAGTACAGAAAAGAAGTAAAACTTTGTGTGATAAAAAAAGTGTTTTGTTCCACTATTGGTCTATGGCAAATATTTGATAAAACCTGAAACTGAATTGCTTCATTTTAGATGTCATCCTAAATGCTACTCTGAGATTATGCTTACCCAAAATTTAAGTGAGATTTGCAATCATTTTCAAGTAAACTTGGAATATATGATTTGGAAGAAATGCTATCCACATAACACAAATATGTCTTGAAAATCTGCAAAAAGGAGATATCAATTTTGATTATTAGGAAAAAGCTTTAAATATGTCCTGAGTGTTTCTTGTGCCATGAGCAGATCTGAAATACTATTATTTGTATTGCTCTGTTTTTTCTTCTATGCTATATGCTATTCTCTTGGAACTAATGAAGTAATAACTAATCTGAAGAAGAAAAACCACTAAAACACACACAAACACTTCCACAAGAGAGATTTAAAAATGCTTAAATTTGTGAAAGAATGAACAAAGTGATACTATGACTAATATTCCTACTTTTAATTAATTAATTTTCTATACCACCTTTCGTCTGAAGACTACATGGCAGTTTACAATATAAAAACACACAAATACATACCATAACAAGTGAAAGCAATACCCCACCCCCAGTTTAAAAGGCCATAGATTGTTTAATTAGCCAAAGGCTTGAGAGAAAAAGAAAGCATTTGCTTGGTGCCTAAAGATATGTAACAAAGATGCCAGGGGAAACCATTCCACAAGTAGGGAGCCACTGCAGAAAAGGTCCATTCTTGTGTTGCTGCCCTCCAGACTTCTCACAGAGGAGGCACACGAAGAAGCACATCCAATAATGATTGCAGGGTACAGATTGGTCCATATGGGGAGAGGCAGTCCTTGAGGTAATGGGATCCTGGGCTGTTTAAGGTTTTATAGGTCAAAACCAGCACTCTGAATTGGGCTTGGAAACTAATTGGCAGCCAGTGCAGTCAAGACCAGGATTGGCATTGTATGTTCAAACTGTATTGCCCCACCCCGGTGAGCAACTTAGCTGGAGAATTCTGCACCAGCTGAAGTTTCCAAACTGTCTTCAGAGGCAGCCCCATGTATAACATGTTGCAGTAATCTAACCTACAGGAAACCATAGCATAGATGACAGATGTTTAGGTTGTCCCTGTTCCGACAGGGGCGCAACTGGGCCACTAGCTGAAGCTGATATTCCTCTGTGCCTCTCCCAACAGAAATCACCAGGCATCAAAGCAGTTTCTGCACCAAAACTGGGCCTAAACCTTGATTGACACGCATCTAGAAAATTAGTTTCCTCCAAGAGCACCTAGATCAGATCTGTGACCACCCACTCTAGAACCTTGCTAAAGAAGAGGAGACGACTGGTCAGTAATTACTTCGATTTTCCAAATCCAGGGAGTATTTATTGAAGAGTGGTTTTACCACTGCCTCCTCCAAGCAGGCAGGGGCCACCGCCTCTTGCAAGGAAGCATCAATCACCTCCCTGGCCCAGCCAGCTGACCCCTCCTTGCTAGTTTTTATGAGCCAACCAGGGCAAGAAACCAGAGTGCAAGTGGTGGCCCTGACCTATCCAAGCACCTTGTCCACATCTTGAGCCTTACTAACGGAAATTCAACCAACATAACAGGCCTGGACGGTGCTCAGGACACCTCTTGAGATTCATCTGCTGTAACAGTAGAATCAAGGTCCAGGCAGATGCAAGCGATTTTATCCTCAAAATACTTTGCAAACAAGCCACAGCAAGCTATCGTTGGTTCTGTCACCTCCTTCGGAACAGAATGTAAAAGGCCTGCACTACCTGGATGGCCCAATGAGAATTTAAGGGAGGCAGCAAATTATGCCTTCTCTGCTGTCTTCACTGCCACTAGCTAGGCTTGATAATGAGCCCTCACCACTGTTCGACTGCATTTGATTGGAGTTTTCCTTCACTTCCATTTGAGCAGTCTCCCATCTTGTTTCCTCACCCTCAGCTCTGGAGCATAACAGGGAGCAAAATGGGCTCCACAAAGCTGGAGAAGGCGGTCAGGAGTGATCATGTCAACAACAAGCTTTTGGGGGGGGGGACTGGAAATGTTAACTAAATTAGCATACCTGTTTAACAAATTTCTGTCATCGCTACAAGTTAAAGCTTCTAACAATATTTTCTTCTCCGATACTGCCGTAGTAGAGTGGAATTTCATCCAGATGAATTCCCATACATCTTCATCCATGAGTGAAACTCCTGTGCAGTAGACGATGTCTCTTACATTAAGAGGTATTCTTTTTAAAAAAAGAAGGGAGAAAAAACATATCCTAGTAATATTATGTTAATAAGATGTTCCAACAAAAGAATATACATCTTAAAGCTATATTGGTCATGTGACACAAGTGGACTAGGCAGGTTAAAATTATGTTTTTGTGATTTGACTTCCCTATGCTTTAAAATGGGGAAAGGGTAAGGGAATATAACTTATGACCCTTATGTTGATTCCCTGACTTAAAATATCCTCCCCGAGCTATAAACTGCAGGGGGGGGGCAGGGAAGTATGCGCAAAATTTTTGTACCTGTAGGAAATATAACAAGGAAAACTTGAACCAAACCAAATTAAAATTTGGGCAGGTATAATCTGTGCTAACAGGCAGAAAATCTCCTCCTGCCTGCTGCTAAGGGCCAAACCACCCCAGAGAAACTCCCTCATGCAAGGTATTGTGAAGGGAGGCAAAGCCATCTTCCCATAAAGGGAAGCTGCAGGTACCTGTCCTGATAGGTACGTGTCCCACCCCTGTTCAGTGTTCAACAGGTGGCACCTGCCAGGCCCCAAGAACACCAAACCAAACAGCCCTACAAAGCGGTCGAGAATAAAGGACGGTTAGTGGGGTGCCCTCCACCCAACATAACTCAGGGTGCTGACCATTATCTGCTTGCACGAAATGACAAACCAACCAAATAGCCAAATTAAGCCCTAACCCACCATAAACCAATCAAATTCAGAGCAGACTAAAGTGGGTTATAAAAGGGACCCCCAAATTAGGATGCTCCCCACTCAGCTCCATTTTGGAAACTGGCTAAGCCCACTTTGCTCAAGAGGAGGAGAGCATGATGCCACTGTGAATCAGAGAAGGAAGTCTCAGGGGAGGAGCAAGCTATTTATGCAAGCTCCCACTCCTATTTCAGACCAAGTGTGAAGGAGAAACTCCCCTTCTACTCCCAAGGAAAGCCAGTGAAACGTCCTTCCTCAGTGGGGTGGAGTATTTCCAACTGAAGATAGGGATAAACTTTATAGTTGGGGGTGGGAAAGGTGCAATATGTTGCTGTCTACTTCACAGGATCCCTGACCTGGACTTGCAACAACAAAAAATAGGCAGAGGATTTGGGAGAATAATTCATCACCTGTCTACCTCATACCTGCACAACCTCCTTAGAAGCGTTTGGCTGAATGGCACAAACTGAGGGAATAATAGGCTGCAATGCTCATATCAGTCCAATACAAAATTTCGATGAAAAAATGATTACCGTCCTGGTCCCAATCTCAAATTGAAGCAAATAAAATTTTAAATGGTACCCACTTAGAATGAAACAAAGGATTTGACAGACGCAGCAATTTGGAGAAAAAGAAGGTGAGGTTTATTGCTGAGCAATAATAGACCCAGCTGGAATCCTTTCCAAAAGACTGGGACCCCTAAGCATTCAAGTTCTGAGGTTAAACACCTGAGCGCATCACAGATCATGAGACAATCATGAGACAATCACGAACGCCAGCGAAAAATAACCAATGAGCGCGCTTTCTGCCATGCTCCTGGCCGTGCACAGAGTTCACTCCCAACTTCTGCTTTCCTGTACAGTAACGTACAGTCTGACCTTTTCTCTAGTTTGATGGAACAGGGAAACGAAACTTCAGGGGAGGGGATCTCCTGGCGCTAACTCCCCTATGCATCTGCTCATGTAGGGAGTTTTTGTGGTTCGGCCCTTCCTGTTTTGTGGACCATTTTAGTCTGGATCTGAGGGGGAGATTTGTACCAGCGCCTTCTGATTTATGGCTTCCCCTTTTCTCTAGGGTGTAAAATGTACTGGGGGAAAGGTCGGTGTCTGAACTTGTGGTTTCAAGCAGTTTTGCAGTTAGGCTGGGCAGAAGCTTTTCTTGATTCAAATGGATTATAAAAATCACTGTAAGCCCTGATTATATGTGAGCATATGTGAATATATTGATAACTGATAACTGATTATATGAATAGCATATGGGTAGCCCTCCTTTTCTTGCTTTAAAATATGTCTTATTCTTAAACATTTATATTTATTAGTGTAAAACTTTTTTTTCCATACAGTGGTGCCTCGCAAGACGAAATTAATCCGTTCCGCGAGTCTCTTCGTCTTGTGTTTTTTTCGTCTTGCGAAGCACGGCTATTAGCGGCTTTGCGTCTTAGCGGCTATTAACGGCTTAGCGGCTATTAACAGCTTAGCGGCTTTAAGAAAAAGGAAACAAAGACGTTTCGTCTTGCGAAGCAAGCCCATAGGGAAATTCGTCTTGCGGAACGACTCAAAAAATGGAAAACTCTTTCGTCTATCGAGTTTTTCGTCTTGCGAGGCATTCGTCTTGCGGGGCACCACTGTACTTGAAGTCATAGTTAGGGTTGTACCGTCAAGTGGCAGCAGACAACTATCACTTACATTTTTATTTAAAATTATCTTTTTTATCATTTAGATGGCTTTCAAAAGGCTTCCCCTACTAGTAGGGCTGTAAGCCAACAAGACATCTGTAAAAAGAAAAATAGAGGCAATTCCTTTCAAGCTGATTGTCTCATTAGCTTTGCACACTGACCAAATGCTGGGATACAATCAGCAGTATACATGAGCAGAACAGTGCACCATCTGAAAATATTTATCACTTCCTACAGTAAGAAGGTGCTTATCTCTTGCTTCCTAAAGTTTATTTCTATGAAAATTCAGTCTATTTATCATCCTCCATGTATCCTTTGCTCAGTGGTGATTACTCTTCAGTAGATATGTATAGGATTGCACTATACATTTACAAATCCACTTCACATCTATTTCAACTATACTTCAAACTGCATTGAGTACAATTTTGTTGAATTATTAGTGGACAATTACCAAAATAAAAATAAAAATACACACATGCATAAAACAAATACATAAAACAATGAACACCCACATAAAAAATTATCTTTAAAAAGAGCAGAATCACAAATATACAAAAGCAACAATCTCCCCCAAAGTTTTATCTGTAATAACAGTTGCCACAGGACTTGCTGGATCAAGCCAAAGGCCAATCTAGTTTAGCATCATGCTTTGCACGTTGCCAACCATGTGTTTGGGGAGCCAGGAAGCAGGATACGAGCTCATGGCACCCTCATGTTTGTGATGCCCAGCAACTGGAATCCACAGGCATATGGATTCCATACCTAAACAATGAGGAGTTTACCAGCTCATGGATGAAAATTATGGTTAGAAAAGCCACTTTGATTGGTTTGCCACCTTCTCTTCTGTACCATCTGGGCTATGATACGCCCTTGAATCTCTGAGGCAAAGGCTCTGGGACATATCACATAGTGATCTCCAATCTCAGTCTCATGTTATCTGTGGCCCATTAGTAGAAATTCACTATGGGTTCAAGTTTCAGACACCTGCATATCTGAGAAATTTGTCTGTACCAACATATCAGCGTCTTTTCACCAAAGCCAGATTAAATGTATTCCCATCAGAAGTGTTGAACGGTATCCCTTATCAAAATAGGATCTGTGTGTGCTCTCAGGACGTCAACTGCATGTGGCATATTTTATTGCATTGCAGACAATATGATCAAGCTAAGGAACTGTTGATTAAACCACTATTGTAAAATCGACTGGGTCAATCCGAAGCCTACTATATCAAATATCTTCTGGACGACAAGTCCAATGATATCACAGTGGCCGTGGCAAAGTTTCTTTCAGTAGTCATACGAATCAAAGATCAACAGGCCCATGACTAAACAAATAACGCTTCAGAATCTGTATTTTAATCTGAATCAATGTTATGGGTCGTTGGACCGCAATAAAGATTATTATTATTATTATTATTACAGGCATATGGCTCAAAGTGGCTCAAGTTGGTGGTGATCACTATTACTTCTGACAAATTCTGTAACCTAATTCTGGTGTGAATAAATACTCTTTTTTGTCTGCTTTGAATTTTCCATTCAGCTTCTTTAGATTAGCCCAGGTTCTAGAATTATTAAAGTGGAAAGAGAACTTCTCTCCATTCACTTATCCATAACATAATTTTATATACCCTTTTCCCTCTAGTTCATTTGGGTTTCTTTCTCTTTTTTTAGATTTTTAGACAGAAGGTATCTTCAAGGTTTACATCTGGTGGTTTAACAGTTCCATGGTTTTAAAGCTCTAGTCGCCCAACTTCAGTGTTTATGCAAGAGCAGAAAGCATTCACTTGCTACGTTAACTAGAGGGAATTGGAAATGGTGGCTGAGTGTTATTTAAGGATATACTGCCAAAGATCTTCCTTTGTTAGAATAAAACCCTCCTGGGCTATCTCGCCTGCACTCATTTTTTAAACCAAAGCTATGATCAATACTTCAGAGAGTATGCTTCAGTTTTGAAAGCATTTTAAATGGCTTTCATTTGAATACATGTACTGTTGTGATTTATTTAACTTTATTTATCTTGCATAGGAGACATGGCAAGGATAAAATATGTGGCTAGCATAGCTGCTGATTAAAAATTAAGCACTTTGGAAAATGTTAAAAATTAAACAGAAAAAATAACAATTAAAATCATGCTGTGCCTTTACAGAGAAATCTATTTTTTCAATGATTAATAATAAAGCTTTACAAAGAGTTAAGAATAATCTTTTAAGTTATAATTAATTGGTACATGCTTGTTCTTGTTTAAACTAAGTTCTAACAAATGGAAATACATTTATAAAATAGGCCCTTAATTATTTATCTTCTAGGCAAATGGTGTTCTAATTTCTTAAAATGTAATTGGATGCAATTTAGGCAGCTCTTTGATTTAGTGACATGCTTCAAACCATTTAGGGAAACATTTAAGAAAGGAAATTAATCAGATGTCCCGTTTTAATTCTGAGAATTTAGCCAAAGCTTTTCAGTGTGTTTGATTACAGATTTGTTTTATATAACACTCCCATATGAATAAGAACTAACTTTTCAAAATTCTGGATGAACGTAATAATTGCTCTTTTAAATGCTATGATGATTATTAGGGTAGTGATAAAGTGGGAAATCAAATCCAAACTCTTCTTCTACTACTACTACTGCTATTTGGGTATAAGCACTATTAATTCCTAACAAACCATACTCACAACATAGAAATACAAAATGAGAACCCAAAATACATAATACAGCAAAAACAAATCAATAACCCTACCTCCCACAAATATATTATTATTATTATTATTATTATTATTATTATTAATTGTGGATTGCTGATTTTATCCTAGGTTTGGCTAACCAAGCACCCCAGTATGGGGCAACATTTTCACAGGTGGAAGAATTACCTTAACCACCTGCTTCTCCCTTGCCAGAACATTTCAGTCTAGCTGTTACAATTTTCCTTCCATCACAGAGACAACTGCAGAAGCTCACCTCATACTATCCCTTCCTCAGTGAGACCCACAACTTCAGTGCCTCACTCCTCGGACCTATCTCCATATCTCACCGGCCTCTGGCTCTCTGAGATGAAAAAAGCAACTACTTTGCATGCAACTTTCCTGGTATCTTCATTTTTCTATAATGAACTTGGATCTAAGATTCCACCTCATAATTCCCGATCTCTGCTACAGTAACTAAGCACATGGTCCAGACAGCATATGGGTTGGCTTACCCGTGTAATGCATGAATCCTTTCTATTATGTGTTTCTTTACAGGTGCTTCACCCCACAAAGCTGTTTCCTTGCTTCTAAGTCACTTCCAATTGACTGTATTGCTATTGACTGTATTGACCTGTATTGCTATCACCTTTAAACCTTGGTTTATAAATAAACATTGCACTTGCAACAGGCGTGGTTATTGCTGGCTCTCTGGAGCAAGCACACAAATACTGATTGAAATTCCACAAAGTAAGCAATGTTATCCAAGATAATTCAATTCAGTAAGCATGCAGACAATTATTTCTAGTAAAGATTCCTCGAGTAGTACTGTTAATTCAAAAATTAGGACTTATATACGATATGTGGTTATGCACACTAGCAAATCTGGTAATAGTCTCTACACAACTGCAACTCCCTGTCTGAATATTAGAAACAATAAAATAAAACTATAACCACTGGTCTGTACAATATTCCAATATTTGGAATGGATAGTTAAGTTTCAATGTGGTGTTTGGACTAAGTGGCCCTACTAGTCCTTGTGTTCTGTGGTTAAATTGCTTATAAGTCACTCATGAGGTTCTTAAATTAATAGATATATCCAGACCATAGCATTTAGCAAGCAACCCTTTGCTTTACTTGACAATCTAAAAGACGTAGGGAATAAACTGTCTTCTTAATGACATTGCCAGACAATAAAGCCTGTATTTACTTGTTATCATGTTAATCCTTAATCCTATTGGATATATGCCCTGGGTCTTCTTTCACAACACTAAAGTCTTGATTAAGTTGTACTCAGCACACTCTTCTTTCTACTTAAAACAGCTTTATTGATTTCACTGCAAGACTCTACTCCGTTGTTGCAATAGCCTGTTAATTAACTAATTTCGGCAACATTGGTTGCTATCCTTTCTCTGTGCTATTCTAAAATAATATACTGTATGACTTCATTTACACCTGCATAGATAATGTAGCCACCATTTGTTTAAAGTACATCCTTAAGGCTATACATAGCACAGAACAAAGAATTATATGTGCAGGGAGATGTAGATTCTCTGACACATTAAAAATTTATCCAAGAATGTCCAGAAGGCTGAGAAAGTTCCATTGAGGCCAATTTCATTTTGTGACTAGTTAAATATGCTGTTAATGAGTTTAAGGAAACAAACAAGCATAAAAACATAGGTGGAAAGTTGTTCTGATTTGCAATATTACCCACACACTATGAAGGCAGAAGACACATGGCCTCAGTTGTTCAGGGCTTTAAACACCAGTGTAAGCACATTGAATTGGGCCTTATTTCTATAAGGTGAAAACCAGCACAACTGCTTCAAAGCATGGGTTACATGAACTCTAAATGGAACCCTGGGCAATAATCTGGCTACTGTATTTTGGATCAGTTAATGCAGGGGTCATCAACCTAAGACCCATGGGCCGGAAGTAGCTCATGAAGGTCGTTTGACCAGCCCACAAGCTGCCCCCGAACTGAGGTGCCCGCTCATGCGCTGCACTAAACTGGCGCAGTGCGTGGACTCACTTCTGTGGCACTGGAAATCGCGTCTGTGCATGCACAAATGCCAGAAATCGTGGGGGAGGGGACCGCGCACAATTTGGCCCACAGAAGGATATCCGCGGGACCGATCTGGCCCAGGCAAGATAAACCTTGCCGACCCCTGAGTTAATGTGTTTGAATAGTCACAGAATGCACTGCAGTAGTCCAATCTGAAGGTTACCAGAGTGAGGGAGCACAGAGTCCTCGTGATCTGTGTCCCAGAGGGGCCATAGCTGGTGAAAGCAGATGGAGCCAGAAATATGCACTCCTAGCCCAATGCTACTTGAGCCTCCAATGTTAGATCCAGGAGTAGCCAAACTGAGTAAATAAACATGATATAATTGGAGAACTTGTACATGATTGGTGTTCCTCCTCCTGTCACCATTTCTTTCTTGTGCTTCGTAAGTAAGAATACAGATTAAGTGAATCTATCTCCAGAAGAAACTCTGAAAAGGATAATGTATTTTGAAACACGTTTTGCTTTCAAAGCTGATGCATTGCGAAGGTTAAAGAGGTTAACAAGGCTGATTCTCGAGCACAGGCAGACCTTATGGTAATTCTTTTAATTTTTTAGGCTGAGCCACTAGGCTGTCATAAGTAAGGAGTGTGAGTAATGCACTTCTTCACACATGAAAGGGCTGTAGCAAACATCTTAATTTCCCGAAAGCAATTGCTTCACAGTACAGTACTGGAGATGAATTTCAGAAACTCCATTTTGATGCACAATACACATTTAAACAAATGCATGTATTTAAATAGTTTTGCTAGTTTTCACTTAATGGTAAGTTTCAACGATGTCTAGTGGCTCAGTGAAATGGTACTAAGATTAAATTTGTTGTCTTTCTGGTGTCTACTGAATACCTTTCTCTTCCAACAAGTGTTATAAGTAAGACCTTTCTCAGTTTGCATCTGCATCTGTATTGGAACTGTTTTTAAGATGTTTTATTGTTTTGTTGCTTGTTGTTTGCTGCCCTGGGTGAGATATCAATTTTAATAACAACAATAATAATGTTAGCCCCTCTCTCTTGGAATTTGCATTTCAACTACTGAATTCATTTTAATTTTTTAAAATCATGTCAATCTCTAGGTAAAATGTATTTTTAAAAAGCGAGGAGGGGAGTAATTCCAGTAATTCCAACTAAGAGGAAAAGAGGAGATGCATGCTGCAATCCTTTTTTACCTGTTTCTGTTGCTGGAAATCCAGTCTGATATTAGGGTTGCAGCCTGCTGGTGGCAGTGCTTGTTACCAAAGCTGCAAGCCAGCATAATGACTTCACGGCGTAACTCCCTGGGTAACCCCAAAGCAGAAACAAAAATTGTGTTAGGGTCATATTAATGAATATGTTCAAGTGCTCAAATGAAAATGCACAATTGTTTACAAGATCTAAACCAGCGGTTCTCCCCCAATGGACCACCTGAAAATTGCTGAAGGTCTTGCTTGTTGTAGCAATTGTAATGCACTGTGCTAGTTTTTGTATTGCATTTTTTATTGTATTTTTACAATTTTATTTTGTAAAATAATATATAATATATAAAAAGATTTTTATTCTTTTATTTTTTATATGTTACATATTATTGTATTGCAACTGAATCCCATAAAATTCAGACTGTAATACAATCAAATGCAATATAAGAAATTAAATATAATTAAAAATCTATATGATAATTAATAAGGTGGTTGTGCTCCCTCCTGTCTTGAACCACTAATCCACAGATTCGCTGCAGTTCACCTAAACAAAGCTCGTGGACCACTGGTGATGCACAGACCACAGTATCCTACAATGGTAAATCAGTTAATAAGCAATTACATTTCTACAAAGCCAGCCAGTTACAAGCATGCATGCCCCTTGGTCTTGGTCCTTCTCCCAAATGCAGCTAGAACTTAAATCATAACTAAGGAGCGGTTTAGTTTTCAGAGCCTAGTAAAAGTAGACACTTCCATAATAGTAAAGCCCCAAAATGAAAACAAAAGGCACAATCCTTTGCAATTTTATGTCCCACTGATTCAACAAGAGAGGTGGAAATATATTATCTTACGATAATTAGTGGAGCGTGCCCAGAAATAAGCATCAGGTTCATTAAGCCTATGGAGTTTGGTTCACTACAAATGCTCTACAACTGTTAAAAATGGAAAAGAAAAGTGTTACAGTACTCGTGTTGGTAGGAAGCTTGAACAAATGATTTGTCCAAATTATTTGTTGGCCATCCAAGCTTAAGATACATTGAAGCAACTTGTCTTAATATATATTCCTGAAACACAAAAGGGGGAAAAGAACCCTGCATTAGATATTTTCATAGTTAAAAGATAACATGCTCCATTCAGTCCAAAGATAGCTTTTAAAATAGTTTTATTACATGTGACATTTTAAAGATAGTAGTAGCCTATCTTTTCAGCCATGTGTGTCATCAGTGGGGCTCAAAGTATGAGATAATGTCACTTGTTGTGTGGCACCTACCAACCTGCACAGTGAGGCTTTGTGTTTGGCAGCAGGCTGTGTGTGTGTGTGTGTGTGTGTGTGTGTAGAAGGTCTGATTTTAAAGTGGGAACCATGCCAGTGGCCATCAGTGGAATCCTAGCTTTCAGAGGCTGAGTACAGTGGTACCTTGGTTCTCGAACATATTCCATCCTGAAAGTCCATTTTTACTTCCGAAACATTCAAAAACCAAGGTGCACAGTCTGATTGGCACATGCACCCAGGAAACAATAGCCGACAGCCACATCAGACATTCGTCTTCCAAAAAACGTTTGAAAACTAGAACACTTATTTCCAGGTTTTCGGCTTTCAGGATCAGAAGTGTTCGAGTACCAAGGCGTTCGAGAACCAAGGTGACACTGTAGTTCCAAATGGATGAAGCCTTCAGAGAGAATAACTAGTGCCATATCCACTTTCAAAGCAGAGAATGAACATACTCTTGGAACCCCTGGCCACATCATAAAATGGTTTTCCCCAAATTTTAAGGTAGAGTACTGTTGTGCTCATGTCCAGTTTATGGACTACTCATGGTCACCTGCTTGGCCACTATGAGAACAGAATGCTGGACAGACTGGGCCATTGAGCTGATCCAGCAGGCACATTTTATGTTCACAAGTTTCTTTCTACGCCAGCCACAATGAATGGACAGGAAAACCTGGGTCCAAAAAGTCTTCCCAGCTCAACTTAAAAATCCTCCTGAGAGAATGGGGTTTAGAAGTGCTTGAAGTCAGCTGGATCATTCCTGGTTTTCTTAAACATGTAATGATGTATGTTTGACACAAGTATGAAAATACTAGCTTCGACAGGCTAGTATTTACCTTGCTAGGCTACTCTTGACTTTAAAAATGCATGTTTGAGTAATGTCCGTCATTAAACATTTACAAGTGACACATTTAGGCCACACACAGAGATGAAATTGATAGGCTTGGCTGTCTTTATATGCACAGATATGGCAAAACCATTACGTAGGCACAGCCAATTGATGTGATAATATTGAATAATGTGAGCTGCATATCAAGATTGGACAATTTAACGATGCCTGTATTTCAATGTCATTTTAGTTGTTGGCACTTTTACAAAGGCAAGCGTAACAAGTTTTCTGCTTTTGACCCTTACACAATAGGGACCTTTACTTTTTATGACAAGTTGTAAAGTATGCCTCTGCCATCATAGTCATATTGTAATTTTCTTACTGCCAAATACTCATGTTTAAGTGAAATATAAATTCAATTCGGTTTTAAGAATGTAGTTTACGTTATAGTAGCACAATATGAGTGAATAATTTTTATTTACACAGCAGCTCAGTTGCATAAGGATGGTATATGACAATATACCGTCCTTTGGCAAGTAAGTTATTCGTGTGACAAAAATTAATTTACGAAGTCTGTTGTCAGCTCTTGCATGCTACCTTGAGAAGATGCAGAATAAGCCAGCAATGTTTTTGCTATTATTTACTCAAATTGCATTTTCACCCAGTCAGACTAAATAGGGCGTCAGCAAAAGATAATTTATAATGATTCTTCAGCACAGGCAACAACAGGCTGGCAACTCTGATTTCAGCATTGCATGACAGGGAAGGAAGGGCACACTGCATGGAGCTCAGTGTCCATTGGCAGTCATTAGAAGGATGAAAGAATGGAGGCATCACGCTAGCATGGAGCTGCAATAATTCCTTGCCTCCCTCTGCCCCCATACTTGTGTCAATGTAGGTGGCAAAGGACCTTCAGGAAAGGGTGGGGAAAGCTCAAAATGCATGAGCCAAGTTTTTTTAAAAAATGAAGTAAACTTTTATAGGACATACACATTTTCATCTCGTATTTGTTGCTAGCTGGTTTAGGTTTCTAACTGGTCCTGGGCTACATTTAAACCAGACCATATGTTGTTGAGCATTTAATTCATGCAGAATGTGTCTTTTTTCATAGAATCATGTTGAAAGGGACCCTAAGGATCATCTTCTAGTCCAACTCCCTACAATGCAGGAATATACAGCTGTCCAACATGGGAATCAAACTTGCGACCTTGGTGATGTCACCACCACGCTCTAACCAACTGAGCTACCTCAATTTCTGTATTTTATTCTATATTGCAGGTAGGACTGGGGAAAATCCCTGTCTGTAACACTGAAAAGCAGATGCCAGTCAGTACATACTGAGGTGACTCATAGTTTCATATCTTCCTAACTTATTAGACGAATCATGATACAACCCCCTTATTTATTTTTCTTTTCTTTTTCAATTCCCTGGAAGACAGTGTGCCCTTCTCTTCAGTACTGGGAATGCATATCTGCTGGTTTTCTTTTGTTTTAAAGGCAAATAGTCCATCCACCCCCCTGCCCAACTATATACACACACATAAAAAGGAACTTGTGGCACAGGGTCCAAAGTGCATTTGGGATGCATCTTGGCTATGCAGAAAGGCCCTAAGCAAGTTACAAGATTTTACTGGGGTGGACAACAATAGTTCAGTGGTCACAAGAAAGAAAGACAAATATATTTACATTGAAGATGTTGTAGTTTTCTGTGCGGTCCAACAATTTATCTAGTGGATACAGGGCTCGGCTGGCAGCATGCCAAGGCAGAAATTCCTTTTCCTTGGACAGGTATCTGATAATCTCTAGTGGAATGTTCTGCGGCAAATAGCCAGCTCTGTATAATCAAAGAAGTTATTGTGAATCATTAATTGGAAAAAGGTCATGGTGACACTAGAAACTGAGGTAAGCTTTTCCTTGTGCAGATACAAATAAAAAACTATAATCATTTCATTATATTATACAATGAGGTCAATATTCTTTAAGTTTTCAAGTGCGGAGTGTTCTTTAGAAATGAATCTATGCATCATAACATATAATTTAAATGAACTCATGTCTGCAAGGTCAAAAGGATTTAAAAAAAAAGCCTGATGATAGGAACTGAACAGTCACAAACATTTGTTACAGAAAATATTTATAAGGTCATTATGATTAAATGGGAAGAAGCTAACTCCCAAGATGCCATTTTTCATTATAGTACCATCTTGCTCCAACATTCTCCCAACATTTATTAATTCAACGGAGAAGACATAGGCCACATTCAACCTTTTAATGTTGCCATGATAGTTGATATAATAGTAGCTTGGAATAATTATGAAAGTAACGTGTTTCATATTTATTAGCTATTATTAGTTTGCTAGCAATTCCTATGAAACATGGGGAGATTTAGGAGGCATAATCCCATCAGTCGGTGGAGAAGCATCATGACTGTTTCGGGGGGGGAACAATTAAATGAAAATACTACAGAATACTTTCAATTAATTCACAAAAAAGAAAAAAAAAAGCCCCATAACATCATATGAATCCCAAGATTCCTAACTGATTGACACAAAAATAAATATTTAAATTGCTGAAATGATTATAGGAGCTTTCAATGAGTTAGCTAAAGACCACATATCTAATTCTGAAGGGACGATTTGTGAGTTGTGCAGCTGACCTTGGTTTCTTCACTTACATTGAGCGACTGAACTCACAGATAGAGCTCAGTACATTCATTTTCCCCGTAGGGACAAAGTACCAAATGGTAGTGTAATTGCCAAGGGAAAATTATTACTCCATTCTGAATTATTTCCACCATAAATCCAAAACCCGTCCAACAGACTCTGTCACAAAAACAACAGTGTTGCAGTAAAGTGCTGAGAGTCCCACATACAAGTGAGCCATAAATTCATGAGCCCACCATCCACCAGAGCCATCCCGAGATGTGCTTAAATCAAAATTAGAAAACCCAAGCTGGTCACAAACTGGCTGACAGTGTTGAGACAATGGGAATGAGGTGATTTAGGTGCTACCGTTCTAAAAGGCACTCTGCATCATCTGCTTCATATGGGATGTACAGAACGTGAGTAGCTTATGGCTGTTCAGATACATCCCCACCTCCACTTACAAAGTGACAAGTCCTACTTTTTCTTATGTAAATCTGTAACAAAGATTGTTTAGTGCCTGCACCGTTGTGTCTGTGCATTGTCATGGAACACAAGAAAATGACACAAACGCAAAATTCAGTGGAATTTGTTGTTCAGAGATTTTTTCCTCTTGAAAATAAAGCAAAGGATAAGGCTATTTGGGTACGACATGAAAGGAAAGGTGCTACATTTCACTCTAATGATTCAATGGTTATGCACAGCTCTTTTGTATTACTGTATAGTAGATGATAATGGCATGAGTGTTGAGAATGACACATAATTATGAGTTATTGGCAAATTTTAAGCCCCATATTTTCCTGGTGCTTCTTCTGCTGCTCATCATAGCTACGGGAGCTGTGGACAAACAGTATAGGCCTTGGAAGGCAACAGTGAGAAGATGAGATGGCATGGGCAGTGTCCCTGCTGGTGCCTGTGATGGACACCCTGGGTCTGCCTCCAGTGGGAACTGGCAAGTCAATCAGCCAATCAGGAGATAGAGGGTGGAATTTAAGTTGGATGCAGACAATCTGAGAGCGCAGTCAGGGCTTGCCTGAACGTTAAACCTGGGATTAGAGATAGGGACTTTCTATCTGGTTGGGCAGAATGGGGGTGGCAACAGGTCAGCCAAGGATCCACTAGATCCTAAACAGATTGTGCAGCCAGATAGAAGCCCAATTCAGGCCCCTCTGCTGTGTCAGTCTAGAGCTGATACAGCTAAATTTAAGAAAAATACTCTCCAGCCACTTTCTGATCTGGTTGGTACAAGAGATATGCCTTTGGATGAAGCAGCAGCTCCACTGCTCCATCCAGCCCTGGTGCTCCATGGCCAGGTGTTAGGATGGCTCCCCACAACATTAGAAGAAAAGATGACACTGACATAATTCATCAGTGTTTAGTAATGATGGAACCATATTTTACTGACAAGGTTCAGCCTTGGTACATTTATTTTAAACATGTTTATATCACCCTTCATGGAAACTGATTCCTGGATGGATCACACAATGAAGAATATCAAAAGACTATAACCACACAATTAAATAAAGTATCAGGCCAACATAACTATTAGCAGTATCTAAAATCAATCAATTTATTACTGCCTTTGGCAATTCATAGGAAATAATTGGAGATTTTTTAAAACCCATAGACTGTGTTGGAACATGTGAAAAGTATTAAAGTCAATGCCTAACTAAGTTGTGAATCACACATTAGATTGCTATGGATCATACTAGTGCATAACAGAATTCAGAAAGCTATTGAAAGAAAAAGCTGCTCTCCTCAAAGTAATTAGTTCGCAGTAATCCCACTCAATTAAATTGTTCACCATTGAGGGCTGTGGTCTTGATTTTCAAACTTTAATGTAGAGGCAATAATGAAGGTTAAATACAAGATAAACAAAATGTTCATTTACACAGAAACCGTATTATTCCTTGTGAATGCATTAAGAGAACATTATCAACAACTCTGCATGTGAGAGCTGATATTTGGGAAGGTTTTGGATGTGTTTCACTGGCTTTGGTGGAAACCTTGAATGTTCTCGCAGTCTATTGCTCTAATTTCTGATGCTTAAATTGGTCTGAAAACCCTGACTTTTCTGGTCATTAGTTTGAACAGGGGTTTAAACAACATCATTAGGGGATAATATGGATCCAATTACCTTGAATATGCTTGAAGACTTTGGATGTTGTAATGAATTAAATTTGGCTCTCTGGGGAGGGATTAGTGTGATAAAGATGACTACAAATTCACACTTTAATTTTGCTACACAGATGCTCCCAACAGACAATTCAGGGAACTATCATTTCCAAAACACGGAGAGCATTTAAGGGGTTGTATGTTTCTTTCATATAAATGAAGGCATAACATTTAGCTACTGTAATCAATGAGCCTATATGAACCAGAGGAAGAATGTGTTGCACTCTGTATCTTAGAGGTCAGTTTTCAAGAAATTATCAGTGGACTAGACAAGTGCTTATAATTAAGCTGAAGTTACCCACCAGTGAAGTCCAAAATAAAATAATAACAGCCACTTACTACAAAGTATTGCTGTGAAAATAAAGAAGGATATATCAATAGGCTTATGACTTACAAGCTTTTGCTCCTTACAATAGACATTATTAAAATGTTTAGTTCAAAATTCATTCAGTGAAATGAATAAAAATAAAGATCACTTAGGTGTAACCTTCTACACCAAAGTACAATAACAGATGCTTTGTATGCATTGTTAGGTAAGAGAATACCTTATGAAGCAAGTAAGCCAGCTTTCCCATTCCTTTCAATCAATATTGTCACATTGTGAGTAATATAATCTAACAAGCATTCCCAGTTCCTCAAATTCCCACACTTTCCCACACGTCTTTCCAAGGCCTTTATGATTTCCAAACAGTCGAAATGAAGGTCAATCTAGATGAGGCTTTTGGAGATCTGTGATTGGCTCTCCTAAGGGGTAGGTGTGCATGTGTGTTTTAAGTTAAAAGCAGTTTCTGGCAGAGATTGGATAGGAGCTGTGTTCCTGAGAGAAAGTTAAAACTTCCCCCTATACTGTTTTCCCCCATTTAAATCCCCTTCTCCCTACCCAGAAGCTGCTATTTGTCCATGAGGAAATCATACAAGAATTATGTGTATAAGTCAAAACTGACAGTACAAAGTCAGTTTTTGACTTACAAAGCCATAAATAAATCACTTACAACCTTTTTCATGTGCCTCATTGTGACCCGTAAGATGCAAGTCTCTTAAGAATGCCATCCTTACATCAATTTCAAAGAAAGGGCACTTAAAGAAAGAGCCCTGTGGCTTATTAATCACGAAACTCTATTAAGGTTTGGAAAAACCTCGAGCCTTTTCAGGAAACAGTTTAAGAATTCTTAATTTGGGGCTGGCATTTCCTGTTCTTGGTCAACTTGTTCCTACACTTCACAACTTTTATTACAGTACAAAATAGAAAAGTAAGCAAATTAACAGTAACTGATGTTATAATAAAATATATTCATTGCTTTGACAAGTGAAGCAGAACACAGCAACACTGTAGCCCCCTTCAGACATTATAACTAGGAGTGAAATAAATACTTCTACATGCATTGGAGCCCCAATAACACATGGGTAGCCCTGTTGTATCGTAGCACACACTACAGTGGTACCTGTGGTTACGTACTTAATTCGTTCTGGAGCTCCGTTCTTAACCTGAAACTGTTCTTAACCTGAAGCACCACTTTAGCTAATGGGGCCTCCCGCTGCTGCCGCGCCACCACTGCGCAATTTCTGTTCTCATCCTGAAGCAAAGTTCTTAACCTGAGGTACTATTTCTGGGTTAGCGGAGTCTGTAACCTGAAGCATATGTAACCTGAAGTGTATGTAACCTGAGGTACCACTGTACTGGAGTCATTGTCCATAAGTTGGAAGCAACCAGAATAGTGATGGTAGGCAGAGCTAGTGTATCCCTCCCCTATTCTCCTCCTCATGTGTTCACCCTAACTTTAGTGTCAGAAGAGGGCTAAAATTATAACTTATAAAGACAGAAGACACATGCTTTAAAACCAGTGTTTTGGGGTTGTACTTAGATAGATAAGGGTGAAAAAAATATGCTTTAGTGCTCATCCAGACTTCCTTTACTGCTGCATTTCTAGGCATAGGTCTGTGCTTTAAAGTTCAGTGTCCAAGTGTTATCTTTTCTCCCTGGCACTTTCCTTGCAAAAACATGCTCTTGACCACTGGAAACCATTCCACAGGAAACCCAAACTGTCGTTTGTCCCAATTCACCATTAAAGAGTGGGTTGACACGGAACAGGAAATTGTGGGGCAAAAGGTAAGTGTGGGTGAGCCCTTAATCCAGAAAAGATGGGGGTGATGGTTCCAAAACAGGGTGTTCTAGGCTATGTGAACATAACTGTAACCAGTGAGGGATCTCTAGCACCACAGGAACCTTTAGGGAACCTGAAGATGCTACCGAAAACAGTATTGCTACTGGGAAAATGATAAAAACACATACAATTCACTTCCTTTTTTATATATATACATACATACACACACACATAAGGAATACACTGCATGTGTGTGATCATCAAATACTTGATCATAGAAAGTACTGACCACCATTCTCATTTAATTAGCATTTATTGAAAGGTCTACATTACCTTAACTATATAACACACATAACTCCCATTCAAAAGTCCCTCATCTATTGTCAACAGACAATAAAGAACTCTATATTGTGGCATGCAATAGCACTGAGAATATAGTACCTGTAGTCCACAGAGTCATATATGGCACTCTCATTCCTCCCTAAGTACAGTGGTACCTCGGGTTAAGTACTTAATTCGTTCCAGAGGTCTGTTCTTAACCTGAAACTGTTCTTAACCTGAAGCACCACTTTAGCTAATGGGGCCTCTGGCTGCCGCCACGCCACCGGAGCACGATTTCTGTTCTCATCCTGAAGCAAAGTTCTTAACCTGAAGCACTATTTCTGGGTTAGCGGAGTGTGTAACCTGAAGCGTATGTAACCCGAGGTACCACTGTATACAAAACTCACTCTGCTGAATTTTTCCAAGTACTACAGTAAGAATTCCCCTTTCCTCCTCCTGGTGGCTGCCTGACAAAGTCTCCAACTAAGGAATGCTTGACTACTTCATTTGTATTGGAGCTTTTGAAACACCACAACCAGTGCTGGAATTGCATCCATGATTGAGCTGGTCCTCGGGACTTCTGAAACTTCCTTGGAGACAGCTCAGAAGCTGAGAACAGTGGGCAATGCACAACCTAGTACCTGACAGGAGTAGGGAAGCAGCAGCATATCTGAGCAACATTGCTATAGTTGTATTGGCTACCAATTTGGTCATGAGACAATTCATCCTGTTTTATAAAAACATTTAGGACCTAGCTCAGAATTTCTTCATACTGAGAAATCAGGCCTGTGTCAAGAAAAATAATGATCTCTGCAGTAGCAAGCAAAATGTGGCACTACTCTCTCTTTTTTGCCAAATTTTTAAGAACCATTAATTTATGCAACCCATTTTGGATGTAGACAATAAATACACATATTATCATTCATATATATATATATATATATATATACACACACACACACACACACACACACACACAATTTTCGTAATATAACAGTATTAGAATATATACAAAACTGAATCAAGCTTATGAACACTTGATAAAATGTATAAATATATAAATATTAAATAAGATTATGAATATGAAATGTTTATTTAAATAATTACTTTCCATACCTAATATTATATATATTACATCAGCATATAATCGAACTCTGTTCCAGCTATTTACGACTGTTTTTACGTATTCTATGAATGACTTCCATCTATTTACTACCCTTTTATACATGCCTTGCTTTCTTCTCATTATTCTTGAGGATTGTTTCTGCATTGGATAACCAAGTATCATAAAGCAGAGCAAGAAATGTGTATGTCAGAGCAGGGAGGGGAAATCTGAAGCTTGAAGATTTTTATCATCAGAAATTATATATTGCACAAATATCATTTGGGGACAAAAAGTCATTCATTAGTGAAATGGGAACACGTTATTAATCTCCAATGTATTAAACTGACTTTAAAGGGAAATTAATCAAGCATCTATACACAGAAATACCCTGAGGCTTTTATCGATCAGGAATGAGGAAAGTGCGGCTAACGGTGTTTGTGCTTCGTCTCATGGAAAGACAGAAAATTGAAGAAAGCTGGGTGGGATTTGAAACACGTTTTAAAAGGTAGGTTCAACCTTAAAGCATGCCTAGGCTAACCAGGCAAATATAGGAGTATTACAGGGAGGTGTATTAGAATAGATTATCTACAGAAAAACATACCTGGCTAAATTGAATGCATCATCGATCAAACCCGCACGATTACTGACAGAGATTACCTATGAGGGTACAGGAGAAAAATTGAACACGTCAGGATAACACAAAAACAGCAGGGATTTCAGAAATCACAAAAATATTCAGGCAATATGATGAAATGGGCTTACCTTATGGTTCCTCATCAGTTGGTCAATTAATAATCTCCAATTTCTAATGTCATAGTTAACCCTAAAATAGCCAGTTTGATTGATGTTCCCCAGCAGCCAGTTTCCCTCATTAAGGGAAGCAATCCTGTGATGCTCTGCAAAGAAAACATAGGGAGGGAGGAACTTAAAATTACTGGTTCAAAAAGTTTTAACATTTTATATTGTACCTAGAAAATAATTTCCCAGCTTCTTTCAGCACAGTAAAATGTTTTTAATTTGAACAGGCTACTTTAATTTCTCTCATAAAACACTGTAGATGAAAAATTCCACTCTTTCAAGAGGACAATTATTGATATTAATATCCAGATAGATATGGTTTGGGCTGACTATAAAAATGCTTTTCTAAATTTGCAGTGGAAATATAGAATGCATTTAGTATATTTTTTCCCCCTAGAAAAGTCTGGTTATCATGGATGCTACTAACAAAAACGGAAGCCCATATGCTAGTTCTCTCTAGACAACAAGATTTTAATAAACTCCAAACCAGGTAGCTGGCTTTAATTCGGCTTAGGACAAAATTCCTACATTCATCTCTGATGTGATAAATATGTTACAAGATAAAGCTCTACCTCATCAGTTTCATGTGGTGAATATTATTTTATAAATGCACCCTCAAATGGTGACAGCTAGTATTTATCACATCAGGAAGCTTGTTAGTTCTCAGTGTCTACCACTGAGGCGGCAAAGACCAACTGTTGCCACGACAGAGCTCATTCATGAAGAATGTTCACCACATGAAACTGATGGAGGAAAATTATATCATGTGGACTTAATTGCATCCGAAGTGAATAAAGGAATTGAACCATAGTCACTAAATCGGCTGGACAATGCTTGCTTAATTCTAAATATCCGATTTGTGGACCAAAGTCAGGCTGGAATGCAAGGGAGAGGGAGCCTTTATGACATATGGATTGCAAACAAGATGTAGTTCTGATCTGAGTTGATTTGTTGCACAAATTAACTTCACCCACACTATATGCAGCTCAAGTATAAAGTCAGGCATAGGCAAACTCGGCCCTCCAGATGTTTTGGGACTACAACTCCCATCATCCCTAGCTAACAGGACCAGTGGTCAGGGATGATGGGAATTGTAGTCTCAAAACATCTGCAGGGCCGAGTTTGCCTATGCCTGTATAAAGTGATAGAAGAACAGAAGAAGAGCCCTGATGGATCAGGCCAAAGGCCCATCTAGTCCAAAATCCTGTTCTCACAGTGACCAACCAAATGTTTATGGGAAGTCTGTGAGCAGGACCTTAACACAACAGCACTCCTCATTCCCGTAGTTTCCAGAAACTGGTATTCAGAAGCATACTGCATCTAACCATGGAGACAGAACATAGCCGTCATGGCTGGAAGCCATTGAAAGCCTATCCTCCATGAATTTGTCTAATCCTCCCTTAAAGCCATCTGAGTTGGTGACAATCACTACACCTAAAACTATGTGCTTATATGAATGAAATCTTTCTTTTGTCTGCCCTGAATCTTCCAACATTCAGTTTCATTGGATGGCCATGGGCTCCAATACTATGAGAGGAAGAAAAACAAATCTATATTCGCTTTTCCCACAGCATGCAGGTTCTTATATACCTCTATGATGTCCCCCTTTTTTTCTAAACTAAAAGTCCCATCTTTACCTCATGGGGAAGTTATTCCAGCCCTTTGATAATTCTAGTTGTGCATTTCTCAACCTTTCCCAGTTCTACAATATGCTTTTTCAGCTCAAGCAATCAGAACCGTACACAGTATTCCAAGTCTGGCCATACCATAGATTTATGTAACGGAGTTATGATGCTGTAAGTTTTCTTTTCAATCCTTGCTCCTAATTATTTATAACATCAAATTTGCATTTTTTCCACAGCTCCTGCACACTGGTTCATCCAAATATTCATTGAGCTATTCCCAAAGTCTCTTTGGGGCATGCCCTTTTCCTTAGTGGTTAACAAAGAGAGAGTGAAAAACAATCATACTACACATGGACTATTAAAGATGGTCAGCACCATGATTTTATCCTTGCTTTATTCAAATTTCTGCTGCAGCTTCACAATTTCCCTTTCAGTGTTCTTTCACCCATGTTTTACTCAAACTTAGGCTGTAGCTTAAAACCAACACTTTGCCCCTTTTAGTGAGGAAATTAACTGACAGAGAATTTCCCTTACCCCCCCCCAATCATTTACTGCACACGAGTTTCCTCCTTTTTCTTTTCTTTGTGACCCCTCCTGTTTCATGCACCCTTTAGAACCTTTAGAAAAGGCCAATGAAAACAGTTTGATCTTGGACTAGTAGTAAAAATATAGTATATAGAGATACAGTGATACCTCAAGGTTACATACGCTTCAGGTTACAGACTCCGCTAACCCAGAAATAGTACCTTAGGTTAATAACTTTGCTTCAGGATAAGAACAGAAATTGTGCTCTGGCAGCGCGGCGGCAGTGGGAGGTCCCATTAGCTAAAGTGGTGCTTCAGGTTAAGAACAGTTTCAGGTTAAGAATGGACCTCCGGAACGAATTAAGTACTTAACCCGAGGTACCACTGCATATAAAAGTGCAGATTCATTTATTAATTCGCTTTGTCAGTGGCCCCAGCTTTCTATGCCTGTGTTTTCTATTGTTAAGTGTTTTCAAAATACAGTAAACATTTTACACACATTAACTGATTTGCTTTTGGAACTTTTAAGAAACCTACAAAAGGTTTTTAAAAATCTAAAGTCACTGTAATGTTAACAGAATCCAGTCAGAGCCTGGAGCAGTTACAGGCCAGGTTTGATGGAAAAGACCAGGAGCCAGTCCAGAGCCATGTTACAGTCCAGACAAGGAGCATGTGAACAAATTAACTATTCCTGCATTTTAACAAAGTCCTAAAACAGCACTCGACTCAGCAGACCTAGAACCCCTTCTCAGCCACCCCAGAAGCCCAGACATTTTCTTTCCCCAGAGTTCTGCTTAGTTTTAACTTAAATGGATAGTAACATATCAACTAAGACAGGCTGTAAATTGACATAGGTAATTAAGGCAGAATAAGATTATGCACACCTAGGTCTTGAGGCTGTTGAAGTGGGCCTAATGTGTGCTCCAGTTTGTTCTAAATAAAATGGTTTGGTCACCGCCCTTTATGTAAAGACTACATCTTCATCGTTCTGCACTCAGTCATAAGAACATAGAATTGTAGAGCTGGAAGGAACCTTGAGGATCATCTAGTCCCCCCCTGCAATGCTGGAATCTTTTGCCCAATGTCGAACCCACAACTCTGAGATTAAGAGTCTCATACTCTACCAAATGAGCGATCCCGATTGTCTCCCCACATCAAACTGTCTACAACCATCAGTACTCTTATATAATAAATTATTCCAGGTCAAATCAATCTGCAAGCACTATTTCCAGCATCATCTGTATCAACAAGTTGCCAGATTCATAGGATCCAAAAATAAACACATGTCCCAGCATGCCTTTCTATAAAGTCACTCCCTCTTCTTTTTTAGCATAATTAATTATCCTATTTAGCCCATCAAGCTTTTAATGAGTGGTAACTGCTTCAGGATTGGAAAACACTTCTTTTTTTTAAGTAATCTTAATGATCCTCTTTCCCTTCAAAGCCCCCCACCAAAAATGATGTAAGTAAACACACACACACACACACACACACACACACACACACACTATTGTCTGGGGGTGCTCACCTACACAAATAGGCATTTCAGTAAAATTTAAATTCAGTAAATCAAATAAAAATAGGCAAACCGCTAAATGGGGAAGACAAACAGTGTCTTGGAGCTTAGTTTAAAAGTACAAAATGTCTGTGAGATGGGAAAGCATGTGTTGTTTTTTAAAAAAATTGGGGGGTGGGATTCTTTTTTAAAAAATGCTTGACATTCTGCAAGATCCAATTCAAAATATTGCAACAAATGACACCTCACCCCCAAAAATTAGCCTACTGAAATAGAGAAAATAGGAGTGGGACAGTATCCAGAAGTAGATTTTTGTATGGAAAGACAGTGAACTTTGCTCAGTTCTGGAACTCAGAAAAAATCCATGGCTCCAGAATTCTTTCATTCTAAGTGCTTGTCTTATATACTAGGCTCCAGTAAAATCTTTGTTTCTGATTTTTTTTATTTAAAAAAGTAGATTCTACAAGCCTGAAGTCTGCCCACCTCCCTTCCAGTCCTTTACCGAGAAATGAATATGGCATAATGACAGTTGTATGCATATAACCTTTGTAGATTAGAACAACTGAATATTGGCCACAAACTATTTAGAGTCTAGCTACCTAGATTCCAGACTATTTTCATACATGTTATAAAGTAGTATGAAAACCTGCCAGTCAAAGATGACAGCTTCAAAACACCTATTTTATCACTACACATTTCTTTGATAAAGGAAAGCTACAGCAGTATCTTTAAAGAAAAGAAAAGTGTTTCTGTTATCATGGTTTTCAGTAAGTTTTCAGTACAATCACAATCCATTATTATTTTTTAGATAAGGGCATGATTATTTTGACCTTTTCCTACAAAGGAGAGTAGGAATCTTTTCATGTTATTCTAGTTCAAATAAGTAGGAGGTTATTGTAAAGGTTGTCTGATGAATGTTCTTCACAAAGTTCTATATAATTTACTAGAATTTTATGTCTGAGCCTTTCTCAACATTTCTATAGAACGCGCTTTCTTTACCACTGCCTCTCTGGCGTGCTTACTTCATTGAAATCATGTGCAATTTCTCTAATTATCAGAAATATTTACTGAAAAGTCATGTTGGCAACAAAAGAAGGTAGAAGCTCATTTTATCCAAAAATAGTATTTATCCTATGCATAGAATTGTTGCAAGATATAAATATCTAATAATGGTGACTAACTTTTCTTTGTTATTTTTGTTTGTTCAAAATATGGAGGGTGGTTTTAGAGTATTGTCTGAAACTTCGTTTATCAGGACATGAATTCGGGTCCATTTGTGCTTGCAAAAAAACATGCTTTCTAGAATACATGGGCATATAGCTTAATCGTTTTCTAGCAAGCAAACACCTTCCAGAAGTGTATGGAACAAAATGACTAGTATTTTGGATGTTGGAAGGACAAATGCTTGCTGTTACATTTGATAAGCAGCTGACCTACCACTCTTCATTGTACAGGGACAACTCTGTAAACATTAGGATTGTGTATAAACTCTTAGCTACAAATCTGTTTTTTGAATTTCCACAACCCAACCCTACTCATCTCCCTTATAAATATAAGATGTTACATTGTATATAATTCATACAAAACTGTTGCTGTAGCTTCATGAAATGTAACACTGAGAACCCTACATGTGTGTAATTAAGTTACTGCATGAGAAATATTTTACTAACCCTTTCGTGCAGCACTTCATGATATCATCCATATGGTTCAGGAGGACCCCCTGACTCTCAGCATAGGCACCCACAACCTTCCTCTCCAACCTATAGTAATTTACTCTTTGGTCAGTTGATACATGTACAGTTCAAGTGTGAGCTACTCAGGAGTAGCTCCCTCTATGTTCAGGGGGGCTTAATTCCTAGTAAATTCCTAGTGAACATACATTTAGGATTAGTGTTAAAATTACTATAAAAAACGCTGTAAGGTAAGTGTAGATATAATTTATGCATTTTGAATTCACTACACACTGATGCAGTGGCGTACAATACTCTCTGTTTAAAATGAATCTAGCCTTTCAAGTAGTAAACACATACAGTCGTACCTTAGTTTTCAAATGCCTTGGGAGTCGACTGTTCTGGCTCCTGAATGAGTGATTGTTCCAGTTTTCAAACATTCTTTGGAACCCGAACATCCAGCACAGCTTCCGATTGGCTGCTGCAAGAGTTTCCTGCAGCCAACCAGAAGCCGCTCCTTAGTTCCTGAATGTTTTGGAAGTCGAACAGACTTCCAGAACGGATTCCGTTTGACTTCCAAGGTTATTTATTAGCTATTTATTGCATTCAGGGGGGATTCTGATTGATAAAAATCTTACGGAAGAGAAGATGCTCTTTCACAAGATTCGGTTTCAATCACCCGTCTATGAAATCCCACAAAGGGAATGTTTCCTTACGCATTCTCATTCATTACTTACCGGTAATTAAATAAAGCTGGGGGCAGGGAATAGAGTGCGGGGAATGAAAAACTGTGGCAATAGGAAGCTCAAAGGAGGTAGAGTTTGAGCATGATCCCCTGATGTCAAAAGGCCTTTCAAGTTGATAATGCTATGTGCTTTTACAGTATAAAGCTTGTAGGATGTGGAACCTTGCACCAGCAGGAAGTGCTTCTGGGAGTCTCTACCTATAGGAAGTGATGCCCTGGTGTTCTATATATTCTGGTGGTGGTAATAGAAATGGGCTGCTAGTGCTGATTCAAGGAGGCTGCTTGAGGCCTGAAATTGCTGAAGACCACCATGTAAAAGCGTACCACAATTTTTTCAATCCAGCCACTCTCAAAAAAAGAATGCACTCTTCAAAATAATAAGGGAACCTTTCTAAATCTGTAAATGTTAAACTACTACTAAATGTGGTACTGCAGGTGTTATATTGAAGAAAGGGGAGGTGAGAATTTCAGTTTGCTCTAATCTCCTTTGATATTTGTCAAGTTTCAGAAGGATCCCACACCCAGGAAGGCTGTCACAATCAATATGTTAGCATTTCCAAATCTGCTAGCAGGACTACTACACCGACTACCACTCCTTACCCAAAGATAAGTAAATTTCAATAGAAGCTGTATAAAGGGAATTTATTAAACATGCTTGGTTATCCATACAACACAACTGTCAGAGAGAGTAATCCCTACATCCTTTTCCCATACACCTGGTATATCTTCTTCTATTAGAACCTAGCAATCTTATCATAAAGTTATAACTATGGACATCTAAATACCCCTCCCAACACAGAAGAATAATTCATTTTTGTCCCTTCTGTTGTTTTACCAATTGGGCACTTTTTACCACTCAGTAAAGGCTTGTGGGACTTCTCACTTATTACTGGGCTAGATCAGCCAACCATTTGTTCTATTTGTTGTATACACTGACTAGCATTTAAAATCACAGTTGCTATTGATTTTAACTTTGCTCATACTTAAGATCCCATGGTCCTTTCTAACCCACTCAGGCTATCTGCATCTTGATTAGCATATAAATGAAGTTAAAGGAATTGCTCATGAATAAATACTGCTTCCAAATGAATTAGTTTTATTCACAGCTTGATAACTTCTTATAAACTTTCTTAGAAATACATATAATAGTTGATCAGTGACTGCTGTGATCCTAGTTATTGTTGGCTTGTTTTTTTCTTGATACCATCAGTGAACTTGAATTCTGAGAATGTGAAATATGTATGGAGTAAGCAAATGAGGGCAAGGAAAAAAGACAAAGACAAAGACAAAGATTAACTGAAAGACAGATTAACTGAAAGCATCAAGGCTGGCACCAATATGATATAATAATGGCCAAATAACCTGACCCAACCTTCTGCAGCCAAAGCCATACCTTATTCGTTCAATTAGAAAGTCTGTATTCTTAGATCTCACTTATACATGAGAGGACACAATGAGATATTATTACTACTTAATGGTCTGTTAAAGAGCAAAAAGACACTCAGACTAGGTGATTGCTTCCTTTCACCTAACTTCACTGAGGAAGAATTTTTTTAATAACTTTTCTATTCTATGAAATGAGTTCAGTTTTTTCCTTTTTTTTCCACCTATGGGAAGGAATTTATTATTATTATTATTACTACTGTTATTATTATTTGTATCTTGCCGTTCGAACAGACTATGCCACTTCAGCTGTGATATAAATTTAGTAGCAAAAATGAGAAAAACAGCAATGAGAAGCAGCATATACCACTTGCAAAATGAGTTTCCTTTCTGTTTCAGAGTAATACAAAAGCATAATCTGAAAGCAACACTAAGCATCATGGAATTGATTTGTTATTACAGCTATACCAGAGCCTAAAATGCCTGGTGGTGGCAAAAGATGGTTGTAAGAATGTGAATGTCATAAAGCCCAACATCCAGTAACTATGTTAAGGCCAGTAGAAGCTCTTTGGGGTATCAGTGGACAAGGAAGAATCAGCAATTCTTTGTAGCCTTCCTGGACTAATAATGATGTGGATTTTTATGAATTTTAGACTACATTACACTGGTCATGATCTAGATACATTATATTGTTTTGTATATTTATTGCCCCAACTATATTTTATTCAGTCTCTGAATTAAGTGAAATAAGTTTCATGTAAGTACTCTGTACTTGGGGTCTAATATAGGATTATGAGTGTGGGGAGGAACGTAGGCTGTAAGTGAGATACTTCTAATCTGTAGATCCAGCAAGTGTTAAAATACAAGTCAGGCTAGCTTCCTGTGTTGAAGTGATAGACTGGGTGATGGGCCATTAAGGAAACAGAAGAAAGGGGCTTTGTGTGAGATGGCAAATGGATGGCGCCCCTCTCCTAGCTCGTGATTAGTTAGAAGACAAAGCCAAAGTTTAGAGTTGAGTTGCAGTAATGTGAGCTGGAAGTAAAGCAGCAAACTGGAGAGAGCAATGTCTGATTACTGTTTGACTCCAATAATGTAGCTACTGGATAAGTAAGACCCCTTTTGGTATATTAATGCAGTGAGTCCCTCTATCACAGGCTTAGGTTGCATATATGTGTAAATAAATAAAGACACCACAGTCTTCATTGTGCCTCATTTTCAAAACGAAACACAAACCCTGTATAAGCACCATCTATATTTTATTCAGCGTCTGGATTAAGTGAAATGAGTTGCATGTAGGAGTTCCATGCATGGGGCCCGATATAAGATTTCACCTTCCTCAGAGTATCTCTGTAGTCTAAAGCCTCTTCAATTTATTCTTTGACTTTTGTTAAAATTAACAACACTCTTCTTTCATTTCCTCCTTTAAAACAAAAATGTCTTTCTTACCATTCATTTTCAGCAGCAGGAATAAAGTTTAGCACAGCTAATCAATGTCCTAAGATCAATTGTGAAGAAACAGTTCAGGAAAAAAAACACATGAATGCTTTATGAGATTCCACTGGGAGGAAAGTTTATTTTTACCTGATTTGTTAGACACCCATATAATTGCCTCTGATGAGATGTGGCTCGTATTTCCTACTGCAATTGTTAATGGGATCTGCCACAAGTAGCTGCAAGACAAAGGAGGGCGATCTAAGAACAAAAATACTGAACTGGTTCTTCTCACTTTACAGCAATCAGGGATTACATCAAAGGAATCAAACAATTTCAGTAGTAGAGCAAAGATGTTGATTCGAATGTTACTTTGCCTTTCAAATAAATTTGCTATTGGCAACAAAACAATAAGAATGTCATTCATCTTTCAAAAAAGACAGTGATGCCCCCTTTTTTTTACATACTATCATTACAAGATAGTTTCTAGTAAAAAATAAAGTTACAAAACAGAGGAATGATTTCCAATAGTAAGAAGAGTATAACTGAAATTAATTTAGGGAGAAGATAATCTAGAGCAAGCATATGCTTTGGTTTTAGTGACAATATACATTTCTACTACTGCCATTTTTAGTATCTTCTTAAAGGCTGCTGACGATAAAATTTTATCCTCAATTGCTTACAGCCTTGTATAATTATTCGTATTTCTGTAAATCAAGTGTAAAATGCTACAGTTTATACCCATTTTACACAGATGTAACATACTGGTGAAATCAAGCTCTAGTTTATTAATAGTATAAAATTCATACATGAATAATGGACCCAAAGCTTTATGCAGTCATTTGCAACAGGAGCTGCTTTATACTGAATACCCTTTTTAATATTTGACGTGGTTTCTGCAGGATGATGTACACTCTATCCTCGTAAGTAAAAGATAAAAAAAGAACATATCCAGCCACAGTAGTTCTTCTCCAAAATGTATCAACCAAAGTGAGGGGCCATACACACAATCTTAAATAGTATTGCAAATACAGTTGTATGTAAACATACAGATGAGGGTCACCATTTCGGATTTAAGGAGATTGTATATGTCAATAGGTGGGAACAAGATTCTCAGCAACGTTATCTTGATTGTGAGACCTGGAAGACCTGCTCCCTGCTTTGCAAGCCTTTTCTACCTTGCTTGGGAGTGCAGGGCTCTCAATGATCCCCGCTACAAAAGCTGAGGCTGCTGAACAGCCTCTTGGGCTGGAAGTTTGGGTGTTGGAAGTTTTCGTTGGGAAAAGGGTTCTTGTTGTGATTTATGTGAAAACCATTCAGTTTTGTTCAGTTTTTATGTTTTATTCATTGTTTATGACTAATTGTGTTATGTTGTAGTTAGGTCTTTTTTCATGTTGTATATCCGGTTTGAACTGTGAAAAGGCAGAATACAAATAAAATTATGTGTGCATGTATGTTGGACTTCAACTACCATCAGACCCAGCTAGCATGAGCAAAAATTGGGTGAGATGGGACTTGTAGCCAGTAACCACAGGAAGAACCACAGTTTCCCTAACCCTACTATAGACTAAAGCAGAGGTCGGCAACCTAAGGCCCATGGCTGGTTCTGTGGATCGGCGTGGGGATTCCATGGTTTTTTCGCCATGGTGCGGGCACCATTTTTCCCCACCAACCTGTTCCACCCTCTCCCTCACCACAGCAGAACCTCTTCCCCTCCTCCCTCCCTCCTCCTGGTGCAGCAAATCGCTGGCCAATTGCCTGCTAAGGTTTGAGGCCCTGGCCAATAGGCGAGAGGTGGCTGTGTGTGGCTGAGAGGAGGAAGGGGGCTGGGCTGAGCTGGCCGAGCACATTTCCAGCAGCCCCTCCTCAGAGCAAGCTGTTTGCCGCTGCCACTCTGCCAAGCGGGGCTCCTGTGCCTGCCCTTGTGAGCGGCAGATGCTGGCGTTGGCAGAGGAGGAACGAACAGCCCAAAAGCAGCACTTTCAGGCTGCTTGTTCCTTCGCCGCTGCCGCCAGCTTCTGCCGCTCAGCAGCACCCTAAGTAGGCAGGGGGATGGGAGGGGCTGGGGGAGAGAGGGGGGAGAGAGATAAGCCCCCTCTTCCTTATGCACACACACGCACACATACACACGCGCACGCACGCACACATACACACACACTCCGGCCCACCAGGAGGTTTGTGGTGTGTGAACTTCTAGAAATGGAACCATATGTTTTGAGGCAAACACCAGGTCCCCAGCCTCGAGTTTAACTTGTAATGCTGATGGGGAAGTGCCATTTGCAGGAGATAATTAGCAGGAGGAAGGTCATACTGTATTTTACTTTAATACAATAGCAGCAACAACCCAGCCCAGCTCCAAGACTGTAAAATTAAAAATCCCACTTACTGATTCTCCCCTACAAATGACACAGTCTGTCTACGTCAGGGGTGGCCAGCTCCCAAGAGACTGTGATCTACTCACAGAATTAACAACTGGCAGTTATCTACCTCCTTTTGGGGGGTTCAGGTCAAAGTTGTTTAGCTTTTCTTAGGGAGGAGGGAGGCCCCAATTTTTGAGAATTCAAGCCTAAGCTCAAGGGAGAAAGGGGAACAGCCACTCACCAACAGATTGCTAGGGAAACAAACAGCCTCAATGAGTAAACTCCGTCTTCCATTCTGCTGATCGTGCAACAATGGAGGGTGGACCGTATTTTACATACACTAAGGAAAGGGACCCCGTGATAACTGCAATCTACCAAATGTTCCTGGGGATCTACCAGTAGATCACGATTGACCTGTTGGACACCCCTGATCTACGTCATACTACTCTGGCAAGCACAGGTTTGGGGGCAAATACTTGCCAATGTAAAATGTAGCTCTGATCCGAGACATAGAAATTTAATTTAGTACAATGAATTTTTGATCATTAGAATAGCTAGCTAAGAGGAAACTGATTAATTCTACTGTTGGGAAATGTTCTCAACAGGAGAAATAACCACCTCAGATGATTGGCTCTTTGTGACTAAAAGATGAATATGCGGCCATATTATTCACACACGCCCTGCCCTCCCTGCCAAATGCAAAGGATAATGATGAGCCAAGTGGGATTAACAGAAAAGAAACAATGCTATTAAATTTACTGAGAGGTCAGTGACTTTGGATTATTAGGAAGGACTGAAAGAGCTAAGTAGTCAGTATATTAAAATACAAAGCAGTAAAAGAGAAGACATGATCGTGGATCGGTATGGCTGGCTTTTTACTATAGCTGCAATTCAGAACATGGTTATGTGCTTAAACTTCATTGATTATACTGGACTGCTGTCCATCTTTTATTGCCACTTTAAGATGAAGTGCAATGTAACAGATTTTAAATTGCATCCAGTTATATAATAAAATACATAATACTGTCATAAATTTCCATTAAGGTAAAATTTACTTTTTGAAAAAAAGATGTTTTAAGTGATATCGGAGTTAAAAATATGTCTGCAATAATTTCTGTACTTCAGTATACCATCGTATATCCTCACTAAAGGCACTGGCTGGTGAATATGCTAGCATTGGTGAGTTTTCTGACAGATAGCCATCACACGCAGATTTTCTTTTCTCCTTTTACTCTACATAGTAATATTATATTACTATATAATGTAGGGTGCAATCATATACATAAAATCTACTGGATGAAGGGCTGTAGCATTTGGCAGCAGCTCTTCTGTACCAGTGGGATTTGAGAATAGCTACAGGCATAGTAGACGCTGGCAGAACTTCTCAGATATGCCAGAAGAATGACAGAAGTGGAGAGGAATTTGTTGGCATGATGCCGCTGTCAGAGGAAAATCATGGGATGACAGTGCAACTCAAAGGCAGTAGATACACTCCCTGATGTAACCCAGCATTAATTACCTACTGAACCCACACTGAACACAAACCCACCAAGTTACATGTTATTGGCTATGATGGGCGAAAGCCAAGACTACATGCGGTTGAAACGTATTTTCCACATCCTCAAGCAACAACAATTGAAACTGATCCCACAAAGTCTGACTTGCCGCTGCTCTGAACAACTCCACAGGGATCGTATCAAGAAGAGAATCCCATTCCAAGCAAATACAAGTGACTTTATTCTCAACGTACTTTACAAACTTGGAACAGCAGGCTTCCAAAGATGCCATTCCCCTCTCCTCTGGGCTAGTTCTCAAGAAAGACTTCATCACTTGGGACAGTTTGGCTGGGCGGTTCCTTGGGAATGCAATGGAGGCAGCAAAATAGGATTTATTTTCTCTCATCACCACCACATAGTAGGCATTATGTCCTCTCACTTTTGCCTGGTTGCATTCATTGTGGTACTTGCCTCACTTAAGCTATATCTCTCTACTGGGTGGTTTTGTTGTCTTTTAACTCCCCACAAAATGAAGGGGCATCACAGTCTTTACCACACCTGAGAGAGCACTTAGGAGTGACTGTATTGAAAACCTTTGCCATCTAGGGGCAGACCATCTTAAGAGGCTCCCAGCACTGCAGGAGAGAACTATCCTCGGCAGTCCAAATCTCACCTGGAAGTAGTCTGACTAAGTAGTCTGACTATGACAACGGAGTTATTCAAACCTTCCCCAATTCCATCCACTCTCCATCTGCCCTGTTGCAAAGCCCAGTTCAATGTCCCGGGTTAGCAATGTGTTGGTTGAGGCAGCATCATGGTTTTGTCATGGTGGCCATGAAATCCCAAGCTGTACTACTATGGCAGCCCAGCAGGTCCCCCAGAACACCACCCCATCTGTGCCAGCTCAGATAGAAAGGATGCTTGGCTGGGCAGCAGGGAGGGTGGTACATGAACATTATTTCTACTCCACCTCTCTGACCAAGCTTCAGATACAAACCTTAAATCTAAATACCGAGTGGTTAGGTTTCCTGGTGATGGTGATTTATTCCTCAAACATGATGGTGACCCCTCCACCCCTCTAGATTGGTGATGGACAAGAACCCTACCAAGTACCTAGCTGGACTGACCTGGTTGTCACCAACCTAGAAGCACCACTAGCCTGGAAGGCTGGTTGAAAGGACAACGTAAATCTTGTTGGCTGGGGACCCAGAAAAGGGATAGCTCTTACTTACTTACTTACTTACTTATTAACTTACCCTTGTTCTCCTTTCCTGTAACACTCTTTGCCCAAAACAACAGGGAGCAGTGCTCCTCACACAAAGGGGAGGCACTCCTTCCTGCACAAAGGTAAGTTGTCTATTGGCAAAGGTCAAGCACTTCACAGGGCTATCAATGGTTACTAGCCATGATGGCTGTACTCTTACATCCACAGTTGGAGGAAGCAATGCTTTGGAAGACCAAAATGTTCTTGTGCTCAGATCCTACTTGCGGGTTTCCCATAGGCATCTGGTTGGCCACTGTGAGAACAAGATGCAGAACTAGAAGGGCCATTGGCCTGATTCAGAAGGCTCTTCTTGCCTTCTTATATTGATGTAAAATGAAAACCCATACTAGGAATTGTTACTTAAATGGCCAATATTGTGGTGTCTTTCTATACAAACACGGTGCTTCTGCATTAAGATTACTGTGTACAATTCTAGTTGCCAAACTCCTTTTTTAAAAAAAAAGGATTATAGAACTGGAAATTTATGGGGGAAAGGTGGTCAAAAGGGTTAGGGTTTCAGCTTTTTAGTTTAGAGTGAAAGATGACTGGGTTTGCGGGTAGGAGGAGAATAGGACGTGCTATAAATGTTTATTAAACAATGCATGGTGTGGGGAAAGTGAATATAAATAAATGTGTCTTCCTGCCTCATTATGTCAGAATTCAAGGTCATATAACAAATTTGATTAGCATGAGATTCAGGACAAACAAAGCCCTTCTTCATACAACACATAATTAACTTATAGAATAGACTGCCAGAAAAAGTGGCGATAGTGACTGGCTTAGACGGCTTCAAGAGGGGATTATGCAACTAGAATTAATGCCTGTAAGTGACAATTGGCATTGCGTCTGTTATTTGTGTTTCTCTTAAAATTCTGTATAATTCAAAATCTACTGACGACATCAAAAAGAGGGGCAATTGGAGACATCCAGTAGTGGCTGGTGTGTTGAGACAGAGACACCTTCCCAACACCAGCATCACTGCAGCTTACCTGGACGCTGCTGGAATGGAGCAGGGTGATGGTGAAGTTGCAGCTGTGCAGATGCATTGGCAAGAGCAGCTGAGTGGCTCCACCAATGGGCCTGTGAAGTCCCAACCTCCCTGCCCTGCTCCAGTGCCATCTCCATTAACTGCAGTGACGGTGTTGGGAGGCCCCACCATACTGGCCACCAATGGACAAATCCCTCGTGATTTTCAGGTGGAAGCTCCAGTACACCACTGAGCATTCAGAGCTCTGGCATTTATGGTCTGCTTGTGAGCTTCCCAGAAGGAAGCATCTGCTGCAGCACTGGGGAACCTGTGCTTCAGCAGATTGTGTTGGACTCTAACTCCCATCAATCCCAGATAGCATGTCCAATGTTCAGGGATGATCGGATTTGTAGGCCAGAAACACCTGGAGGACCACAGGTTGTTCAGTCCTCCTCTCCTGGTATCAGAATTCTGAGTGATGGATTTTTTGTCTGAACTGAAGGATAACTATATAGCAAATATTAGTTTTTCACTGACTGTTCATCACCTATTCTGGCTTGTTGTATATCATCAAGAAAGGAAACTTGCCTCCTGGAGGTACATGATAATACTAATGGATAAAAGTTTATGTCATTGGACACTTTTGTCTTCAGAGTTGTAAAACACTCAGCATACTATTCTAGGCATTTGAAATGTGGCTGATCGTGGGGCAATTAATTTCAATTGCTATAACAATTTGCCTGTATACTTGAATATTGCTTAAGTTATATGAACAGCTGCTATGAACTATTAAAGAAACATGAACGCTACTGCCTTTCAGTTAAATGGTAGGCTGAATACTTGAAAACAAAACCATGCAACTAGGAAAACAGAAACAAGTAGAAGCAATTGCTGAAGAATTGCTGTAAAGCAATTAATGCACTTCTCTTGATTTTTCCTGTTTCCTTCACCTACTCTTTAAAGATTAATTAACCCCTGCCAATAATTTAAGCTTATTACAGAAATGTTTTTCAGTTTAAAAAGCAATGCACCAATCCTAAAGAATAATGGGAAACTGTCATTTGCATTAGAACACGGCTGCTATAATTGATCAGCACTTCTGCACTAAAGCATAAACATTATGGCTTGGATCCAGACTTTGCACCTGTGGGCGGTGCTATCGCTTGAATGGAAGGATCTCAGGGAAACGTGGCTTTTGCCAATTTCTACTTCCACTCCAACCAATGCCTCCTACACTGTTTCAGAGAGGTGGGTCCCTTCTGGAACTGTGTGGGAGGTAGCATTAGGGCTTCCAGGGAGATGGGAGATCAGCTGAAGTTGTGTCTCCCCCTCTGTCAGTAGGATCCCTCTGAAGAAGAAGAAGAAGAGTTTGGATTTGATATCCCGCCTTTCACTCCCTTTAAGGAGTCTCAAAGCAGCTAACATTCTCCTTTCCCTTCCTCCCCCACAACAAACACTCTGTGAGGTGAGTGGGGCTGAGAGACTTCAAACAAGTGTGATTGGCCCAAGGTCACCCAGCAGCTGCATGTGGAGGAGTGGAGAATCGAACCCGGTTCACCAGATTACGAGACTACCTCTCTTAACCACTACACCACACTGGCTCTGCTGGATCAAAAGACTTTCCATTCACAGAAGATTACATCGGGATGCAAACCAATGGTGGTTTGCTTTAACTCAGCTACAGTTGAAAGAAACTCACAGGTCCTTCATGTACATATTAGTGCTGTGCTTAAAAATCCTCCTGTAATTATTGACCATCCATTTATAAAGAAAAGAATTCTATTTTAAAAATTGTTACAATTATTAAAATATCATGGGTTGCAAGGTTTTTGCTTTGCTTACCTTGCTTTCAAAGTAACCAAGAGATGTTGGAGTGTCTCTGCAAAAGAGGCACTTAGCCAGTTCAATAGAGTTTGGATTACCATTGCAACATGGGTGGAGATGGGCATCTGCAATTTGCCCAGAAGGTTGCTTGCATGCCAGAATCTCTCTTGCCAAACTGGGGTTGGTTTTCTCTTTCAAGCCATTACTGTCTTCATATTTTTCCAATATTACTTTGCTTTTCATTGAAGCTATTCTATTTTCCACTCCCCCCCCATATTCTTTCCTACTTCAAAGCCCATTTTCTTCCACATTTTCTGCTTATTAGAGCATGTAGCCAAATTACTGATTACTGTTTATTATAAGCACTTCAGTGAATATGACTACTCAAGAGTCAATGGCATAAAATTCTGGGATAAACAGAAAAATCTAGGATGCGCAGAAAGAGAGGGTTATAATTAATACAATTTCCTTGTTTAAATCAATAATAGCTGCACCCTTTAAAAAGAGCTTTAACAAATATGAAGGCAAACTACATTGGGGTCTTTGGTCTGTTTAAAATTTCATACTTCAAGGGAAGCCATGTCAAATTAAAGAGATAGACAAAGGAAAGTCTGGGGCTGCGTTTGCATGTTTATTATTTTTCATCATCAAGATTAAAGATAAGTAAAACTAGAGTTCAGGAACTGTCAGAAACTCATGCTATTATTTCTTTTTCATCATGGTGGAACACTCACATAAGATCATTAACAGGAGAATTACTAGATATTTGAACCTTGTCATTAAGCTTGTTTTTAAAACAGAAGGAATGGTCAAATTCTTGCTGGGGATTCTTGTTATCCAGAAACAGGAACAGAATGTGAAAGCATTCAACCAGACATCTGTGGGCTTTGCTGATGTTAACTATTATTGAAACTATGGACTGCTTTAAAATTCTGAAACTCTGTAAAATGGAGCAACCATGTGGACTCAGTGACATGGAAAAGCACCTGACAAAACACAATTACATAAACAGGTGCTGTTCCTCAGTAGTCACTTGTACTACTGAGGTGGCTAAAAAGGGGCTTTTGTGCTCACTTGAATTGCTGGCAATAAAAGGAGCCTGCATTCTTGGAAATGCTGGGACAGATGCTACTTTCTCCATATCACTGCCACCATGGATCGTTCTGCATGGAGAAATTCTAGATGTCTGAATCAGCAAATTACTGACATGGAAAAAGAGAAAAATAAACAAGTAATACTGAAACTAGATGTTATAGAGGATGTTTGGTTCCTGCTGAAAGCAGCATCCCTATGTCTCATCTCTGTCCTTATAATGTCGAGAAATGCGAACATGTTGTGATGTCACATGTTCCAAGTTTCTTTGAACACATTGCACTTCAGTGGTTGCCATTTGCAGAGGTTGGGGAGCTGAATGTGGTATCAAATTGCATGTTTAGTAGTACTTGCCATTACAAGAGACAGGAGGACATAAGATGCGTTCACTCACTTTCACCCCATGGGTCTAATGAGGCTTGTTGTGGGTCCCAATTTGGCCTGTGAGTCAGTTTTCCCCAAACCACACCCGCCTGCCTCACATCTGACACCATGTGTAAGGATGTTGCTACCAATCAAGAGCTTAAAGTGAGCTCCCAATTGTTCCTTTCCAGGGCTGCTGAATCAGATGTACTCGAAAATTCCCCACCAGGAGCTCCCAAGTGCAGCTGCGGAGGCTCACCGCCAGCGCTAATAAGCTGACTGGCCTCCTTTAAGGTGTGCTTTCAGTAACTATCAGCTGGTTGCTGCTGAAAGTGCATCATCAAAGGGGCTCACTGTTAAATCCTGCTTTGTCTGTTTGTAGGTATGGTTAGAGTCAAGCAAGCAAACAGCCATTTTTCTTCTGTCAAAGGCCTGTGGAGACAGGGGCAAGTTGGGATCTGGCCTAGTGGCTGGACCAAATTCCCAGTTTATAAATAAACTGATTCTATACCTACTTTCCAACAACAGTGTAAGTCAAATCACTGGGAGCATTCTCAGCAGCATAGCTCTTTATTTTTCTAAATCGCCAACCAACTATTTTTTATTCTCTCATTGATTATTATTTTTAAATTATTTGGATTCTGGATGAAAACCAAAACCATGGCAAACTATTCAAACTATTTACTGCAGTGAGACACATATAATTTTGAAAAGCATTGTATCTTGTAGCTTGGCAGGTATAATCTTGAAAAGTATAATCAAGAAGTTACCTCTTGGGGACACCCAGCTCCTACGAAGACTCCTTTGACATTATATTTCTCAATGTGCATCTTGAATATTATTTAAGGAAGTGGCTGAAAATGATCTCAAGACGTGCATTTTTGGAATGTTTAACTGTCAGGAGTTTCTACCACACAGTTTAGGGTGATTGTAACCACACATATGAAACCATTTGAAAACAGGATTTCACAGGTGTAGCTATAACAGTATGGCTGAAACAATGCAGGTACCTATACAGACAAGCAGATGATGATGTTGAGATGCACCAACACAGTTTGAGAATGTGATACAAGCAACACCCAGCATAATTTGTAAACTACATATTTAAAGCTAAGTTAGTCCACCTCTTTCTGTTCTTAAGACAATTTGGCTGCCATATCAAGGAGAGAGAAAGAGCCGACATACTCCTACTGCTGCCAAAACTAGAGCAGAGAAATGCAAAACTGGATGGTTTCAAAGACCTTTAAAAATCTACAATATGCTTTCTTAAAACACATTAAGCTTACTATATTTATTTTATCCCATCAAAAGAACAGGAAGCCTTATTCTGTCAACAGTACACTTATACCTCATTAAAAGGGATAGTTCTCCTTGTAAATGCTGCTCCTCTTGAAGAAGAGCTACAGAATGGATCCCTTGGGTAACCATAAAGAATTTACAAGGAATTATATCTATGATTCACTACAGCAGAGTCAACGAAAGTGAACAGTATGAAGGGGGGAAATAGCACACAAAGTATACTAGTTTGTACTATGAAGGCTTTCAGTAGTTATATAGGAGGTACAGACTCTTAAATACTGACTAGATTTCACTCCCTAATGTTGGGGAGATTTAAGTTACAGTCCTAGACAGTCACAGACAGAGGAGAACCAGAGGTGTAGCTGGAGAGGTTTTGAAAGTTTTTATTGCAGATGATTATGACTAATGGTGGAGAAATTCAGAAATTGCAGTGGAGGTTCCCAGTATGCCTAGAATAAGGACTGTAACCGAAAGTAGATGGGATTAGGAAAACAATAAGTGTTACTGAGGCAGATAGGTGCTGCCTGAATTTGGAATAACTATGAAGTGCCTGTAATGTCCAGACTTGAATTTACATTGACACTTGTGCACTTTCTTCTGCCCTCATTCACGACACCTCATGGCTAGGCCAGCTCCATGAACACCAAGATCATAACTGGAAACTGCTCAGCCCAGAGCACCAAAGCGTTGGAAATTCTGGGGTGATTTGCTCTTGACTTACATGTCCTTGGGTTTCATGTTAGTGCAAAAGGTCTATAAGTGCAGAATTGATAATTCAAGTAAGAAGATGTGGTGGGAAGGAGTTCTCTTAAGTCGAGGCCTGCCCTCTTCTTCCTGCATGACCATTTGGAAAGCGATAGACCTCTGTAGATGCCATAAACTCTTCTCATAGGGAAGGAAAGCTCTCTCTTTCTCATTAACTCCAGTCATAGGAGAAGGAAGTATTCTTTTGGTGGCAGCACAAAGCTGTAATGGGGGATGATGTCTATATGCTTTGTGGATCAGCTATCCTCACTGGAGCCTCACCAGCTCCTAACACCAGGAAGAAGTACAGGATTCTCTCTCATCTCTCCCCCTTCCCCCATTTTTATGTCTCCAATCCTAAATCCTTTCTATGATAAGGGGGTGGAGGGAAGAAATAAAACTAGCTTGAAAGGCCTGCTGGAGTGAGCACTCCAGGGAACTCTACATAAACACTGCTTTCTGTCCAAAAGATGGGCTTGTCTGGGAGGATGGGAAGTCAGAAGAATTATGCTATCTTCCAACAAGGGTATGGTGCCGTGGACACCACAGAGAGAAGGAATTTTGAGATATGTGGGTTAGAAATTGCTAGTAACAAACTTGAAAGAAAGACACTCAAAGTGGTATCTTACTCTGCACAGATCAATAATTTGATTCATGGTTAGTGTTGGCAGTGTGTGAACTGCACAAAGATTGTATTTTTTTGGACTTGATTTTTTAAAAAGTTTTTTTTAGTATCTAGAATGTACTAAATGTACGTAGAACAAATTATACTATTCCCGAGTAACACCTTAAGATTTCTTTTGAAATACTTACATGGCTGTGTGGACAGTAAAGACGTGGAAATGGTTACTAAAATATGGACCAAAGCTAAAATCGTATTTGCAAAAATCGATTACCCTGCCACTGTTGGACTTAAAAATATTGGGCTTGGCAGCTTATGTTCAAGCTAACAAAGTATGTGTGGGCTTGAGAAAATCATTATCTTGAGAATGAGTATGTGCAGAAATGGGCAACATTCCCCGTGTTTTAGAAATATAGGTTCCAAAGTGACATTAGACTCCACTCATTATTTACAATGATTTGAACATTCTTCTCAGAGTTATGGAGACTGGTGATTAATGCACAATGTTATTTAATTTTCATTTTTCGTATGTAACTTTGTATGATAAACTACTGAAAGCGCATGGCTACTGAATGATATGCATGTGGATATCATGCATGTTTCATGTCTGTAGCAGTTTCTAATCTTTATAAAAGTGATAAAAAGAAAGCATATACATGATTTCAAATATTTTGAAGTAAAGCATGTTTCATCTATTTTTCATGGTGAAAGAGCTTTTTATCTATTAATGAAACTGAGCTCAACAGTCAATCAAATGAGAAACAAAGGAGAGAGAGAAAATGAACCAGGACCAAATACTGAGAATGAGAAACATGGCATTGCTAAGTTTAATTGGGACATTTTCTGCCATGTAGAAATCTTCATAATCATAGATAAGCTATGAGATAACCAAACCTGCCCTTGTGAAGACTAATCTACCAAATATCTACCTCCCACATTCTTATTTTTGCATTTCATTAATGAGGTGCAGTGACAGCTGAGTGAAGTGACACTGCCACATAAATCAAATCAGAGGATTGCCACTACTGAGCCAGCACTACCAGATCATCTAGCAGCAGGCAAGGATGGGGAAAAAACATTATTTATTTCTGAATTATTGTGGGCTTTAACACTGTTTTGTTATCTTCTTTATATTCTACATTCAGTTTCTGTGCACTGCTCTAATATTCTCTGACTAAAACACTTTATAAATGCTGAAATAAAATAAAACAGGAGAAACTCATGGGTTTATTACAAATAAATTAGCAAGGTGCTCACCAAGTAATGGAAATGTACATGGAAACACATCCTATAGGTTTTGCACGCACAAGGTCCCAGGTGGAAACTAAACATCTCTCAGTAGGGTTGAGCATGCTCCCTGTCAGATCCCTGAAGAGTCACGGCAAGTCAATATAGACAATGTGCTACATGGACATATGGTATGACTACATTCCTAGTGGTACCTATGTAATCAGGCGGTCTTTTTGCTTGAACTGAAAACCCTTCTCCTCCACTTTGGACCAAACATACCTTCTGCTCCAAAGTGACAATTAACCCCAGAAGGGGAAGCGACCGTTGCCCCTCTCCAATGCCCCACGTAGTCACATCTCTTTCTGGATTAAGCCCACCCCTCCCTACTTTGCTCAACCTAGTATAAGGGGCACAGTTTACAGGCCATCTGTAGGCACAGGCTGTGCAGCTGTGATGTTACAGAACTCTCCAAGTGCTAGGCTTCAGGGAATCCAACCCCCCTCTCTCACAGCAGGCTACCAGTAATGGAAATACAAGAAGCTCTTACCAAGGTATTTTATTGAATATTCACAGAGAGAGGTGCAGGATGCTGTCTCTAGGATAATGGTGCTGATCTGAGTAATCTCTTCCCCCACTTTACTCTCAATCGACAGCAGCTCCACCCCTTATATGGTGGCTGCATGAGGCCCTTTGTCTATTCGCTTTCTGTTCTCCCACTTTCACTGCCCTCCTGGTCCTAGGAGAAGTGGGGTCTGGAATGCTTTCTAATGATAATGTGTCAGCCAGCTGTTCTGGCTCTTCTGTTCCCCCCTCTTCTTCTTCCATTATCTCCCAGCTTTGTCCTTCTGTCTCAGAGTCATGACCTTCTGCAAACCACTGTTGTAAATCTTTACTGTCCTCCTCCTCCAGGGAAGGTTCAGAAGGAGGGGGGCGGCCTCCACCATTCCTCCTCAGTCCAGTCCCTGAGACCAAGTCACCGTGTATTGAAACGACCCATTCAACTATTGGTAGAGCTGCTGGGATACCGCAGAATGTTCTAAAACATCCTTACATCTCAACAGTAAACAACCTACGCAAGGAGCCTAGCAACAGAACAGGGTTTTTGTGGTATTGATAAAGTTGTAGAGTGTGGAGAGATGTTCAGGGCTCAGATTCTGCTTCTTGCACCTCCTTTGGTGGCTGACATCATTATTATCTATGGAGAACACCTTTGCACGCACCCATTAATAAATGTGTTAGGGCATATGTGTCAGAAGATACAGGGAGGTCATGAAGGTTGAATTTAGAGTAACTCGGTTAGATGAAACCCTTCTGCTAATTCAGGCATAGGCAAACTCGGCTCTCCAGCTGTTTTGGGACTACAATTCCCAGCATCCCTGACCACTGGTCCTGTTAGCTAGGGATGATGGTTGTAGTCCCAAAACAGCTAGAGGGCCGAGTTTGCTTATGCCTGTGCTAATTTGTGTATTCTTCAACTTGTATATACAGGAAATCCTATTTTAGACAAGTACTTTAAATAGGAGTGACATGACAACATAGGAATAAGGTCAATAATATCCAACAAGCTTGTCTGCATCCTTTTTTTTCCTAATAAAATGCTTAAGTGCTCTATTTAATGGACCTAGTCTTGTTTATCACTTACATACTGCTGCCGAATAGAGTATGAGGTCAAGACTGCAAAATCAAGAAAACTTTCCCATTCATATGTAATATATGTTTAACTATTCTTTCTTTAAATCTTAGCCCATTGGCATAGTGAACAAAAGGATAAGGTGACTGGGATAAATCAGAAGTACCTGTTTCTGAGAACAGTATTCTGCGGCTTCTGAGAATAGTGTTCTATTCTCAGAAGCTTTAATATGTGCAAAAATGTTCTGGAGTATAGACTTCCATCTGGATGTGCATTTTACTTCTAAACCTGTCTCTCTCTTAATAGACATGCAGCAGATTAAAAGCAAAAATATTTTTTTTTAAGGTAGAAAATGTGTAAATACTCAGTGTTCTGATTTAACTTACTTAAGGAATGTGGCTTAATCACAGGAATGCCATACTGTGCTATCAATACTTTAGTTATAATTTTTCATTTAACAAGTTTTGTGACAAAATGACATCAAAACAAGGTAAAGCATAATTCTTTTAACAATAAATGTTGAGTACCTGTTGTTTCCAAGGCCACGATCTTTGGTTTTAACATCAAGGTCATAAATAAAGTGTTCTTGGGAGATTCCTACAATATTTTCTGCAGTTTCATTTCCCTTGATGGTGATAACAGGATAACCCATCTGCAGTGTCCACTGATCCATTACTTCTTGGATATTCACAAATTTCCCAACCTTCTTAAGTGCCTTCAAAACAAAAAGAAGAGAAAAAATTTCATTCAATATATTCAGGGAGTACTGCCAGTATTATGTTACCTTTCAGGGTGGGGAGAGAATAGAGGACTACTACTCTTTGCTTCACTTCAAAAAACAACCATTCACAAAATAACATAGGGTATTCATGTCTGGGGTAGGAACTTGTGCTTCTTCTGATGTTGCTGGACTACAATCCCAATTATCCCTGGCATTGGCCACCCTGGCTGGGACCGATGAAATCTGCCAAACCACAGGTTCCCCAGTCCTACAACAGAGGCTAGCCCATTGCTAGCAACATATTAAAAGGAACTAGACAGAAAGTGGACACAGGACTGTGATTTGACAATTTTAATTACCAAATTTATACAAAGACTTTAAACCTTAGTCATGGTGGAACCCAGACCTGCCTTCACTGCAGTTAAAATGGTGCTGATGTAATGTTTAAGTGGCACTAGACAACTGTTCTTCAGAAAAGGGAGGAACTATTGCATTCTTTTTCTGATTTAAGAGAATCTCAAATCTTGTGTCTGCCATGCTCAAATGATGCATTTCGATGCGCGTTTTGCGAACCCTTTCATCTCAATGAAGTATGGCCCCCTTCTTTAGCAATGAGCATTTAGAGGCATATTCCCTGCCACATGCTGGTTCATCTAGTCATGTGGGACTAGAGCTGCGTTGGGGCAAAAGTATATCCATGTAAAGAGCATTTTGCTACCCATGCCCCTTTGCACATTATTCAATATGATTTTAATCTGTCTTTCTGTTTGTGAAGCAACAGCTAGCACATACTTGGGAAGGAGGATTTTTCACATGCTCTTTTCCATCATGACTGACATTACAGTTATTTGGCTGCACAGAATACTTATAGTTGACTGCACTAATTCATAAACAGCTTCTCTTTTAGTCCATTACACTTCTATGTTGCTTCCTGCTTCCCTTCAGTTCATCTCAAAGGAGCTGATATCTGGATCCATTTGTTTTGATTATCCATTTCTAGATACTCTGTCTTTCACGTTCCATAAGTTTTTATTTAAGGATTTTCCAAAATGATATACAGCCACGCAAATAAAACACTCATTAACAGGAATATGAATTTCAGCATGGGATATTTACTCCTGAGGTTAACCCAAGTTCCCTGAAAACTTTAAACTGTATTACCTCTGACAGTGTGTTCCATAGGTCCTTTCTGGCAGCATTGCCATACTTGTGAATGGTTAGATAATCCTACAAAACATATGTAAACCAGTCGTTATTGTAAAAAAAAAGCAAACTTATTCCAAGTCAAACTATGGTGCTCTATTGATACAACAATTAAGTATGTTCCCATACACGAATCATATACATGTATGTTATAAGTTACAACAATAGGTTACAACAATATTATTTCCTAATTTGGGGCTGTGCCCCTGTTCACTCCACTCACCAATCCCCTCAGCCATCCCCTCCATATTAACTCCCTAGAGAAGTGGTGGCCAAACTTGGCCCTCCAGCTGTTTTGGGACTACAATTCCCATCATCCCTGACCACTGGTCCTGTTACCTAGGGGTGTTGGAAGTTATAGTCCAAAAACAGCCGGAGGGCCAAGTTTGGCCACCACTGCCCTAGAGCTTCCCCTTACCACTGCATAAAACTACTAAGCACCCTTTTCACCTTCTGCACAGAAGCCACTATAATCTCTTCCACCCTCTTTCCCCTGTCTCCTCTTTCTTCCTTTTTTCAATTTTCCCTTGCATGCAGGCAACCCCCCCCCCCCCCTGGCCATTAGTTTGTTCAGTTAGGAAAGGTTAAGTTAGTGGATGCTGTACACATATGGGTGTTTGCTTGTCAATCAGATACTACGTACATTGAATCTGGAACTTCATGTTGAAGACAACACATGGTATTAGGCGTGAAATACAATATGTGAACAAAGGCAGGGATAAACAACTTTCAAAACTATAATTTGATGAACGAACTTTTTGCTCTCAAATTAATTCTCAAACTTTTAAATTTTCAGACTTTTAAAAATGAAAAATAAATAAATTACAGCTTCTGCAGCAGTTTCCAACTCTGGGAAACTTTCCAAAGATAGGTGCTACTTATTATTTCAGCAGACTGTTTTGTGGTTTGTGTCAAGAAACCACAGAATCTGGTTGATAGCTAAATCTGTTATTAAACATTTTTAAAAGGAACAGTCTATTCAAGACATGTCTATTAAGGGTTTACGGGTCTTGCAATTTGATTCTGCAGAAATATATAATGCTATCAAACTAAGTGCACAAATTTTAGTTTGAAACTTCTCTTAAAGAAGTGGGTTTCATCTCACAGAACAGAAGCTTCTTATGCGCAAGGGTTCTACTAAATGCTAAGGCAATTGTTAGATCAGCAAGTGTCTTTCAATGAATGTAATTAAGGTTTCTGACAATGTAAGTTTAATATTGATTTCTTTTGTCCTTTTCATTCCTAAGTTTTATCTCCCTACCTACACCATACTAGGGCTAGGATTACATTTTATAGATCCAGCTTCATTTTGTTCAGTGTTCTGGAGTTCCATAAAGCATATTAAATTGGATATAGAGCAAGAGATTTTCTACTTGATCTAAGCATAAAATGTGAATACATGAAAATGCATTTTATTGACCAGGTAAAAAGAGGGATTCCCATACATGTGAATGTTCACCACCTTCACTTAAGAAAAGCAGCAGAAGGCAAGCCCTCATTTCAAGCAAAATCATTAAAAATTGTGCTGACTGTGTTTTCTGCATGGTATGTGTGTGAACTAGGTATTTCAATGGTAATTAGTGTTTGGGGAGCAAGCATCCTGATGCACAAATTGCAAGCACTCATGACAGATTTAGCTTTATTTCTGTGAACTTGCTGTACAAGAAGCAGAAACTCCCATATAATCACAGCTTAGAAAAGTTAAATGAGAACACTGACTCACTTTAACCACAATGCATAGTTTTTTAAATGTCATGAAAATAAGCCTTAGAAAAGATAGCAGAATATATGCTCCTCCAACATACTGTGCTGATATCTAAAAATAAACAACTCAATGGTTTCTCCAGGTGAACTGGTTATTTTTATAATAAAAACACCCACAGTAAACATATGAACAAGATAGGTTCTCTAAGTCAGCCCTACTTATAAGAGGGTACAACTGGTTTTGTTTCCACGTTAGTTGCTATAACCAGTAGATGCATATGTTGGAAGGGTTTTCAGAAATTGCCTTTCTCAACTGCACATTCTAAGCTTCACATGGAAAATTCTATGCTCAGAAGATCACTGCTAGCGATGATATATTGTGACCCACTTCCACCATATGCAATTAGGGGATAACTTAAAAATGTATCCATGCTAATGCTAAATGTTACATTAGAATCAGCCCTCAGTGTCAAAGGAAGAAAGACCAAGATCTTGAAATGTATGAGGAACTTTTCAAATCCCAACAGACCACAATAGCTGTCAGGAATTTATGAAGTTCAGTCTTAAAGCTAATTTGACTGCTATGCTGCCATGACTGATAGAAGAAGAGTATTTCACGTATGTCATTGATGTTCTCCTGATGTTGGCATGATCTTGAGCTGTATATTGGCCATGTTTTACTGTACTCAACAGGTGTGAAGCACCTCCAACATTTACGCCAACAAGTTAATGCATGTTTCTTAACAGTCTACATTAGCCACTACATTAGCTGCTACCGTTTGTTTTAATTCTTCCTACAGAACATTCGTAGGAAGAGGAAAATGTTCTTTTCTTTGGTATTTGTTTTATATACCATGGAAGCTTGAATTTTCCTTTTAATTTTCAAATACGCCATTTTAGTAAAAAATAATAATATGTAGAGCTTATATAAAGAGAAAATAATGACACTTGAAATGAACTGCAAGCTACAAACTCATGATACACAGCACTATTCATTATATTTTGTTTTTGTTGTTTTTGTTTTTGCACTATTCAGCTGCTCTAGGGCTAGATTGATTTTGTTCCACACTCTGCCTTTAACAATCAAGTGGCTTGTAAAATTAGCAACTGTAGCATTGTGCCTCTTGCAATGCCAGGTTCTGCTGGGCAATCCACAGGGAGATTATAATGAACACAGTACAAATTCCTCCTCCCAAAAATTCCAGCTCAAGTGCCTTGCTGTGAGAAACAGCAAGGAAATATAATGGAATCCCCCAAATCCCATCTTTGTGGAAAGACTACGAGCCAACACAGACCAACATTTTAGCACACACTCTACCACAATCTTTTTCATATTCTAGGTCTTACACATGTTTTCACATTACATTTAACAGTTCTTCCAGGAAGACCATTAATACCACAAAACATTCAAAAGTAGGTCTCAATCCATCTTATATAAAAATGAAGAATATGCAGAAAGGCTGCCTTTACTACACAATGGCATAATTAAAATAATAAACTATACAACTAAAGATTTAGAAAGGTTATCTCTTTCTACTCCCCACAGAGAGAGCTGCTGTGAATTGAGGATAGGTTCTCCAAAATGGATAATCACTGAGAGAATTCGTTTTAAAATTGTAAATAAATAAACCAATGGACAGGTAAATTCTTTTTCAGTTGTTAAAATCCAGGACACCCATGCATCTAGAAAGCTCTTATTTTTGCATGTCCAATATATTTATCTAGGTTTTTTTTACCTTTATTAATGAACTCCTGGGGGAGGGCAGGAAGTAGAATTCATCATGACAATTTCATTTTCCGAGCTTCCCAAACTCTGCTGTTGATAAAGTGACTAAGTTAGAGATCAATTTGTTGCCCATGTACTTATGGAAGGTCTTTACAATGGAAGAGGAGTGGAGGTGAATTTTGCAAATTTGCAGCCTCTTGCACACGCAAACACCCATCCTGCTCTGGAGAGTATCCTAACTCTCCAGAACCAATTTTTGTGGGGTGCTGCTGCAAGTAAGTGGAAGAATTGGCACAAATAATTTCTCCTTTCTTCTGTTAGCAAAGCCATCCACTAGATCAAAAAAGGCTTCACATAGGCACAAGGCAACCTCCAGATTCCATCCTAAAGAGAGAATTTTATCTTCTTACACCTGCCAGAACAAAATGTTCAAGGTTTCCTTAGAAAATGACTTCCTCAGTGATTACCTATTTTAGGGAATCTGTCCTCAATTTAAAGACAGCTCTCACCTGGCCTGCATACAGACATATTTGGGATTGCTAAACCTCCTTCTTTAGCTCAATTGTAATGGCTTTTATTCACCCAAAATGAAGCCATTAAGCAATTTTTCCATGCTTTCAGTTTTTTGCTTGAAGACTTATAATGACATTACTTGAAATAAAATATTGATTCTAAGTAGAATACTTATTTTAGTGGTTGTAATCCTGCCAAAGAAGCATAATTTCATCTTTCCCCACACTTAATATATTCCTTAATGGTTAAAAAACACAAACCAACTATTATTTCTCTCCTCAATCTGACACAGATTCAAAACAATTATCATTACCATGTATTTCCAAAACATGATTTGAGTCAATTGAGTACATTCTGGAGTTAACCATATCAGGGTGGTTCTAAACAGCTTGAGTTTTTACCATCATTAATTTTAAACTAATTTCCAAATGCAATATAGTTCCATACTCTTGAAGTTCATGTTGAATCTCTCCAGAATAGTTCTTCTGGCCATCTTTAAGTAATACAGATTTGACACATTGCTTAATTTTATTATGATGGGGTCAGCTAAACATCTAACAGGGGAACGCCTATCACTTTTCACTTGTTAAGTGAACAACTGTCCCATTCAAAGAGGCAACTGCTCCCAATTGTGATATAATCCCTCAATTACTTTAATGAATGTCCCAAGCCCACCCTTGTAACCTCAGCTCTTAATAACAGCCAGGGTTACATTTATGAAACATTGAACAGCTGCCTAATGTTATCAGAGACCTGTCCATTAGGTAAGAATCCAAACTGGACATTGCTAATATTTATCTACATATCTTCTCCATTTACACATAAAAGGGAGAAAAGGATATGTTTAATATTTTATATGAAAATGGATACATTATCCCCCCCCCCTCCGCTATATTAATTCCTGGGACTCTGCTGCTTCAAGTGCCAAAATGGTTCACTTCTGATACCACAGTCAATCTGGGAGAAATGTTATTGGTGTGGGGAGAGGGGCTCAGTTCTCCCTATCCATATATTCATGTAAAAATTAAGTTCTCTTCATTTTATACTTGAATGGAGCAGAAATATGGAGAGCAAATGTTGGTGTCCCCATCACATCTAGTTTAGCCCTAAAGCCTCATTTTTGGTGAATCTTTTGTGGTGCTAATATTCCAGGAATGTTGTTTTAAAATTGTCAGTATATTAATATCTACTATAATGGGATAGTAGGTTGTAGTAAGTGGAAATGGAAAGTAGAAATAGCAATAAATGGAAAGAACTACTACACTGTAGGACATTCATTTAAACTTTTATCTCCTTAAAGGACTTTCCTGCCACTTACTTATTACTCTTTCCAAGATTTAATTGTGCCTCACAACTTATCCCTACCCATCCTGCCTTCTCAATGTCAAGACTGATTCCTCAAAGGCTGATCTGAGATAACAGGCCACATAATTCTAAGTGAATGAGTAGCAAAACAAAGTAACTTGTTGTGAGGTGGCTTGACAACTCAGTTCAGGGAGTATGTTCTTGAGTGCAGAGGTTTGTGTCTGAATGCAGAAAGGCTGATGCAAAAATAAAATTGGCAAACTACTAGGAAAAAAAAATAAGTCAAGCAGAGAGCACATTATTTTAACTTATCTTTTGAGGCACGCATGCACACACTAATGTCTTCATCCACCTGCCAGGCCAGCTGTCAATCGTATCCTAGCCCCTCAAGAGACCATTCTGGAAAATCCAGCTTTCTACAACATAAGGATACCTCAAATGTAGCCATAATTTTCATAAATGGGCCCTATTTCATGCAGAAGACCCTATGTTGTGACCCAATTCACCTGAAGCGAATTTAAGCTATTTAAGCTGATTACAATTAAAGACACTTTAGAAAGCTGAAGAAGGGGAAAGAAACGTTAGCTTAGATGAATATATAAATAAACTGGAGGGATGGATCTTGTTCTTCATAGTTTAACTTCATCATGGTTCTGTTATTATAACATAATTGTATCTTGTCCTTTCTCCAAGGAGCTTAGAGCAATATTGCTTATATTAAGAGATTCCAGGGGGGAATGTTAGATGAAGACATGGTGAACCTAGGTTTCCCAAACTGAAACTGAACAGCTAGCCACTGCAACCTCTGGCTCTGTTTAAATTCAAAGCATCTGAGTTCAGAAAGCAAAGAGACGTGTGACTATATTCTCCACAGATTCAGTTACATTTCTGGACATCATTCTCTCTTCCTCAAAGAACAGCCCTTTGAACCACATGGCAAACCACAATCCAAAAATGGTTTGCTCTGTAGTATGCTGAAAGCAAAAACAGAAAGCCATGCACAGTTGACCTTCTGTAGGCCAAACTAAAAGTGGCAACATTCAGATGTGTATTTATATTTCTTAACATCATTAGTTAGTTTATAAAACCACCTCACAGTGACCTACAAGTAATAGTAAGACACTCAATAAAGAATACAATATATGTAAACGATATAATTGAAAATAATCACAATGAGGAATAGTAAAGCCACAATCCCTCCATCTTCCAACAACACATGGCCCTCAAATGAAAAAAGAAAACATCACCACAGGTTGCAAATGAAAAGGGGAATTAACAGTTAAATGCCTGGGAGAAAAGACTTTGCCTAGCACTTAACATTCCATAGACTAAGTGCTGGGACGGATAGGGATGTTTCCTTGTTACCAAACTTCAAACAACCGTGGGAGCAACTGTGTGGCTTTGAAAGGGTAAGTGGTAGTGTGAGGGCCCCAGTCTGGATTGCGAACCTGATGGGGAAGAAGAGAGTTTAACCTGGTTGCCTGCGTCAGTGGTTTTAATAAGGATTAGAACACCATCCCTACAATATGCGCTGAAAGAAAGGCTCTAACTCTAGCCAACAGAACCTTTCTTTTCAGTATGATAGATAGCAGCTGTAGGGCCCCTATGCTAGTAGTGGATATATATATATATATATATATATATATAGCCTACCTACCCCACCAGGGTCTGGATCAGAGCTTAGCTCACTGCATCTGCCAATTACGCTAAAAAAAAAAATCCTTTACAAATACAATTCAGGGAATTGCTAATTGCATGAATTGTGTGACATTTAGTTTGACTCCCACACTGTGGCCATAACAGACACACCTGCAAACCAGCCACCCACAAGAGAAACAAAGAATGTGTATTTGATGGTTTCTCTTCACACATAGCATCATTTCTCTTAAAGAATTGCCAAAAGTATGAATTAGACGACTTCTTTTTATAGAAGTACAATATACCTAAACTATAGATGAAATGATTAGGATTATGTTGGCATGAGAAGTATTCAATAATATTTTAATCTAATGGGATTTTGCATGTTACTCTTTTGTTTTTATGACACATGCAAGGCATTTTTATCTAATAGGGTAAGAGAAAAATACGATAATCGCCGTCTTTTCCTATAACCACTTTACTATGTTTTATTGTAGCAGTTCTTATTAATGTATCACGTTTATCAAATAGGGAGCCTACAACAAAACAAAGATAATACAAATTTTCCAACACATTAACCTATTGGGACTGGCATTTAAAAATGGCTGCATTGAACTAAAGACTAACAACATCGTTTGAAGATCACAAAATGTCTGCATTGTGCCTCTATCTTTCACACATCCCTAGACATAAAAAATAAAACTGCAAAAGCTTGTCAAATTATAGTTGGTCTCTGAAGAAAATTAAAATGCTTAAATTATCTGGAAAGTATGTTACCTGAATACTGAGGCAGATGGCTTGAATATTTGAAGAGAAAACAGAATAAAATCTCCTAAAGGTTTTTGACAGATGTTTGTAGCAACAGTGTTTCTGAATAAGTTTACAAGTCCTTTTTTAAGTGTGTGCTTGTGCTTAGGAAAAACCTGTCCACTCATACTGAAGAAGGCCTTTATCCCTTTGCTATGTTCACTCTCAATTCTACCTGACTCTTCATCGAAACAAGATGATAAAAGGTAAAGGTAAAGGGACCCCTGACCATTAGGTCCAGTCGTGACCGACTCTGGGGTTCTGGCGCTCATCTTGCTTTATTAGCCGAGGGAGCCGGCGTACAGCTTCCGAGTCATGTGGCCAGCATGACTAAGCCACTTCTGGCGAAACAGAGCAGTGCACGGAAATGCCATTTACCTTCCCGCCGGAGTGGTACCTATTTATCTACTTGCACTTCGTGCTTTTGAACTGCTAGGTTGGCAGAAGCAGGGACCCAGCAACGGGAGCTCACCCCCTTCGCGGGGATTTGAACCGCCGACTTTCTGATCGGCAAGTCCTGGGCTCTGTGGTTTAATCCACAGCACTACCCGTGTCCCTTTTTAAACAAGATGATAGATCATATCAAAATTAGGTTTCAAGTGAATTCATATATTTTAAAGCACAAGGAAAATATCAGAATTATGTAAATTATAAAAATGATTCAACTTCCTATTTTCCCCCTCTGCAAAGATCAACTTGGATCAGTGAATTCACTCCATATTCAAAGTGCTTCCAGATGTTACTCCAAACAAGGAGAGTAGCTGTTAATCCAACCCAGCCAGGCCCAAAGTACTAGTGGAATTTAAAAATCCCAGGTCAACCAGGATTAACGAAAACACATATGACAGCCGTGGTGGAAGTATTTGGCTCTATCTAACATTTGTCTACAGGGAAGCTTATTGTCGGTCAAAGAGACTTTTCATAAGGCAAATAAATTGCATGGATTATGCCCTGGCTGATAAAATATTTGACGTACAGAGAAAGGTGATAAAAATGATGGGAAATATCTTGTTAACAAAAAGGCAGGCCTTTTTTGGTGACTCATCAGCTAATGAGTCAATACTATTGACTGTGTTTACCAGTGACTAATTTTTAAGGATACTGATGATGTTCCCCCTTTATGCGAATAACAGGGATACTGAAAGAATTATATGTCTACCTCTTAGAAACAGTTATGTCTCGCCTGGTAATTCAGAATGGGTCAGGATGATTTTACTCTTAAGTACGTTTGTCAGAGGTCGCTTAGGATGATGGATACAAGAGAGCTTGGAGGAAAACTGAAAAGCGGGGGCAGGGTCCCATTTTTCCCTGAGGCTCCCCCCCCCCCAATGTTAAGGGGGGGGGATTTGAACTGAAGAAAACAAACTCCAAAGAAAAATTTTGTCTGTTTGGATGAGTAAAATGATTTTAACAGTTTTTATTTAAGAATATACAGCATTAGAGAATGATAATTCTTGCACATACAGCATTAGAGAATGATGATTCTTGCATATGCAGTTGTTGTTTAGTCGTTTAATCGTGTCCGACTCTTCGTGACCCCATGGACCAGAGCACGTCAGACACTCCTGTCTTCCACTGCCTCCCGCAGTTTGGTCAGACTCATGTTTGTAGCTTCGAGCATATGCAGTACAACACTCAAAACTGCACCTAGAAGGTGGTGCCATCTTTAGAAGAGCATAAAGGATCTTTATTGTTTGCTGCTTGCCTTTTTCTGAGGACCCTCAGGGTAGTTTGGAGATACTACGTATGTTGCTTCTGTGGTCTTTGACCTGGCAGATCCATTATGGTTAACCTTTTTACCTCTATCCTCAAATGACTTGTGATATGAGCACTCTGCTACAGACTAACAAACAAGCAGCTTATTGCCCTGCCTTGTAGGAGGATAAAAAGGTCAGAAGGACATAGGGCAGAAACTACAGGAGACTAGTTGCGTGTAAAATCAGAAAGTATGGTTGAAAACTGAGCTCTAGCCAAGACCCACAGAAGGAAGTGGAATACAAGTTGGTATATTTGCAATTCTGCTTGTACAAAACTATTTTTAAATGTCATAAATATGCCACATGACACAATTTTGTATTATAACTAAGTTATACGTGTTGCAACTTTTATGTTGTTCAAGGGGGAGTAAGATTTGGGTTTGATAAGAAACTACTTAGCAATTATATCTCTCCCCAACCCACCCCAATAACTGTTGGGAGAAACCTTTTCTTTCCCCCTATGGTTCACAGGTTTCAGAAAATTTCACATCTCTAAGATCTAAGCTTCCACTCAGACCCAAATGTGCAGGTGTCTAGGGCAGGCTTCCTCAACCTCGGCCCTCCAGATGTTTTGAGACTACAATTCCCATCACCCCTGACCACTGGTCCTGCTAGTTAGGGATCATGGGAGTTATAGACCACAAACATCTGGAGGGCCGAGGTTGAGGAAGCCTGTTCTTGGGGATGGAGCTGGCAGGGCATTCATGTTGATAATGGGTCCAGAATGAATGCACAAGGGATGAGCACTCTAACCCTCTTCCCAACACGAATGCCTTCCAGCTCCATTCCCAAGGCACCTGACATTTCATGTGTCTGAAGGGGAAACCTATGTAAGTACAGGTATATGCACTTACCGGTAACTCCTCTTAACGACTGGGAGCTCTGCACTATCATCAGGTACTCTCACTGCTCTTAGGGTCTTATTTCACAACTGAACTGAATGTGCCAAGGTTTTGGGACTGGGACTGAGATGGGTATTCATGTTAGGGGCATGACCAGTGCACCAGCCCTGCTTGCTTCTTCACAGTTCTCTGGATGTGCACAGGCAAAAGTCTGAAAGGGGCTGCAGCAGGCATATTGTTAAGCTAGATGCTCCAGATATCCTGAGAACAACTTATTTGCTGTTGTTCATCATATTAGGGTTTTCTTTCTGGCTGCATCTATTAGCCTTGGGAGTATAAAAAATAAACATAACCCTAGCAACAAATAATATTCACCACCACCACTAATATTTGGCAATAGAAACTTTAAAAAGACCAGGCTATAACATGAGAATTGTGGTCATCTGGATCAACTTGGTATTCTGAATCCACTGTGAGAAGAACAAACTTACTTGGCTGATAGGCACAAGGATAAGAAACGTTACAGAAAACGGAGGAAGAAGACCCGCATGAACTTATGACATTGTTTAAGGTTCCCAGATAAGGATAAGGAAAAAATGAGCCCAAACAAGAAAGCAGCGTTGCAGCTCAATCAGAGCAGGCAAGTTGAAGGGCATTTAAGTATTACAAGGAGAGGGCAGGTCAAACTTAGAGTAAAAATATTATAAAACCAGGACTGGCTGAGCAGAGGCTTGCTTCCCTTGCAGTTGTTCACTGCACCATAAAATGCCTTATGACATACTGTAAGAACACTAGGTTTATTCCATGCCTTTATTTTTAAAAAATGTTTCAAATTCAACAGTGATTGCAATTAGCAGCAATAAAACTTTGCTACCAGAAAGGCATATGTGCAATTAAATTATTATCCTCAAACAAGCAGCTTTAAGTACTAAAGCAAGAGAAATGATACTAGTATCTTATAATTCTTTCTGGAGCCAGCACTGATACATAAATTTGTAGAATTATAATTTGGATAATTCTTTCCCTCCTTGCAATTTACAGTTGATAGTACACTGTCAATTATTATTATTATTATTTTAAAAAACCACTTAAATGTGGCCAACTTAAAAATCAGTGTTAAGCTAGGGTGGCTATTTGTCCTACTTTTTTCATTAAAGTTTTTCTCTGCTTGAAGAGCAGTCTGGTCCAAGTCTGGTTTAAAGATAAAGAACCACTGGGGGAAAGAGCAAGGTGTTTGAATTTGTCCATCAACAGGCAGCACCTGGAGAGCATGCTGAGCAGGCATGCAGGAAGTTTTCGCCCCCACCGTGAGATGTACTGTATTTCTATTTATAATACAGTAATTCTTTTTGCTTTTTTATCTATGCCCATGAATTAGCACATGCATATTTTATGGAAACCTGTGTCCTCTTTTTTGTTGATGTGCTACCTTTTGGTGAGGTAAAGTTATGTGGCCACCCTATATTACGCTTTTCTTAAATCTGAAACACATTGCCTTCAAAAAGATTAAATGTTGTAAATAAATAAATATAAATAAACGCAATTCTTTCAGAAAGATGTCTTAAATTTACCCCAAGTGATGCTCACAGGCACTGTGGGAGGACTAAATTGGTACCTCATCCCACTCTGTCCTACTCCTCTGCCCTTGTTTCTCTCTCTGTACTTCTCTGTCACTCCATCCACAAATATGTCTGACATATGTGGATGTGTTCCCATATCCCACTTTCATGAACCAGTTCGAATTGTTTCAGCATTTGGGGCATGGCTACTTCTGGCCTTGTTCTGCATTCACCATCCCAGTTTCCCAAAAATTCCTCTTGTTGCTGTTTCCTTTCAATTACACAAGGCAAAGCAAGCAAACGATGTCACACGCACGCACACAAAACAAACAAATGCTATGGCTCAACTTACTCTTTAAAACAGGAACTTTCCTTCCTAGTGCAATTTCTGGTTTTCCTCCCTCCCCTCTGCCCTCAGATGAATTGAAGAGCTAGATACGGCTTGGATAATGGTAGCACCAGATTTGAAGAGGATTGGGGATGGGCAGTATAACATTAAAATCTTCCTCTGCAGATGGTGTAGTAGGGCAGAGACAATAACCTGACCTCCTACCAGGTGAGTCACTGCTGCTTACCACAAGGCAGGAGGGATGGGGTGAAGTGGCGGCAACTTCAGCGAGGAGGAAATCCACCAGCAGGAGCATCAAATTAGCTCAGTTGGTGTGTTCGTTCAACACTACCACACCCTCTGGGGAAGTAGCAGCGACTCACCAGCTGAGACATCAGGTAAGCACCTCGGTCCACCATACCATCTGTTACTTGTCTTCCTCCTAAAATGTTCTAGTGGGTTCATTGCTTACAAAGATGGATTTAGGGGAGCCTTACTGGTTCGCCTGCACTGGGCGCCGAGCTGAGAGGGCACCAGAACAATGATGTCAAATGGAAGGGAAGAGCTGGTGTGCCAAACGTCGGGTGCTGCTGAAATTTGAAAGCCCAAAGTCCGCCACTGTTGCTTATAACAGATCTCTAAAACTTGTGGGCTGCCAAGCTGAATGAAGTCCATCTGCCCTTGCATTGTGGCGCTCTGCCCCCTTTTCGCAGTCCCATACTGATTGCAAAGAAGGGATGCTTACTGGGCCCTGTGGCCATAGGATGTAGATGGTTATTTGCAGGTTGTCTCGAGTTGTGGAGGCCTATCAAATAAAGGCATGCTGGTGGTCCATTCTGAGGCCTGGCAGAGGTAATAAGTGAGGGAAATGTCTCTCTGTGTGTTTACTAATGAACATTATGGATTAGCAACCCTTCATTATGGCTACATTAACAGTTAAGTAATCAGTGAACACTGAAAACAGCAGTGTACTAAGATCTGAACCAGGCCCCCAAACTGAGAAAAACACAGAATGCATCATTTATGAAGTCATACACATAGTGATTTAAATAAAATGTTTGCAGTTGTGAAGCTCTAAATTTGACAGACCTGAAGGAAATATGGGTATATGCAAAGACCACTTTTTTTCTATTAGTACTAAAGCTCCCTTATTAGCTAGCTTTGAATGTCACAAAGGCAATGAGAGTGTGGTCACAAAGCAATCTGCATTTGAAATCGGAAACAAAATGTTTAAGGGATGGCACAGCCACTACTGAACATGGTTTGATGGTGCCTATAAAGTTTCAAGGTACCTCTACTAGATGGTTAAATTTGCTTTAAGGAATATATTATTTGATGGATTATGTCAATGAAAAACAAAGCATTCCTGAGAATTCCTATATAGTAACTTTCTAACTCTCTCTCTCTCTTGATTGACATTTTACAAACTCATATAATGGCATTCTACCAGAGAATGGAATGGAGTATTTTCCAGAGGCATTGTAATAGTACTTGTTAATTGTGCCAGTATTGACTGAGCTGGTTCAGGCAGACACCAGTAACGTCAGGGTCACTCTCAATGAGAAACATTTGTTCTACTGTACAGTGGACGCTCGGGTTGCGAATGTGATCTGTGCGGAAGGCACGTTTGCAACCTGGAGCGCTGCGTCTGCGCACGCGCGGGTCGCAATTCAGCGCTTCTGCACATGCACAAAGCAAGATTTAGTGCTTCTGTGTGAGCGCCGAAACCCGGAAGTAACCCATTCCGGTACTTCCGGGTTCGGTGCGATGCGCAACCCGAAAACCTGCAACCTGAAGTGTCTGTAACCCGAGGTATGACTGTACTTAAAAATAAATAAATTCCAGTCATACATTCTCAAACTCTCACTGTAGGGTGAATATCTTCTATTTCAGGATTTGGCCCAGCAATTCAACATCACAGAACACGCAGAGAAAAGACAGAGGAAGACTGTCAGTCAGGATAGATAGGTCAGCTCTGTTCAGGTGGTTCTTTGACAAGTTTCTTTGTAGGAAAAGTAGTTGATGTAAGAGACATTTTAGATATCATGCTAAACTATATTTTGGTGTTACATGAATGAGTCTGGGGCTCATGAATTCTTCCTGCTCCTCTCCTCTTTTGCAGGCATGAGGAGAGTAGAAGCATTTGTTTCCATTTTCAACTAACCACTGTTTGTAATTATCTCTGAACAGGGACAAACTGTGGTTATTCTTAGCAATTGCTTTGGGAAAACAAGCAAACAGCAAATGTTTTCTAAAATTTGTATAGCTATTTATCTCCTCAACATCTGATGGGAGGACATTCCACAAGGTGGGCACCACTACCAAGAAGGTCCTCTGCCTGGTTCTCTGTAACCTCGCTTCTCTCAGTGTGGGAGCCACCAGAAGGCCCTTGGAGCTAGATCTCAGTGACCGGGCTGAACGATGTGGGTGGAGACACTCCTTCAGGTATACTGGGCTGAGGCCATTTAGGGCTTTAAATGTCAGCACCAACACTTTGAATTCTGCTCAGAAATGCACTAGGAGCCAGTGTAGATCCTGTAGGATCAGTGTTATATGGTTCTGTCGGCCACTTCCAGTCACCAGTCTAGCTGCCGCATTCTCGATTAGTTGTAGCTTCCAAGTCAACTTCAAAGCTAGCTCCACATAGAGTACTTTGCAGTAGATGAAGCAGGGGATAACCAGTGCATGTACCACTATGGTGAAACAATGTGTAAGCAGGTAGGGTCTCAGCTAACGTACCAAATGAAGCTGACAGACAGCTACCCTGGACACAGAAATGACCTGAGCCTCCATGGACAGCTGTGAGTACAAAATGACTCCCAGGCTGCGTACCTCTTCAGGGGCATAATTATCCCGGAATCCCCCCCCCCACCCGCCCTCTATCCCTCAGAAATAGGACTTCTGTCTTCTTGGGAGTCAACCTCAATCCATTAGGACCAGTGGTTCCCAACCTTTTTTTGGCCATGCCCCACCTAAGCATTTCTAAAATCCTGATGCCCTCCCCGTGACATATAATTCTTATTATTCAAAAAGTGAACTCCTATTCACATGGAGGAAGCCTAAAAGGCCATTAGCTGTTAATAACTCATTCTCAAATTGCCCCCCTTAAAAATCTAATTTCCTCCTTTGGGCCTGTGCCCCACATTGGGAACCTCGGCATTAAACGTTATCCATCCTCCAATCGCCTCCAGACACTCACACAGGACATTCACTATCTTCACTAGTTACAATATAAAGGAGAAGTAGAGCTGGGTATCATCAGCATACTGGTGAACACTCAGCCTGAACCCCCTGATATCTCTCCTAGCAGCTTCATATAGATGTTAAAAAGCATGGGGGAGAGGTCAGAGCCCTGTGGCACCCCACAAGTAAGTGCCCTGGGGTCCGAACACTCACCCCCCCTGAACACCACTTTATACAAAAACTTATATCTTCAAGCAAGCAGCATGTACAATTCTAGGGTCAAGCAGACTGAGAAGAAACGAAGCATATAGTACACGTTGTATAGTAGCCATGGGACAAAGAATAAATCAGCTGAACTATTAGAAACAAAGATATTATATTCCTTCTCGTATAGTGGTAATGTCTCTAAGAAATAGAGCAGGAAAAAAATGATTTATTAATTTTTCTTATTGAAATAAGATGAAAACCTGCCATGCAGTGCACTCTGCCCAACCACCCAGGACTTTTTTTTAATCAGCCTCAGTTTCAAGTATTACTAGACAGATCTTAACAAGCAATTGGATATCTTAATAGATTATCATGCATTATTGAAAATCCAGGCAAGAATACACAAACAGAAAGAGACAGAGTGTGTGAAAGAGAAATGTGCAGGAAATGTACAGAATATTTTCAATTTAGCTATAGACCACCCCCAAAAAACTAAAGAGCCTACCAATGGATAGGAAAAAAGAAGACTCAAGGAAAATTAAAATATCATGCATGTTTTAAAGACCCAAACAGTGGTTTCCAGGAAGCAAAATAAATAATATTTTGTTATGTGCAACACTGATTTCCTCCAAGTAATCCAGCCTTATTTCTTCCTGTTTGCATTTGGTTGGGGGACTAGTTAATTGCTGCAATGTCTGTGCACATTCCTGCTCCAGTAAAGAGTAAGTACTAGATTATGACGGAAAAAAGGAGTCAGGTCTGACCTGGGGGTGGAGTGAAGGAGGGGCAGCATTGCTGTACAGGCCTGTGCGGCGCCCAGCCACAGCTCCGCTCCTGCGTCAGTTCTGATTCAGGAGGCAGAAAGAGGCAGGAGCATCACAGCAGAGTTGCCGCCCCTCTCCTCAGCTGACCCACTGGGTGGAGGTTGGAGGCTTGGAGGGCAATTTTCGCCCTCCATGCTCCCCGCCGCAATTGCTAGAAAGCCTTCCAGGAAGGCACTCTGGCAATCCTCAAAGGGACACCTGCGCATCCCAGTAGGCCTGGACGGATTGGGGGGGGCGTTGTGCGAATGACGGCGCACAAACACAACACACACACACCCCAATGTTGGGTGCAACTGATCACTCCTAAGTACCACCTCCCAATAATTAAAACTCAACTGCACCCCTGGTTTTCTGGGATTTTGGGGGGGGGTGTTAATGAAGCAGTTGAGGAGACAGGAGGAACACAAATGGAATGAAACTCAAAATGAGTCCAGCTGAACACTGGCTTTCGGTATCCCAGGCCACTAAATTCTTGTCAACCAGCTGGTAGAGATGGGGACTGGGAACACTGTGCTCTTGTTTTCACTCTTATGAAGATGTCAGATTCCAAAAGGTGATGGCAGGGAATTTTAGCTTAGTGCTGTGGCATGTTTCCTATGCTGTTTTAGAACATAGGAACTGGGTGGTATCATGACAACTAATTATCTTCACTTGTAATCTGATCTAGGAGTATCCATGGACAATCCTTAGCATCCTCTACACCATTTTACAAACATCAGCTAAGGTATATCCTGTGATCTCTCCTGCCTCTAATTGTTTTTAATACTTGAAAATTCTCTGTTGATTTTATTGATCTTTGGCTTTACCTGCTATTGTATTTTACTGTTTAGGTGTGAGTGTTTTCCTACTGCTTTTATGGATTTTATCTTTTATTTAGGGGTTATTTAGTACCTCAGGTTACATACGCTTCAGGTTACAGACTCTGCTAACCCAGAAATAGTACCTCGGGTTAAGAACTTTCAGGATGAGAACAGAAATCTCACGGCAGCAGCAGGAGGCCCCGTTAGCTAAAGTGGTGCTTCAGGTTAAGAACAGTTTCAGGTTAAGAACGGACCTTCGGAATGAATTAAGTACATAACCAGAGGTACCACTGTATTGTAAGATACCTTGAGGCAATGTGTGAGAATAAACAAATAAGTAAGCCCAACCACATAACTGGGAGTGTGGGGTGTATCTTGGAAGTCCTAAGCATGTGTGGGTCAGTTCTGTGAGAAAGACTTATGTGATAAGCTCATGTGGTTTTATAAATTACATATTTTCCCAGCAACTTGGGTGGCATTCCTTAAAAATACTTCCCAGGCAGCTAGGCTAACATTTAAAGGGCCTCTCAGCTTTAAGTGTCTGTCTAGTAGAGTGGATAAAAGGTCCTTGGCATGATGTATACAGTACAACCAAAACCACAAAAGATGTTAATTTATCACAGAGACAGGAGATCCCACAGTAAACTAATGCAAACTGCTGATGATGCACTAAATCAAAGTGAGTGATGAACACAAATATAGCAGCAACTGAAGTTCAAAAGGATACAGATCTGTGTGATCAATGAGCTGCCAAATGGCAAATGAAATGTAATGTAGACAAACTCACAGAAATACACATTGGTCTAAGAATAATCAAATCATGCAAAAGATAAATGCAAAAGGACTCTAAGCTAGCTATCCCCTTAGGGCTGGATATGACAGCATATACCTCTTTAAACAAAGCCATACTAAGGTATATTTGATCTTCAACACTAAAGTTACAACCCATGTCCAAAGCACAACATGAATATAGAAACTGATTTTTCGTTAAAAATAATAATGTATGGATAAAAAAATGTGTTTATTCACACACACACACACAGTTTTACTAGGATACTTCATTCTTAAAAACAGGCCAAGTTATCCAAACTGAACTCTACCAATGTCAGTTCATGTAAGGAATAACCACAAACAAAACTATTTTAAATGAAATCATCACACATCAGTCAATGGCCGTCAGCCAGGCGAGAGAGAAAACTTTCCCCTAATGGTTTGATATAGACATCCATTTACAGTGATGTAAGGAGGGCTTTCTCCTGCCAACCTAGCAGTTCGAAAGCACAAAGTGCAAGTAGATAAATAGGTACCGCTCCAGCAGGAAGGTAAACGGCGTTTCCGTGTGCTGCTCTGGTTCACCAGAAGCGGCTTAGTCATGCTGGCCACATGACCCGGAAGCTGTCTGTGGACAAACACCGGCTCCCTCGGCCAATAAAGCGAAATGAGTGCCACAACCCCAGAGTTGGTCACGACTGGACCTAATGGTCAGGGGTCCCTTTACCTTTACCTAAGGAGGGCTTTAGAAGAATGCTAACCATTTCCCCATCCCACCCACCCACCCCCATCAGCTGCCATATTACCTTTAAAACTTCTACCAGAAATAGGCACTGCAGAGACAGCTTAATGCAGTGGTGAATGTTGGACTAGGAACTGGGAGACCAGGGCTAAAATCCCCACTCAGTCATGAAGCTCAGCCACCAGGCTAACTTCACAAGTTTGTTGTAAGGCTAAAATGGGTAGGAGGAGAACTCTGTACAAGAAAAGTGGGATATAAATGTAAAACATACAAAATGCATGATGGGAATTACCATATAACATGCCCCCATGCACAAGACGCCCCCTGTTTTCGGGGACTCCAAATTTAGAAAATGGGGGGAGATTGTTGAGAGTTGTTGAGCTTTGGAGGGTGGGGGATGGCCCAGAGTTATGGAGCTTTATTAGGGGGCATTGCCGAAAATCACTCACCCGCCTGACCTATGCTGCCACTCACACGCGTCGCCAAAGCCACCTATCGTCTGTCCCCTCGCCAACAGAAGCCAACAATCACCCGCCCAGTTGCCGCAGTGACAGCCCATCAACACCAGCCCTTGCCTCAGCCACCAATAACACGCCCAATCATCGCTCACAATCTCCTGCTCTTGGCAGTAACCAATCCCACGTCCCCCCCCCCATGCACTATCCGTGTATAAGACGACCCCCAACATAATTTTAAAATAAAAAAACCCTTGTCTTATACACGGAAAAGTACAGTGTTATTAATTACAACAACCTCCAAATACTTGAAAATGATGTTGATGGGTTATACCATATTATCCTCACAGCAGCAGTTGGACTAGGGTTAGGGTGCGACATAGTGACATAAAAGTTTACTTGTTGAGATTTGTAGGTAGGGAGCATTTGAACCTCAGTCCCCCAGTGCTATAAAGCCATACTAGCTGTCTATTTCTACCTTCTATTTCTTCAGGTAATCATTTCCATTTATTTATTTAATACATTTTTGCACATTTATAGCACCAGGTCTTTCAAGGTGGCTTCCAGTGTATTAAAAAGACACGGAATATCCAACCAACACTCAAATGTAACCATAAACTGCCATATATTCCCAATTTAACAGTAAAAACAGGATTATCAATAGCAACAAGAACATCCAGACAAGCATAACAATACTAAAACCAAAATGCAGGTAAACATGATTAGTTTAGAATGGGTATATTAACCATTTTTAAGTTCCTGCACACAAGTTTCTGGTGGATTCCCTTCCCCTGAGGCAAGCAAGCCTGAAAAGAAAGGTCTATATGCATACATATTATAGAAACAAGAAAACCAGATGTTTGGAGGCAATTCAGCAAAACTCTATTTCAAAACACCACCAATCAAAATCCTGCCAAATTTCTGGGAGAGAGAAAAAGTACTCTGATATTATTTCAGTCATTGCCATATTACACACATCTTTATATGGTACAGATGGTATGCTTATTTAACTTTTGTTTTCTATTTTACCTTCCAGTCTACAGGGTTGAAGATAGAATTACCATGTTAAAATATGACCTGATCCCAGATGTAGTTTATTTAAATTTCAGATTGAAAAGCTTACTAAGAACAGATAAGATTGATTGCTCCTTCCATTTTAGCATAATTGTATTTCAGGTGAACATCAATTTACTTTAAAGGACACCTCTAAGTAACAGACTGCATCATACATAATTCATCAATCACAGCTGCCTGTTACATGATTTACTTAAACAGATTTCAATGGAATAAAGGGAGTTGCATTGTTTTTCTGCATTGGCTTGTTTGCTTTTAAATTGTTTTGGAAACTTTAATTTACTTGGAATTGTTCTTGGAAAGAGTTTATCCTTGGCAAAGCGCAAGCTAACATTCACGCCATTCAAAATTTCATCCAGATGTGTTGGCCATTAATTTACTGTTAAATGCAAAATGAGTTTCCGAAATATCATTAAGGCAATGAAGAAATCATGCTAATCAAAAGCAAAAGGGTTTTGATGAGAGAGAACTATTTCTTCACAATATTATGATAGTTTTAAAAAAATATAGCTTGAGTTTTCATTGCTTTTGTACTTTAAAAATCTAACCCCATTCCTTCTGAAATCACTTAAACTTATATATATATATATATATATCAGTGAAGATAGCGATTTTTCTCAGAAAGGTGCAAGTTCATGATGGATTCACAAATGGATTAAAAAATGGCGGAAGGCACTTTATTTTCTTAAATGGCCCAAGGTTTTACACTGCACTATCTATTTTTTCCTGCTAAAGCTTGTCTTAAATATATATCAGCAATGCAACAGCTGTAGTTTCAAAAACTAACAGAAATATATGCAACAAAAACACAATGGCAGAAATGCAAGCACAAGCACACAAGAAAAGAAGGAATGTTTTCTACATACTTGTAGGCCCATCTGAAACACTGAGTGACCCATAAAATTAGCCAGCATTCGAATTAAAGCTGCGCCCTGTGAACATAATTCACAAAAGGAAATGTTGAAAAAAAAATTACACAAACATTCTTATAGCAATAGCATATGCAATATACATTTAGTCCTTTTAATTACTATTATAGGCTTATCATAAATAATTACATTTAGAAGCAGGCAATTTTTTATTCAACATATGCCGAGTACGAACTCACACATGCTTGTGGAAGCAAGAGATAAAAGAAACATATTATTTGGAAGTGGGAAGCTAATAAACCATAAAACATAAATATTACCAAATGTAGTGACATGTTAGAAAAGCACATTATTTTCATTAGCTACCACAACACTGTTTCACCTTAAGAAGAAAAGTGTAATGAGATGGATGAAACAAAAATAAAATATGACAGGTGCAACACACCTAGAGTATATCAGATTGAACTAGGCTAAGGAAACATGGCTGATTGAGGTCCAGTCACAAGCCCCTATGTAATGTTAAATTATGGGTTGACATTACATACATGAGTCATGGGCTCCTGCCCTCTGCCCTCCTCCTTGGGTGCAGCTCTTTTTAACTTACATTGGTTACCTGTTTTGTCTAAAGGCAGGCAGAATGTGGTTAGCCTTAGGAAACAAGCAGACTTCAAACCATGTTCATGATACTGGCATGTTGTCTGAAGGTAACAAATAGCCATCATGGCTATCCTCAATTGATAACCCTTGTTGTCCTCCATCATTTTTCTTATTCCCATTTTAAAGCCATCTAAGGTGGTGGGCAGAACCACACATAGCAAATTCCACTATTTAACTATGCGCTGTGTGAAGAAGTACTGCCTGTTGTCTGTCCTAGATCTTCTACTCTTCAGATTCATTGGATAACCCCAGGCATTATGAGAGAGAGAACTTATCTTTCTCCACCTTTTTCACACATGTCAATAATAATGTTATACACATCTAACAAGCCTCCCACCTTTCCCCCAAGCCCAAGAAGTTGTATGCTTTCATTATAGGGAGTTTGTCCAGCCCCTTGTTCATTTTAGTTGCTCTTTTCTGCACCTTTTCCAGCTCTACAATATCCTTTTTGAGATGTGGCAACCAGAACTGTTCACAGAGAAGTTGCATGTGCACCAGAGCAATCAGAATACACTCTTGAGCTTCAAGTTGGTGATTATAATGCTTAGCTTGTCAGAGGCTTCAACGGTGACCAGATTGGACATTTTATTTTGTGGCAAGCCCAATGCAGTTTGCAAAACAGGTTTTATTTTATTTTTAAAGACAACTTTGCAAAAGTAAGAAAAAATGCCTATCTTTTAATCATATTAAACAAACACATTTAACAAATGATAAATTCATAGGTTTTTTAAATCATACCTTATGTTAACAGTAAGTATGTTAATCATACCTTCTGTTTACCATTAAAGAAAACTTAGACATTTCATAAACTAATTTGTAGTTTAAGGTAGGTTCTTGTTCTGAGCATTAGTCAACATTATAATCAATTCCACTGAAACAAACCAGTTCCACTGCAACAAACTGTGCAGAACATCAGTAAGTTCAGTAAGTTCAGTAAGAACTTCACTGTCTTCTGTCCTGAAAAGCATAATTATTTCCCAAAATATATTATGGGATTCCAATAGCCAGTAGAGAACAAGTAAGCATGCTAGATGCTGCCTCTAGATCACATAGCTGAACTGGAGAGGTGGAAACCATCCAATAGCTGTGAAAGAAAGGTAAGTTTGGAAACATTCAAAATCTTTTGCATTAACATACCACTGCATTTTACAAAAGCAGAGAGAAAAGTATGAATCATTGACCTTTTGAAGACATCTAAAATGACCTAGAGTCAATGAACATAACCACTTCAAGGTGGTTATGCAGTGAAATCCTCATAACGTGACCTAAGATGATGGGTGTGGAGTTCGTCAAGAAGAACACATCTTCTGAATGTTCCAATACATGCTGAGTTTATGTATGAACACTACCTTGTTAAACCCATTAAGGTTATTAAACTTAATAGTTGAATTGAAACCTACTCTCAAAACCAATTTGTTATATCAGCATCACCTCCTCGTTATTTGATATCACAATCACAAAGTCTTCATTCTCACCTACACTAGCGAACAGTGACTGAAGCTGCTTAGAAGCAGTTGCTGGCTGAGCTTCCTTCTCTTTCTAGGAGAACAAAGTAATTTTATAACTCACAAACAATAGGAATGAGAGCAGGCCCATGCAGGTTGTGAATCTTCTTTCATTTCACTAAAAACATTTCTGAAATAATTAATCACCATTCATTTTTCAGAAACTCAGACCACCCTGTGATCTCAAATCCATTTAAACAAAAAGACGACAACAGGTTGCAAAGCACTCACACAAGAATCTGCACATTTCTGTCATTTGAATAGCAGCCAACAAGCAATATCCAAGTCACTTTTACCAAACAATTATTTTGTTGACACTAGACAGACACAGCTGGATGCCAGTATGAAATTTAGCTCATTAGGAAATTCACAGCATGAATTAAAGTTTGAGAACAAAGCATGTCAAACTTGGTTCTTAAAATGACATTTGAAAAATCTTTCATAAAATAAATAAATTAGATTTGAAGCACCTTCATGAGCATCATCAAATGTGTTTTGATAAATTTCCAAATCCTAAAGGTAGAGGAAGTTTCAGTGAAATCAATATGATTTCCCTGTAATGTACATAAGCGGGGTTTTGTTTTGTTTTGTTTTTTGTTTAGCTTTTTAAAATGATGGTGGGTTAAAGCTGAAATCCTAAACACAAGTACCCAGAATTAGACCCCAATGAACTCAGTGGGACTTCCTGCAGAACAAATATTGATTTATGTATTTATTTATTTATTTATTTGGTTTTTATACTGTCCTTCATCTGAAGATCGCAGAGCAGTTTACAATATAACACAAAAATACTTAGCATAATAACAAACAAAAATAATAACCCTCAGCCCCCGCACACACATACAAGTTCAAAAGGCCATAAATTGTTTAATTGGCCAAAGGCATGGTAGAAGAGGAATGTTTTCGCCCGACGCCTAAAGATATGTAATGAAGGGGCCAGGCAAGCCTCCCAGGTGAGAGCATTACATAGACTGCAGAAAAGACCATTATTGTGTTGCCACCCTCCAGACCTCTCGCAGAGGAGATAGATTAAAAAGAGCCTCAGATGATGATCACAGGGTCTGGGTCCGTTCATATGGGAAGTGGTGATCCTTGAAGAATTGCAGTCCTGAGCTGCTTAAGGCTTTATAAGTTAAAACTAGCAGACACCAACTGGAAGCCAGTGCAGCTGGGTCAAGACTGGCGTTATATGTTCAAACTATATTGCTCCAGTGAGCAACCCGGCTACTGAATTCTGCACCAGCGGAAGTTTCTGAACCATATCCAGAGGCAGCCCCACCTTGCCAAAAAAGTAAATACTTACCACTAAATGATAGTTGTTTAACACTTCTGGGTCCTAGGAGGTCTTCTTAAGGAAGGAGCACACCATTGCCTCCTTCAAGGCAGATGGTACCTACCCCCACTCTAATATTTATTGTTTAATAGTTATTATTTAATATTTTATTGACATTAATTGGTTAATAAATTTGTTTGTATTCTATAGCTTTACTTCATTTTGTAAGCCATTTTTATTTTTACTACGTAGGGCAAAAACTTTGCGCTCTGGGGCCAAAGCTCTAAACAATAAATTTAGAACAGACCTAAATATATCTGTGAATCACCAGGCAGTTTCTACTTCAGCTTTTTCAAAAAGCAAATATCACAATAAGCAACACCAAACTGCATTTTGCAGGAAAAAATACAGTTTAAGATTTGCCTACCATGTTGCTTCCTTGCTTGATTACGGCTGAGACAACCAATGGTTTACTCAATTAGAAAATGAATTAACTTAGCAGGTGACGACTTAATTTCTCCGTAACAATAAATGAGAAACGACTCTCCATTGCTTTGTTGTGACTGTTCCACACACAGATACACTAAACCTGTAGATTTATCCCAGTAAACCACAGGTATACCTGCAGACCACATACCACACAAATAATGCAGGTATTGCCTAGTATGTTTTGTGAGTGCTGGCAACAGCCAATGCAATATTTCTCTGGGAGAAACAGTCATTTATAATGGTAATTACACATCAGAAGTTCTTCTATATATGCTTGAGGTTTACCTACAAGGAAGGCTGCATCAGCTCAGTGGAGGATACTTATAGATCATGAAATATCTGCATACTCCTTCTGAAATGGATGGTGATGTCACTGAGAACTCCAGCAATATTTTACAGGAGGAAAGAAGATGCTTTGCTGAAATAGTTAAGGGTCTGCTCTACGATTTATCTGAGAAAATGTAGAGAAATCTATCTGACAGAGAATGAGAAAATGCAGCTCTGCCTCCTGGTACACTTTACAGTACTGAACAATTCTTCTCTGGGATGGATATAGACATACTAAAGATAGAATAAATCTTTGAGGAAAATGATCAGATGGGGAAGCATCATGAATACAAACTGACAGTGTATCTTGAGGGAACAACTTTATACTTTGTATTTATCAATCATATTACTAAAAAAAAAAAGCGCACTGTCCTGGTGGAGTACAGTTGTTAAGAACACAAGCTATGAGCAAGAGGTGTTCTCAATTCAAATCTCAGTTTAGTTTTAAAGCTCACTGGGTAGCCTTAGGGATTCCACTAAACTCCAGTCTCCAAAAATAATGAGAGAATTACACTGGGATATTCTAGAGATAAGGATACTGAGCAAAGATATGTAGCTCTTTGAATACTTAAGGGGAGTACAGTATAAATATTAACTACTATTATGCAGTTCTTTATCTGTGAATGCTCTTCGTAATATGTAGCTACTTCACATACTGAGTGATTTCTTGGTTTTGCCTAAATGGTTAATAGTTTCTTCCTGTTAAGAATAATATGAGATGGTATGGAGGTTGGTTGGGGTATGAGGATGGCATGCTAATACAGTGTAGGTATTAAAATTATGAGCCCAACCCAGACATTAGAACAAAAAGCTAAAAATTGCAAAGCATGTTCTTTTTATATCGATGATAAAAAATAAATACTGAAGGTACCACAAAATAAGAGTTCCGAGAATTGCTGCTATATTTCTTGCTCAAAACATCAATAGCTCCCAAACTAACAAACTAAATTGAACACTCTTGAGCTCTAAATGGTCAGAAGATCTCAGAGAACAATTGCGGACAGGCTTTTAAAACTTAGGATTCAGAGAGCATTTTTCCATATGTTTATCATGACAATGAAAGCAAAGGAAAAGAAATAGGAGAAGCAGAAAATATGGATACCTTTGTACACCCACAATCTTTTTCTAAACTAGAGCTCCAAGGGTGCTGATTCCCCCCCCAAATCTATACCTGTATTACATTTGAAATTGTTTTATATAAATTGTTTTACTTGCTGCTGGTTTTATTGTTAAAACATTTTGGGATATTTTATAGGAAGTGCCTCATAAATGGAATGAAATCAATAATGTTGCCATAGGTGAGGTTTGGAAGACATATAATGGAGTTTCCTCCTGCGATCCATGTAACTCTCCCCACATTTCCAGGAGTGTTGCACAGTATTTTGAAAAGGTAGGCTCAACACAAAGGGGACTGCATCTCTGCTTTTTCTAACTCCTCCAAGCTTTTCATGTGGGTGGACTGCAAAAAATGTACTTCCCCTTCTCAAAAGAAAGCTATCTAGCATCTTCATAGTATGGCCATCCTGTCAACATAGGGGTGAAAAAACTCCACTGATGTATTCTACCACTGATAACTCTTGTTAAAATATATGAAGCCTAGGTTTGTGCTTTAGAGTCTATTAGAAGTCAGTGCTTTTCTAGTATTTTTATAAGAGCGTGTAAAAGAAAATGAGATTCAACAGGAAATAAACATAAACAAACATGTCCTTCAAATGGACTTGAAAATATCCTCCCCAACCATTCATTGTAAATATAAAAACATAGTGCAGCCTGCTTAGTTGTTCAGACAAAATGTTGCTGGGACTTCATTTATATCAGCAGTTCCATTTAGCCCCTCCACCAGGGCCTCTCTTATGTGTTCTGACACCACTGACAAGGACAAAAGCACAATATATTTTTTCATTAAGCATCCTTATGAGAAAATCTTCAAGGATGGGCAAACACAGGAGGTTGATGAAATTATTTACACAGATGAGCCATCACTGAAGTTCAAGTACAATACTGAATAAAAATAGTACTTAAATGCTTATCACAACTTCCACTGCTTCATTAACTTATTTTGGATATTAAACTAGCTCTGTACACTGAAATAGCGTCCCAAATGCACTAATGTACAACAAAAATGCTCATTGTAATGGAATCATAGTAGCAAAGTATGGTTTGAGCATTTTCACAATAAGAGGAAAATGTATTCCAAGTAGTTTGAACCTGCCTACAGAGACAAATAATAAATGAAAGAGACTTAAAATCTGATGTTGTTAAAAGAAGATTGGGGAACATCCTTATGAATTGCCAAGAGGGGACAAAATGTGGCGTTAACATTCTGTCTTTCTAAAGCAGTAGTATGAGCAGAAATAGTTGTCCACTAGGTCTAAGGTCAATAGTTGCAGGCTTCTGGCTTTCCCCTATGCAAGTTGCATGCTACATAGATAGTTGTGGACTGAAACAGTGCCCCAAAGTTGCAGCACAGTTGTGATGATGTCCCTTTCTGAAGACTAGCTTGTACAGCTAAAATCAATGTGTGGAGAATCAGGGAAATCTTGAAAGAAAGGTTGGTCAGAATGCACACAGAATTATAAATGGGAATGTTTGAAAAGGTCAGTTAGGTTTATATGATTAACTACAGGAGGTCAATAGGTTGGCAGCTACCTCTGAGGTCCAGGGATATGATGTTTATACAGTTACCTGCAGGAGGTCAAAAGGCCAGCAATTACCTTTGCGATCCAGGGACACAATGTTTTTATGGTTAATTGTAGGAGGTCAAACAATTGGCAGTTACCTCTGAGATCTTGGGGTACAATGTTTACCTGTTGCCTACCTATAGTTGGCTCCCTACCAAGAATCATAGTCTATCAGCATAGAAACATATCCATCCCCAAGGAAGTTTACAGTTGTCAGTACATTAGGAGTCAATCTTTTTACATTTGTCGGGGTGGGAGGGCAAAGTTGGGATGTGATAGAAACATTCTATGTTTATTTATTGGCTCATTGTTATAGGCAAATACAAGCTGGCAAAGTAAAGTGTGATTAGTTTGAGGGGAGGTCTGGCTGAAAGGTTTTGGGGGTTAGGCATAGCTCTTCCAGAGAGAGAGTCAAATAAGAAGCTGGAAAAGAAGACAACGATGAAGTACAGGAAAGCTTGAAGCCAGCCCCGAGAAATGAAAATAGAAGGAAAAAGAGATTTATTTATTATCATAACATTATTTGACATCTATTATAGCTTTCTTTGGACGCGGGTGGCACTGTGGGTTAAACCACGGAGCCTAAGACTTGCCGATCAGAAGGTCGGCGGTTCGAATCCCTGCGACGGGGTGAGCTCCCATTGCTCGGTCCCTGCTCCTGCCAACCTAGCAGTTCGAAAGCACGTCAAAGTGCAAGTAGATAAACAGGTACCGCTGGTTCGCCAGAAGCAGCTTAGTCACGCTGGCCACATGACTCGGAAGCTGTACGCCGGCTCCCTCGGCCAATAAAGCGAGATGAGCACCACAACCCCAGAGTCGGCCATGACTGGACCTAATGGTCAAGGGTCCCTTTACCTTTATAGCTTTCTTTAAACACAAGTTTGATTTGAGAAGGGAAAACTGCAGTTGCCAAAGTACATGTACTAGTACATGATGCTCTTTTTAATGGATTCAACGAAAGAATTAAAAATCATCCAGATGGAAAAACTGTTTCCTAGTTCCAGGTTATCTGCTTCTATACATGGTAGCCATGGAGGGAAGAAAGTGGAAATGACAAGTACATTTAGCTTGATAGATATTTAAGCAGCATGCATTGTATGGGATGCCAAGGGATGAGCAGTATGTCTGGTGGGGAACACGTTGTGCATCTTCTGGGGTAGTTCATCCATCATTGGTCCCCACCCAGCACTCAGCATTCATCTGTGGCTCCTGGAAGCTGTTAGCATGTGTCAGTGGCCACACCCTAGGAAGCAGCTTCAACTGGTCAACTAAGGTAAAGGTAAGGTAAAAGTAAAGTCCAGTTAAAGGGGACTATGGGGGTGCAGCGCTCATCTCGTTTCAGGCTGAGTGAGCTAGCGTATGTCCACAGACAGCTTTCCGGGTCATGTGGCCAGCATGACTAAACCACTTCTGGAGCAACGGAACACCGTGACAGAAGCCAGAGTGCACAGAAACACTGTTTACCTTCCCACTGCAGCAGTATCTATTTATCTACTCGTACTGGTATGCTTTTGAACTGCTAGGTTGGCAGGAGCGGGGACAGAGCAACAGGAGCTCACACCATCGCAGGGATTCAAACCACCGATCTTCTGATTGGTAAGCCCAAGAGGCTCAGTGGTTTAGACCACAATGCCACCTAAACCAGGTGAGGATAGCCAATGGGTCTCAAACCCTCAGGAAATTAAAGACTTGTCTTATCCCCTACATGCAAAACCAGGATCTGGCAGATTGAACAGACAAAACCAATTGTGGGTGCAATGGTCAAGAAGGTGATTTCTGCATTTGCTGTAGAGGGAAATGAGGGCCAGATGGGTTTCATCAACCTGCCAAGATAGCCCATCTAGGAGAAGGAAAACTCTGATCCACTGTCTTGCAGCTATACTCATTCATGAGAAAGGCTTCAGGAATATACACTGAAGAACAATCCATACCCACTGCCTTGTCTCATTTTCCTTTGGACCACATCAGCAAGCGCAAGAATGGGGTCTTGTTGGCTGGGCAGCCCAGGACTTCCATACACACTGCTCAGGCTTGCATCTCAGAGAGTGTCAGGTTTCTTTCCAGAGTGCATTAAGATAAGGAGAATCAAGGTAATACCCCTAAAGCATTGTTTTATTCAGAATGTTGAATGAATCTATTAACAGTAACATTCCTGATAGGCACTACACTTAAGAAAACATAGACAAACTCTATCTTAGTGTTTGGTTGAGAAATGAATATGGATAGAAGAAAATTAAAGACAGAAACAAAAATGTAGGACTTTTTGTTATTTAAAGACAAACTAATTTAACTGTTATAAACCAAAATATTCCTATTATCTGTGTGGGAGTTCAACCTACACATTGGCTGACCTGCTCGGATATCAAGAGAATTTATGATACTCTAGAGGCTAGGAGGATGAATCAGCCCAAGAAATACTGCCCGACGGTGCAGCTTCTGTGAAAGGAGTAAAAGTGGTTAGGGGGAAATTTCACAAACAGCTTTGGAGAAAGAGCAGAGCAAGTCACACCAGATGACTCAAAGAAGTAATCAACACCACACAGATGGAAAGCTCCCTGATCTCAGATATGAATCAGACAGAATTTCCAGATATGACAGCAAGAGAGAATTTGAGTATGGAAAAATGCCAAAATGAAACTTTACTTGGGCACATATCCATAATAATATTCTGTCCTGGTTCTGATTGAGTTTGAGCTCCCAGAGAAAAGGAGAGGGTGTTCTGCAAATGTCAGAGATGGGTAAAAATATATGAACCTGATGGGCCAGAACTGTGGAATAAGAATAATAACCACAATCTATCCTTCATAACTGCACTCATCTGTGTTCCAGGAGTGTGATCCTTGTGTTTTTTGTTTGTTTTAAAAATAGCATTAATAAATGCATTTCGATTTCACGTTGAAAATTAGATATTTTTAGGATGCTATCACTGGATGTTACCCATTATTTAAGTAAAAATACTTGTTAAAGTGAAAAGGCATTTAATCTTTTGCAGTCTGGTTTCAAATATTCCTTTGAAGCCTTTGGCCACTAACTGGTTAATGCTACTGGATCTTATTCTTAGGATGCGTGTTGGACTATGTGCATGCACACTTTTAAAATGGTTTAAAGTGTTTTCAGTGCTGTTTTAAATATGAGGACTTATTTCTTTTTTATTATTTGTGCTTTTAGTTGTATCTGTTGTAATTCATGCTGTGAACTGCCTTGGGTTCTGCACTGGGAGAAAGGAAGGATATTAAACTAATAAACTGATTACATTTTTAAAATGCATTTATAAATGCAATTTATAAATCAACTTCTGCAAATTGCCATGTGAAGAATATTATATCTGTAGTTGATTTAGGACACATGGCCAGCCTGACACAAAATCAGTTTTTTAAAATGGACAGTGGACCGATTGCCTCCACTTTTGGAGCTGGTTATAAGGGAGAATAATGAACAGACTTTGCCAAATATAGCCTTTTCCTTGCTGTGGAAGAATCAAAAGCCCACATCACCATGCAATTAAAGCGTAGTAACTCCAAGCTATGGAAATAACAGTATGTGAGATGATAAATACCCCGCCCCCCAAATCCAACAAACATGACTTTTGTTCTGCTCCCACCTTTTTATACGCAATCCAGTCAAACACTCTGTCAATGTCTGTGGCTTGCTGAACTTCCTGTGACACCGGGTGTGAACTAGCCAAGCCATCAAGCAGCATTACTTCATGTAAAACATCTGTCAGGAACCTCTGCTTCTCCTGAAATACAACAAAACACACTCGTACATTTGCAATTACACAGAGATTTGCAGTTCCACAGATAAAAATCTGAAACTGTGAAGATAGCAGTTTCACACATTCCTTAATGCATTCTGATATTATGTGGATTTATTAGCTGGCAGCTCATCTGGAGAATGAACAGTGAAACAGTTGCTCAAACAGGATCTCCACATTTGCAGCACGGTATCCAAAGCCCTTTGAAGGAAAGGAATATTATGAAATGCAGTGCCATAATAACTGCATGCTAGATGTTTATCTACTTCTAAGCACAAATAGCAGCAGCCAGCGCAAAACACCACCACCAACAACAACAACACACACCATGGAGAATAAGAGGTGGTGCACTCTTTGCATGCCTATGTGGAAACCCCCACCCCTCCAGGCGACGGACCAAGAGCAATGAATCTCCGCCCTCTATTTAAACCGAGTGAGTGGACCTGAGTGAAGCCTTCTCACTTTTGGTCCGCTCCTGTGGCCACACCCCCAGCAGCACCGCAGATTGGCTTATTTGAATAGGGGTTTGGCGGGAACCCCCAGCGCTCCGCGGTGCCGGGAAGGTGGGCCAGCTGGCAACCCAGCATGTCACCCAGAAGATCGAAGGTGGATTATGCAGGGCCGCAAATGGTGCCCACCTCTGATGGGTGCGCGGTTATTCTCATAAACAGTCATGAGCATGGCTCGTTCTATGCAACACTTTCAGGAACTTCAGAAAATAAAATGCTTCGCAGAAAGCATGCTTTCTAGTGTTGTACTTCCTTTTTGGTGCTCATGAGCTGCCTTATCCCCAGTTTTCAAATCATACATATATGAGTTAAACGTACTGACTGGCCTTACTTTGTACGTTGTCATGAAATTACGGTTTCACGTTTATCTACACTGCACACATTTTCGTACTGACATCGACCTACTGATATATCACTTTTCTGGGTGTTTTGCATTTTTGTAAAGCTATATAACAGACAGATGAAATAACAATTCATGTAATTCTACATATGGAAATGTTATGGCTATCAGTGAGCTAATTTAAATTATATTGTGAATCAGCTGAAAAGCTGTTCCACTCCTGCTCCATCTGGAAGTCAACTTTTATGTGAAAATGCATTAGAGTACATGGAAGGTATTATTACGTATTTAAACTACTGAAAAACTAGATCTAACCATTGAACACACACATGAGGTTTAGAAACTAGGCACATCAGATTGGACTTGGAATAAATGTGCAACAGCTTGTTACTTGCCTTGACTGCAGAATATTTGAACAAGTTACTTGATCCTTTATGAATATCAAAATAGGTTATCCTCAAAGAGGATGGAGCTATTAATAGCAATATTAAATTTAAATGCAGAAGGAAGCGAATAGGTGTATCTAGGAAGAGATTGTTTAATTTACCTATGCTGAATATATATGTCCTCAAAATCTACCTTGAAAACTATTGAAAGGTTGGTAGAGATGGATTTTGAAGCTGGATTTCCTGGACTTGCCTTGCAACATTAAAATCAGGTATTTTGAAAGCAAGAATACATATTAATGTTGTTTTTCAGTTTCTATTGGTTTATAGGCCTTAAAAAGACTGGTGTGTAAGCCAACCTGGGAGTAAAGATTATCAGATTTCACTCATGAAGGAAAGCAAAAATCATGAAATTACTCAATTCAGAAGAACCCATTCCACTTCTAGGATGTTGGTGCCTTTTCCACAATGGCCTAGCTTTCATGACATAATTAGCAAAACCTTGGTTTAGCAAGACCACACAAGCATGTGAAGGGAAAGCTAACCTTGGTTTAACTCAGCACTGCACAGCAGGAAAAGGATCGGCGGCTACTGGTTCCTCTCCAGACCCAGCATGTTCATGCGGTCAAGGTTCAGCTTAGAATGTTATTCAAACCAGGCCAAACCATCCTCTTAATAAGTGAAAAGGGGCCACTATTTGATACCTTATGATTTCCTACCGGTGGTCCATTGATCAGACACTGTAAATATTGGAGAGTAGTCTCACAGGTATCAACTGTATCTGAAGAAGTGTGCATGCACACGAAAGCTCATACCAATAACAAACGTAGTTGGTCTCTAAGGTGTTACTGGAAGGAATTTTTTTATTTAGGTATCAACTAAGTTTTACTCAGCATAGACCGCCTGAAATAAATGGACCTAACTTGAGATCAATGTTTGAGCAACTGTAGTTTATTTTTAGACAACTACCAATTTTATCATAGATTTTGGAAAAGCTAATGAGAACAAATAAATTTTGCACATCCTTGTTCCTGGGAGGTTTTTTTTTGGGGGGGGACACAGTAATTTACAGTATGCATACCTATATAATAGAAAACAAAACAGCAGCAGTTAAATAACTGTGGACATAAGATTGGCAGAAAAGAGTGACAATGTTTGTTTATAAATGTTAAATGAAATAAAGGGGAAATATACATGGAAAGATTCCCAACATAAAGTTCATTCAGTTACTGTGCCTGATTCACTGGAAATGATCTGTTCCTTCTCCTCGCCTCCCTACCCCAGCTTCAGGGAATTGTATATACCTATCTACCAGGATAAAGATAATGTAATTTAGCAGTCACTGTATGAATTTTATAATACTTATTGAGACATAAACAAAAGCTTAAGATAGTTAGCATGACAATGATGCAATACTTGAACCAGTCACATTAAAAAAAAAAAAGTTTCCCAAACATAATATGAGATAGCAGGACAAAAGAATTTAAGTGTGGGAGAGAAAGTGAATTGCATCCAACAAGAGAACAAAAGGAACAGCACAATGTAAGTCATAACTGATAATTAGTGTACATAAGAGATCAAAGGCCTGAATGTTAACAGAACCTCTTTGTTCTGGTATAGGCATTCATATGGTTCACAGATTAAGAGACCTGTGTGAATAACACTTAATAAGGTCATTCCATTCTCTAAATCATATCCCTAGCAAAATGCTTTAGCATTTCTAAAATATGTTTTATTAGGCAGAGGAATAGGAAAGGGTTATATATGCTGTCTGAATTTCTTTATATATTTTTTATGCCTATGAGAGCAAAAGTAGAATCTTCTCCACTTTAAATTAAAATTAAAACCCAGGAATTTTCTGCCTGTAATGTTCAGCACAGAAAACGACTAAAACAGTGGGGACTGCCTATGTCAGGCATGGGCAAACTTGGCCCTCCAGATGTTTTGGGACTACAACTCCCATCATCCCTGACCACTGGTCCTGTTGGCTAGGGATGATGGGAGTTGCAGTCCCAAAACATCTGGAGGGCTGAGTTTGCCTATGCCTGACCTATGTGATTCTAAGAGTCCTTATTTGCAACAGCAACTTTTAGCTTTCTTCCTCCATCCTCATAGCTATTTAAAAACTCATTGATGCTCATAATATTTGAGCTAGTCTTGCTGAAAAATGGGTGTGGTTATTTAATATATTTATATATTATTTTTCTTCTAAAACATAAGGCAGATATTAACATCCCAAGCCATTTTGGTGAAGTGGGCCACCATTAGAACTAAGACATGCCAGGTTCATCCCAGGACTATGGACACTCCTTAACATTCTGGGTGACTCACAGCAGTTTACTATTATACAAATATTTACAAAATATAGCTCCCTATAATTTTATAGAGCAGACAAAGCAAAAAGGAAAGAGTGGTGTATATAAACTGTAACATCTCAGGTCGAAATGATTTCCATCTCTGTTGTTCATCCAATGTTTTTGTAAGCTGCACCTTCTGCCATCTAAGGCTCACATTCCTTTCCCAAACTCATTCATCCCAATCTAGAACAACAACGAGTCTTGCGGCTTTATGGCACAAGGTTTCATACCATGAAGCATCCTGGAAATGGTAACTAATTAACACATAGGAGTGTGATAAATCTATAACCCCGATTCATGCCCACAGGTATTAAAACTTAATTTCCCTAACAAATTCTGATTCATTGTGGTTCTCTTTCCTCCCACTGAAATTCCTCTGTTCAAGGATGACCACTTTAAAGTCAAGTACAGAGAGTCCTGCTGAGTTGAAATGTTCTTTTACTTGTTTCTAAATATTGCCATTTCTGGTGCCAAATTTGTGTTCATTGATACTTTTGTGTTAGGGCTGGCATCTGGGTTTGTTACAGGGTCTTGACTTTTATTTGCTATTCCAAGATACACTAAAGAAAACCCATTCTAAAAGTATCTCAAAGATGCTCCAGTGTCCACATGAAGCTGTCCATCACATCACACCTGCGTTTCCCCATTCATTCCAAAGGAGAGGGCAACGCTGTGCGCATGTTGCTTCCACTGCACTGGACCTCTCCCCAAATGTTTAAATGTCTTTTTTTATTTCCCCACCCTTCTTTGGAGATTCTATACAGTGGTACCTTGGATTACATACGCTTCAGGTTACAGACGCTTCAGGTTACAGACTCTGCTAACCCAGAAATAGTACCTCGGGTTAAGAACTTTGCTTCAGGATGAAAACAGAAATCATGCTCTGGCAGCACGGCGGCAGCAGGAGGCCCTATTAGCTAAAGTGGTGCTTCAGGTTAAGAACGGACCTCCGGAACGAATTAAGTTCTTAACCCGAGGAACCACTGTACTATAATCCATGTTGCCAGTGTCCCAGTTCCTCCCCAACACAGACTGGGCAGAGAGGAGGGTCCTTCTGAACAAGCCAGCATCCATCATGCCTCACAAGCATAAAGAAAATGCAGCCCCTCAAAAATCAAGGAGTAAAAGGGGCAAAACAACAACAAGTGACTTTTTAGAATAAATGTTGATAATTGGAAAGTAATTTCTAGGATTCTTTTCTAAAAAAGAAAAACTTTCACAGCTGCAAAGATAATGGTCTGCTTTGCACAAAATGGTAAGGTGAACTATGGTTTAGTGGGTCCATACAAGTATGTAGCCTCCGGAATGGGGCCGGCAGCTGCTTTGCTGATCCCTGATCATTTTTACTGCTACAGCACAGTATGGCTTAGTGCATGGGTAGGCAAACTAAGCCCGGGGGCTGGATCAGGCCCAATCGCCTTCTAAACCTGGCCTGTGGACGGTCTGGGAATCAGCGTGTTTTTACATGAGTAGAATGTGTCCTTTTATTTAAAATGCATCTCTGGGTTATTTGTGGGGCCTGCCTGGTGTTTCTACATGAGTAGAATGCGTCCTTTTATTTAAAATGCATCTCTGGGTTATTTGTGGGGATAGGAATTCATTCATTTTTTCCTCCAAAATATAGTCTGGCTCCCCACAAGGTCTAAGGGACAGTGGACTGGCCCCCTGCTGAAAAAGTTTGCTGACCCCTGTGTTGTCCAAAGCAGGATCCATGTTTAAGCTCTCTCCTTGCTAACCATCAGCCATACCCAATGTTTCTTTGTGAGTTCTCAATAAGACATGGTTTGGCTTATTGGATCATGTGGACAAGGTGACTGACCTTAAGAACTGTAAGCTAGCAACTGTTTTGGCTCTAAGCTTGCTTATATGTTTCTTGTCATATTCAGCTGCAAATGAATTTCATCTCTGGTTCAACACAGAAAGCTTTCTTTCAAGGACTGCAACAGAAAAATAACACTAGAGGCTTATTTCAGTGCATGATTACTGGAAGATGTCAAATTCCATGTGGTATTAATTAAAAGCTTCGTTTTTAGATTATTTGAAGCCCTTAACCAAGGAGAGAGAGATGAAAGTATTTTTGAAAGGGAAGTGAGAAAATGAAGTCATGTTTCTCTCCATGCTGAGACAGCATGATATGTGTGCTGGTCTAGAAGGATCAAGCAGACTGCAGCTCCAATATAATATGCAAAAATAATAATGAAATAAACCAAGACTTTCAATGTCTTAAGTCTACTTCCAGAACTTTTAATACTTCCTTCCTGATCTGTCTTGCGAGTCTCAGAAAGTATCAGAACATTTTACTGAAGAAGATAAATGTTTTAGCAGGCAATTTAAGTCAAAGATATGCACAAGTCTAATCACAGCCGCCTTCTTCTTTATTTTAATCCTGCCCATGGAGGAAATCAGCAATTGAGACCATTCATCAGGATCTTGAGCTGTGCACTTTGAGATACTCTGAGTATTTAGTTTAATGAACTTTAGTTTAATGATTTTCCATTAATATTTATTTTTATGCTTAAGCAAGCCTGCTTAAGCACAGGTTTTATAAAAGGAAAATGATATGCAGATATTTCAGTATTAAGCTAGTTTCAGTTTCCAGAAGAAATGACAGAATCATCTAGACCATGGCATACTATACTGTGATGGATCACTGTGGATCACTTAAGGAAAGATGAAGGATAGTTGCATGACTACTGGAGCTCTGCGCTTAATCTTTGATTAAAAGTTTGGCTTTGCTAGCAACTTTATTGGATGAGTCAAGACAGAGTATATCAACGATGGCAGTCACACTGAATTCTCCTTCCTCCATGCAGTGTATTTAGAAGGCAGCTGCTCTGTCTCTCTCATATTTGTCTCCCTTTAAGAAAAAATATTATGCTCATAGTTCCTGCAGATATGTGATAGAGGTGTTTGATTAAAACACATATCTCCAGAAACTATGAGCATTACTCTCTCTTTTTTTCTTTTAAAGGAAGACAGATATGGAAAAAGACAGAGTAGCTTTCTCCAACAGGGAAAGAGAAAAATTCAGTGTGACTGCCATCACTGATGTACTCTGCCTTGACTCATCCAATAAAGTTATCAGCAAAGCCAAACTTTTATAAAGTGAATGAAAGGGAGAAGGCCATTCAGCCCTGTGAAATGCTTTCTCAGCGCTGAGTGAGGTAGTGACTGCTAAAGCATTTGACACTTTGTATTTTATGGATGAAAAGGAAAATCACTCACCAGCAATTGCTTTTGTCATAGTCTCTCCCCCGCCCCCCCCCCCCGCCCCCGTTCTACTAATATAGACATTCAAGGACAGAGAGTGTGTCAACTCCACCTACTCAAAAGTAGGAACCATTGGAAGCTGTTGACAATTTCTGGATACGCATATAGCTCAATCCATATTCTGTAATGTGGGATCATAACAAATAATTTCTTCCTACTCTCCAACAAAGGAGATGCTACTTTAGAAGATCAAATGTCTGTGGTTAAGGAAAATATACACCTACAGCTGCAAGTTCTGGAGGGCAAAGAATTGCAAACGTTGGAATACTGGTTAAACCACAAGAAGAGAAATGTTACCACAGGACTGTGCATTCTGTTCACACATCACTTCCACACAGCTGAATCATTCGGGTTAATATTGATAATATTTCTCTTCCATGAAAACATTAACAGAAATCATCTAGCAGTGCCTGAAATATCTCAATCGATATCTGAGGATACCCTTCACCCTTCAAAATAATAATGAGGAGGAGGAGGAGGATATTTTAAAGGAAATCACAGTAACAGATAGAGAGATCTGGATGCAGTTTTCTATATCTAGAAATATGTTAGAAAATGTTTTGCAAGGAAAGTGATACTGTGAAACAGCAGGCTGCCAAATGGAAATGTATGAAACCTAAAACAAAATTAGCTTCTGTGAGAAAGGAGCTGAAAGGAACTGAAAGTTCAGTTTCAACTGAACTGCTGAAAATAAGAACCAAGGTAGAAGGAAGCATATAAGACCTGAGGTCAGAAGATGAATGACAATACAATAAACCTGAAGACAAAGGTGTGTAAATCAATATAATATTTCACAAATAGGAGGCAATGAGATATATTGCTTTAGGGTGACCAGGTGAGAAGGGGGCCAGGGTTTCTGCATCTTTAATAGTTGTGCAGAAAAGAGAATTTCAACAGAAGTAACTTGTCACACACAAGTTCTGCACAACTGTTACAGGTACAGGACCTCCGGTCACCCTATGAGGATCTGTGACTTCAGCTTTGCTTGTATCTGAAAGATGATAGGCTTCAGAGCTAGGGAACTCTTATCCATTAAGACCTGGAAACTGAGTTGAACCAGGCTTAAAATAGGGAAGACACTATTTTTTTTTCCAGCCAAAATTTGCTGAGTTACATTGTATTCTTTTGTCCTCCTGAGTTTGCATGCTTTGCTGTGAAAGGCTGTGGTTGGGTTATTTATTTTCTGCTATTAAATAAAATATTCTTACTGGACATTGTCTGCCTATGGGTGTGCAAGTGCTGATTGGATTGAAACATTTGCTGAAGGCCTGAAGCATATGTATTGGGAGAGGTTTTAGGGCTTTTCAGCAATCTTTTAGCCCAAACGTTTTAAATCTTGAGATTTTATTTCCGCTATTTTATTTTATTTTACCCTTGGATCTTTTTGATTGCCCTATTCTGAAACTTTTTTTTTTAACAATATCCTTTTTGAGGTGCAATCTCCAACTTCAGAATTATTCTGTTCACCGCAAAGTATCTAACATTTAGTGTCACCGTCTTCTTGGGCCATCAGAATACAAATTTCAATTATACCTACTCATAATAATTTTATCTATTAACGTTATATTTATTTCTATTTTCAGCGACAATTTCTTGTTTACTTGTCAAGCATATAATTCTGCCTCGTGCCCATTTTAATCTGAATACCACATATTCTCATTTTCATTAACACACCTTGCTCAACCCATCTGGACACTGAGCAAGTTTTCTCTTTCTCCTGCATTGGCCTGTTAGATGAGAGCTCAAGATGAGGGGAACATAATTTACTTAGCAATGAATATCAAAATCATTTAATAGCCATTTTCAAATATGCTTACTTTGCAAGACAGCTTCTAAGGCAAAATTATTCTGTTTTTGTTAAAGTGATTATGAGCAGAACAAATGACTCTGGTACAGCAAAGATAAAATCCAGAATATGACCAACGTAATCTATGACATTTTACTATGGTAAAATCAACAAGAGCTGCTAGATTCCATTGCATTTATAATTAGAATGACTTTATTGTAATTCAAGATGTGTTTTTGAAAGGAAAATCTTTAAGAATAATAAATATTATAATGAGTGCTTAGGTGAATCAAAAAAATTTACATTTGAAAAACAGATGTCGTCTTTGATAAAGGGTTACTTTGCATTTTTCATAGTGAATTTTTAAACTAAAAAAATAAAAGGATAAATCTGTCAAAAAATAATAAATCACATTTTAACAAAAAATATTAAGCTGTAATACCTGTGCACAAATATTCTTACAAGAACAGTACAAACAATGTTTTCCCAAGGGAAGTACTACAAAAAACATCTTATTACCATATGACAAATGTTATATATTAAATAAACTCAAATCAGCTGTGACATAAGCCAAATTTGTTAGTCTTTAAGGTGACACAATATTTTTTCCCCAAACACTGTTGCCATTCTGGAAATAGAAGCACTTGACACTCTGAGAACCACAAGGCTTTAAGGAGCCCATTTATATTATTATGGGAAGTTAAATGTAATAGTGTTAAGAATCACATAAAATGTTGCTCTGTAATTACCATTTATGCTCTTGAATGCAGAGGCAACAGTTACTTAACTGAGCATGGACCCTAACCAATGGCTTCACATTACAAGAAAGGAGATCCCGACTAAACATCAGGAAGAGCTTTTTGACATTAATAGTAATAATAGTAATGATAATTATGATTTGACCCCACCCATCTCGCTGGGTTGCCCCAAGAGTTGTTCAAGAGTGGAAGAGACTCCCACGAAGGGTGATGGACTCTCCTTCCCTGGGGGCTTTTAAGCAGAGCTTGGGTGGCCATCTGTCATGCATGATCTAGCTGAGATTCCTGCATTCCAGGGGGCTGGACTAGATGACCCTCAGGGCTACTTCCAGCTCTACAAAACTATGATTCTACGATGCAGCTGATGACTAACTTGACCTTATTTCTTTTGTAGCGAACGGAATATTGCACTGCTGGAACCCTGTCAACTGATTTCACACCTACTGACTTTGCTTTAGTGAATATCTGATGGTTGCACATACCATTTGGCTTCTTCTTCCAGTGCTCCAGCAGCATGCTGCAAATATATGAAGCTGTCTCATACTTAAATCAGAAGGCTGGAACATTTAGCCCACTGTCCGTGTTGTGACTTACAGTGAGTCTACAATACCTCTGGAAAACATATTTGCCGGCCTCACGACTTAAGAACTAGAGATACAAAGGATTGAACACAAGAAGAGTCTGCCAGGACAAGCCAAGGGTCCATCTACTCCAGCATCCTGTCCTCACAGTGGCTGAACAACAAGTAGGATCTGAGCAGAAGAGCACTCTCTCCTGCTGTGGCTTCCAGCCACAGAGAAACAGAAACATTGCAGCCTCCAACTGAGCAGCAGGCAGGGCAGAGCCATCCTGGCTAGTAGCCATCGATAGCTTTCTTCTCCATGATTTGTCTAATCCTTTTTTCAAAAGCCATCCAAGTATAGATAGTCACAACTGCCTCTAGTGGGAGCTCGTTCCATCGTTTAACTATGTGTTGCATGAATAAGGACTTGCTTTCCTCCATCATTCACCTTCATGGGATGTCCACTTGATTGGACTTGGGACCTTCTGTATGCAAACGTATGTTCTACCATTATGCTAGCTTCCTTTTCATGAGCAAAACAACAAGAAAACAAAGTAACTTGTGAAGTACAGAAAAAAAGGACCAGCTTACCAGATTCCAGCCTGGATACAGGTAGTCAGTTCCAACAAATTCAAAATAGTGAGCAAAGCCTTCTTTTAGCCACACATCTTCCCACCATACTGGAGTCACAAGGTCACCAAACCACTAAAAGAAATGAACAAAACTGTGGTTTTAAAATATCACTTGTTCACATTCTATTTATGCAACAAGTAAAGTTCCAAAGGTAGTTGATGAAAAGTTACTGCATTTCTCAGTGGTGACTTCTTATACCTTTTCCTTAATTGTTTCAAAAGATTTTAATGAGGGATTCCTATAGGTTTCACCTATAAGCAGAAAAAGGTAGCTTGTAAGATAACTGCATCCTAGACATTTGCTACTAAGCCTCCTTTAAGGTTTCACCAGAAACTCAGAAACAGAATTAAACATTTGCTTTAAAAAATATGTGAGGGGGGGGAGAGAGAGAACTAACAATGAACTGTATACAATGAATTTGTGCTGCAACAAGAAAAGGCACTTAAATCTTGCAATACTGGAAAGAAATGAAAAAGCTACGTCATGCTTTGCAAGGTGGTCTTTGGCCCCAGAAAGTAGGGCAGAGAAAATTTGCTTTTTTTCTTCCAGCATGGTTCCTGACTTTCACTAAGTATAACAGAAGGTCAGAAATATCTTGCCTACCCAAGTATCAAAAGAACTTCTTGAATTTTCAGAATAGTAAACCATCTATACTTGTTTCAAGGGCTTGCAAATGTAGTCCAATTAACAGGTGCTCCCAGGTGATTTATTATTTAATGTAATTACTTATGTGTAATTAAAATTGCTCCACCTCCACTAACTGGAGAGTGGGCTATTTAATCTCCAGCCACTGAAAAGTTCCTGGTGTGATCACTTCTAAGCTACCCCTTCTCTCTATCATAAGCCTTGCTGTACTGTTTCCTTGGAATTGCTTCGGACTGCTGTCTCTGTGACTCCAAACAGCTTTTATAGGCATGATAGCTACCAAGTAAGAAGTTCTGAAATATAAAAAATGAAACAACTGAAGGAGAAGGTGAAGCACACCAAAATATAAACACACACACACACATCTCCACCTTGTTTTGTTTTTGAAAAACTTCCCCTATTCCTTCTAATGATTCCAATGGAAAGGAATTTACCATGACTAGTGAAAATCAGGTCTGTTTTGGGAGGGTGCTGGGAGAACAAGGGTGCTTAGGAGCCTGTAACATGTTGACAAAGCACCCTGTTTCTGGCCTCACAACAGGCAGAGCGCCATTGGAAAAACAAAAGCAGAAGAGGCATCTACCATAACAGCAGGTAGGCCTTCAGAATTGAACATCTTTCTTCCCCTACTGTGTAGGAGGCCTACAACTTCTTATGGTCCCTCAGCAACCCTCCGAAGGGCAACAGGATTGCTTCTAATTTTTATTTTTATTTTTTTAAGATTCAGATATGTATTTCGCATTTGCAACAGCTCTGACTTTCTCATGATAACCGTATGCTACTATCACCACTGATCATTTAAACTGCCTCTAATGAAAACGACTTCCAACGAAGTGAACCCATAAATTTTTGCTGAACCTTTTATCTCATTGTAGTTAGCTTCAAGCAAAACATGTCGAAGGAGCTGAAGATCAACGTCAAATGAGAACAGTGCTTAGTGATCTCATCCTATAATTAGTTAGGGATGCATTTCATTGTCAAACAATGGTAGAGTGGTCATATTCAAATCTTTGAAACAAGCAAACCATATTTTTAAAACTCAAGTTTGTTGTTCTCTCACCTTTTCGGGTTGTGAGCAAATTATTCACTTGTAAATCTAGTTACAAATGTTTAGTAACATTAAAATCATATGACAGCCAGTGTAGTGTAATGGTTAGAGCATCAGGTGACTAAGGATGGATAGCTGTCCCAGCATTTAATACAAGAAGATAAGCCACTGCAATTTTTTATTGTTTGATTATCATTTCTATTTTACCATATGCAACATAGCAAATCTAAGTGTTCTTGATTAATTAGATGGTTTATGTAAAAATATTGATTTTAATACTAGTCCTTAAAAATGCATGGGTAGCATGTTTTTTTCTTTAAAAAGAGACACTTCTCACAGACTTGAGAGGGAATGTCACTTTTGAGTTATTGTACACCATGAAATACATCTGCATCATCTAAAAATAAATGATGCCCATTCCAAAGAACCATTCATTCATATGCAAATCTATGCACTTTTAATCAATTAACAGATTAAATCCACATGATTAACCAAATCAGAGTCCTAGTTAGAATATATTTTGCAAGTAATCAGTCCGGAGCCCTATAACAGTACACCTTAGAAACTCCGTAAGACTATCAAATTGAAACAGAAGGATACTTCATGATCTCATGTCACAGAATCATATAATCAGTGTTCTATGCACAAATTGTTGATGGTGTTAAATAAGTTGGGTTGGATCCAAACCAAGAGATCCTTCTGCCCGTAGAAGGCTTTTGATCCAATGGACTGGACCCACTGGTGGCCGGGGCAAGAAGACCATTTTCACCAATTCCCTGTTTTCTCTATCCCTCCACAATGAGAAGCCTGCAGAACACATTTCAAAGTATATGAGGAACTGCAGGGAAAAATCAGCAAAAGTTGACTCCCTCCATCTCACTTTACACCAGTGAGAAGGAAGTTTGGATCCAAGCCATTCTAAATTAATCAAAGGAAAAAAATACTATTATTAGATGAATAGCTATGCTGAGTATATAACCAACCCTTCTGGAAATGTTTTCAACTAGCAAAGGACTCCTTATATTTTACAGGTGCCTACTTCACAGATGTTCAATCTCAGTTTTTAATACGAGTGCTAAATTTGAAACACATGCCCTAATGGAAACAAAATTGTAAGAATAGGAAACAGTGTGATGCATTTTGAACAAAATATATTCTACCAATTTAGCATTTGTAGTTAAGAAACAGTGAACAGCTTCTAGAACTTTTATTTGAATATTCTCACTTTTTAGTTTGAATGGATCTTATCAAGTGATGCTTTCTGAAGGAAGATATTAACTAAAACGGATGAGGGGATAATCCACTTATTACAGTTAATCAGAGGTGAGGAAAACTCTGTCAGTTCAATACATTCATACAGAAGAGATTTCCCCTTGGCTGTCTTGTTACTAAGAAATATATGCTGCACTTCTGATAGATCCGTAATAATTAAAAATTAGCAGGTATATAAGTATTGACTAACCAGAGATGAGAAGCACTTCTGGTAGATCAAATATTGTATCAATAATAGCAGGCCTTTTATCAGTGACCACCATAAAGTACACTAGTCTCTAGATTATTTAGCTCTCCACCAAATCACATCTCCATGTGAGAGGGTATCTACCACTGCATACTAAGTACAACATCTAACCAGTTTCTATGGCATTCCCTGCTCATGATCTGCAATTAGTTCAATATTTTTTTCAAGTCATACTACATTATTCAATTTCCTCTGTGAGTTTGAGATATTATTTGTATGCTACAATGGCTGGTTATTTCTGGTACGAGATAGGCAATGGATGCGATTTTAGGCTTTGAGAAAGGTCTTAAGTGGGATATCTCTCCCTGACAAGACTCAGAGCCTTAAATGCAGAATATTGAGGTATCACATTTCCTCTCCAGCACAATAGCTTTGCTTTCCGATTTCTTTCTAGTGACAACCGGAGATGAGTTACTCTCTCCTCTTGGCTTACATCACATTGGTTTAAAAAAATAAAGGCAGGCTATTTCTCCACCCAGAAAGGAAATACTCATTTTCCAAAGCCAAACTGACTCAAGTCAGCCTGATCTCCAACTCTCCCTTTCCCATTAAATAAGACTTACTTGGCTAGGTCCGCATAGTGGTAGCATCTCACCTCCCTTGCCTGGTGTGCTGGTAATGAACTGGGAAGAAATGCCCTAATGGTATTACAGCAGCCCTTGGGGAAACTACATTCCCTCACAGGGTTGGCACAACTCCATTCCAGCCTTTATTCCTGTGCTATTTAAGTGCTATTGTGGGGAAATGTTGGACATTTCCTGTATTTGTGAAAGGGTTGTTTGTAAGGTAAATGAATTACATTTCGAATCAAATATTACCTTTGTTTCAAGAGAGAGAAATGAAGTTTCTGTTCCCTCTACACCATGTCTAACTTTTGCACTCATCTTATGTTACTAAAATGTTATATTTAGATTAAAGAAAGACGATACAGAGGGAAGAATGTGAAATCAATGTAAAGGGTTAACTGTAATATTTTTCAGTATATTTAAGAATCACAATAAACACAGAAGTATAATATTCATTGTTCATATACAGAGAACCATTGCAGAAGCATAAAGAAAAAACCGCTTCCCAAGTTTATGTAAGTGAGTAAGAGTGACTATGAAATT